GGAAGCCAAATCGGTGACCTTGCCAGGAAAATACAAATAATGAACAAAGATAAAAGACCCTATTTCAAGACTTACTATAAAACTACAGTAATTGAGACAGTGTGGTATTGGAATGATAGATCAATGGAAAGAAGAGAGCTCAGCAACAGACCTACACTTACATGGTTGAATAATTTTCAACAAAGGAGCCAAAGTAATTCAATGAGGTAAAAGGTATGTTTTTGTAACAAATTGTGGTAGCACAACTGGGTATCTGCATTGGAAAAAAATGTTCCTCAATCATTACCTCTTTTCATATGCAAAAATTAACTTAAAATGAATCACAGAACAAAGCATAAGAGGTAAAAACCATTAAACTTGTAAAAGAAAAAACAGGAAAATTAGCAGGGACACTGGGTTAGACAAAGACATCTTAAATAGGCTACTGAAGACAAAAATTAATAAACATCAAAGTTTAAAACATTTCAGTCTTTGAAACACATAGTTAAAATGAAAAGATAAGCCAGACTCAGACAAAATATTTGTAGAGCACATGTCTAACAAAGGGTTTATATCTAGAAAAAATAAAGATTTTTGTTATTATTTACTAACAAGAAGACAAATAACCCAATTGTAAATTGGTCAGAAAAAAATTGCAGTTTCATAAAAGATATATGAATGGATAATATGCACATAAGATCCTTCACGTCACCAGTTTTTAGGAAAATGGTAATAAAGCCAAAAGGAGATACTACTACACACTTACTATCATGGCTAAAATGAAAATGATTGGCCATAGTTAAGTATTGGTGATGATGTGGTGTAATTGGAACCCCACATACTGCTGGTGAGAACACAAAATGACTCTGCGCCTTTGGAAAAGAGTGTGACAGTATGTTAAAAATTTAAACATATGCTGGCAAAAGGAACCAGCAACCTCATCCCTAGGTGTTTATCCAAGAGAATTGAAATGTCCACCTGAAGACCTGTATCTGAATATTCATGGTTATGTTACTCATAATAACCAAAATATAAAAACCAACCTTGCTTTTCATCAACTGATGGAGAAAAATATGGCAGCATATTAACACTATGCTGTACCATTCTGCAATGTAAAAGAACAGAGTATTAATATACACGACATGGTAAGTCTTAAAAACACGTGCTAAGTAAAAGTCAAACACAAAGACCTCATACTGAATGGTCCCATTTATAGAAATTCTAGAAAGGCAAAACATTGTGAAAGAAAGCATATCAGTGGTTGTCTGGGATCAAGGTAATGTGAGAGGGTTAATTACAAAGAGCATAAGGAAAGATGAGGATGACAAGACTTTTCTATGGCTTGCTTATGGTAGAAATTACACAACTATATGCACTTAACCAAAATTCATCAAACTTTGCACTTAAAATGAGTGGATTTTATTGTACATAAACTATACTTCAGAAAAGGAAAAAGTCAGTTAAGTGAAAAAGGAATGGAGTCCTTCGCTAGATCTCTGAGAACATAATCCGGTTAAATAGCATGGGGTGTAAGATCAGGTGAGTAGTTCCAAACAAAATCAATTATTCCAAAGTAAAAATTCACCGTCATTGATGAATGGACAAAAAAGATGTGGTATATACATACACACAAAATATATATAGTATCACTCGGCAATCAAAAAGAATGAAATTATGCCATTTGCAACTACACGGATGGAACTGGGAAGTATTATGCTAAGCGAAATTAGTCAGTTAGAGAAAGACAAATATCATATGACTTCACTCATCTGAGGAATTTAAGATACCAAACAGACAAGCATTAGGAAAGGGAAGCAAAAATAATATAAAAACAGGGAGGAGGACAAAACACAAGAGACTCTTAAATAAAGAGAACAGCGTTGCTGGAGAGGTTGTGGGAGGGAGGATGGGCTAAATGGGTAAGGAGCATTAAGCAATCTACTACTGAAATCATTGTTGCATTATATGTTAACTAACTTGAATGTAAATTAAACAACAAATGAATAACTTAAAAAAATTTCACCATCATCTCCTTTAATAGTAGTACTGGGTTGTGCAACTGTAACCTCAGAACTTAGGGCTGTACACACATCTGTGCACTAAGGTCCAATAAGATCAAAAGTATAGTTCCTTGAAAAAAATTTAATATGTACCTTGTATGGGCATTTAAAATTTAGATTATGAAAATATGTGGGTGCTAGCTCAAACATTAAACTGTGGTTATTTTACCAAAGAAATGCCATTCTTGGTAGATATATATCAGGTTTTTCAAATGTCAGGTCTTCGAAGCAAATTTACTATTTTCATGTGTACAGTAAATACACGTCATTTATAATTCTTAAACTATTAAGGGGTATTTGGAGGAGTCTTAAAAGGAAGCTTACAATAAAATCTAATGTGTTTAAGAGGCACTCAGCTGATTTAGTTCACATATTTGACATTCCATAGTTTAGATGGCCTTAGAGACTCAAAAATGCTCCAACTAATGTAGATTTTTCAAGTTAAAACCAAACACGACATTCACATCTGACATATCTCTAGGCATTTGCGCAAAAAATACACATGGAATTAGACAAGTCATTAAAGAGTAAAACAGATATTTATTGATATGGGATAATTTCTAAGATACATTAATATATTGGTACAGAACACCTCTGGAAGGAATTGCAAGAAATTAGACACTGTGCTTTGCCTTTACGTGCAAGAACTGAAGTCTGGTCATTAGGATAGAAAGCAGATTGACTTTTTCATTCTATACTTTTTGTACTATTTCACCTTTTTTATTAACCATATGAAAGTTCTACCTTAAAAAATAACTTATTTTTTAAATAACTACTAATTAAAACATATATGTAATTATATCAGTTCAATTAGGCTTAGGTGGAATCCTTGAGAGCAGAGGACTGATTGCCTTTATTTAGGATTCCACTTTCCTGGGATTTTATACATAGTTAAATGCTCTACAAACATGACACTTTCCTAAAACAGTTAACCTTGATTAAAAGCATTTTATATATCTTTAATGAAATGTTCAGAAAACAAAATCACTTCAGAAAAAGGACAAAAATTCAAAAGTATTCCAAATTTGAATTTAATTTTAAAACATGGCATTATGTAATAAATACTAGATTAATAAGCCACAATTTCATCTCCAACCTTGGGAAAACCTCTTTTCTACTCTGGACTTGTTTTCTAATCTATAATATAATGATGGCAGTGCATAAGTAGGGTTAGAGTATAAACATTTTAGATATTAAGAGTGTGGACAAGGATAATGCTGTACAATTTCTTTTTGTTTTTAATGGGTTTTTGTTTTTATTGTGATATAATTAATAGACCATAGAATATATCTATTTAAATTGTGCCATTCAATGGTTTTAATTGAGAATTTTGGAATCATCACTGCGATCAACTTTAGAACATTTTCCTCACCCACCCACTCCCCCCAAAAAAATATCCTGGTAGCACTCATTTTCTCTTCTCCATCCTCCACTTCCCTTCTTTCCCCACATCCCCCAGTCTTTGGTAACCATGAGTCTACTTTCTGTTTCTACAAATTATAGATTTTCCTATTTGGAATTTTTTACATTAATTGAATCACCCATGTCATCTTTTCCAACTGGCCTCTCATTTAGCATGCTTTCAAGGTTTATCATATTATAACAGGTGTCAGTACTTTGTTTTCTTGTTATTGCCAATATTCCATTGTATTGAGACACCACATTTTGTTTATCCATTCATCAGTTGATAGACATTTGGGTTGTTTTCACTTTGAGGTTATTATGAATTACGCTGCTACGAACATATGTGTAAAGGTTTTTGTGTAGACATAGGTCTTCATTTCTCTTGGGTATATTTTTGTAGGTTTTTCTGTTGGATCATATGGTAACTATGTTTAACCATTTGAGGAACCACCTGACTTCTTCCAAAATGGCTGCCCCATTTTCTATTCCTACCCATAGGATAGAAGGGTTCCAATTTCTCCACATCTTCACAAACACTTGTTATCATCTGTCTTCATGGTTCTAGCCATCCTATTAGGTATAATATGGTATCTCAATGTGGTTTTGACTTATATTTTTCTGATGGCTAATGAATTTGAGTTTCTTCATGTACTTACTAGCTATTTGTACATCTTCTTTAGAGAAGTGTTTACTCAGATATTTTATCCATTTTTGTCCTTTTGAGTTGTAAGTTATTGAGACTCTTGTCTCTAGTTAACAAGTCCTTTATCACATTTATGATTTGAAAATATTTTCTATTTTTTACGGGTTGTCTCTTCATTTTGATGGTACTCTCTGAATCACAAAAATTGTTGGTTTTAATTAAGTACAAATGAATTCACTTTTGTTGTTTGAGTTTTTGGTGTCATATCTAAGAAATCTTTACCTAATCCAAAGTCACAAAGATATTATGTCTATATTTTCTTCTAAGTGTTTTATAGTTTGCAACCAGGTTTTGATCCATTTGTGTTAATGTTGTATGAGGTAGTGCTCAAAATTCATCCTTTTGCATACGGATATCCAGTAGTACCAGTAGAATTTGCTCAATGGAAACTGTTTCCCCATTGAGCTGTGTTGGTACTCTGGTTGAAAATCAATTGAACATAAACGTTAGGGCATAGATCTAGACCCTCGATTCTATCCCATTGATCTACAGGTCTACATTTATGCCATTATAGCACATTCTTCATTACTGAAAGCTTGTATGAAGTTTGAAAACAGAATTAGGAAGGGCAAGTTCTCTCATTTTTTTTTTTAAAAGATTGTTTTGTTTTACCTATTCTGTGTTCCTTAAATTTCCACATGGATTTTAGAATCAGGTTGTACTTTGGTGCAAATAAATCTGCTGGAACTGATGGAGACCACATTGAATTTGTAAACTAGTTTGGGAAATATTGCCATCTTAACATCAAGTTGTCTGATTCAAGAACATGAGATGTTTTTCCATTTATTTAGGGGTTCTTTAATTTTTTTGAACAATATCTTGTAGTTTTCAGAGTATAAATTTTACAATTTTGTTAAATTAATTCCAAAGTATTTTATCCTTTTTGATGCTATTGTGAACAGAATTTTCTTAATTTCATTTAGTATTATTCACTGTGGATATATAGGAATATAACTGATGTGTGTATATTGATCCTGTATCTTGAAACCTTGCTGAACTCATTTATTGGTTCTAATAGTTTTTACTGGGTTCATTAGAATTTTGTATATACAAGATCTTGTCATCTTGCAAATAACAACAGTTTTACTTTTTGCTTTCCAATCTGGTTACCTCTAGAGTTCTTGAATGTTAAATAAATTTATGTAAAACTTTAAGAGTTTTTACATAAAAAAAATTCAAAAAAGAGTTATTGAAGTTCATATTGTACATATTCATTTTCATTTTTTTAAAAACGAAAGGAAATAAAGTGCTATAGAAAGAAAAAAGAAAACAGAAAAGCCAATAAATTGGAGGAAGGAACTCTGGTTCCCATGCCTTTATTAATTAGTTGTGTGATCCTGAGCAAATTTCTAAGTCTGTTCTCATTATACATTCTATTTTGCAGACCTTTTTCCATTGGGTATACTGGGAACTCCTGGGGTTATGTAAGAAGTAGCCTTCCTTAGTTTAGTCAGCCATTACAACCCTAATTTTTACTACTTCTATCGAGCATCTTTCTCCTTTTCCGTTTTTGCCCTTCATGAGAAGAATGGTTACCCAAACCAGAAGAGCACACTACCTGCATCTTCATATTGACAGAAAATACAACTCTCAGGAAAGGTACATCAGAAGACATTGAGAGAGTGAGTGTAGGCAGGGAGTTATCCTCATGGAAACAAGCTGAAATTTTAAACAAACAAACGAACCTTAGAGGTTTATGAACAAAATGAGTAAAAGTGAGCAGAGGAAGCATTTAGCTACTACTGTATTAACATTTTAAAGCTTTAACTAAAGAAAAATCAAGAACGATATAAAGAATGGCAAAAGTGTTTTAGAAATTTATGTTATCTGAAGTTTTTACCACAAGGATCATCTTTTAAAACCAAAGTTTTAGGTAATGCTTTTTATTACAATTTTAATTAAAATGGAAAGTATCTCATGACATACAGAGCCACATTACATTTTTATGCCAAATGTAGAGGTTTTGTCTCTGCCTCTGCTAGTGCTTATGGTGCTAAAACACTAAGTTATACGTAAATATTTTTAATTCCATTTGAAGAGTTTTGGAACCTTAGTTTTAATCTTTGACATAAAGGAAGAGGACTATCCAAACAAGTACCATGGTCGCCTTTGTCCTCAGGACGCTGTAGAAAACTCAGAGAACCTTTAGCTGCATCTGGGAAACAGTCTTCTTCATTTCCAGCTGTTTCATAAGCCTGGGCACACCGTTCAGTTTCTTTAATACGTATTTTAGGGTTATGCAACTTCTTGACATCATCTTTCTTGAACTGGGCTGGGTAATGCTTCTGAGAACGAGGCTTCACGTTTTGAGTTGTGTATTTAGCTTTCCCAATCACTGGGACACTTTCTTCATCAGAGGAAAGACTGTCAAGGCAAACGCTCTTCTTCATTACACTTTTCTGAGTGGTTTGCACATCAGCTTTTCTATTATAATCAAAAGCGGAATTTGGTGGTCTAATGCTGGTCTTTACTATTACTGGGTTATTGACAGAATAAGGTATAGAAGTATTCACTTTATAGTTGTCTTGAAATAGCTGGTCTCCTTTTAGAACTTTAGATTTTCTAGACTCATTTTGCAAATGGTTTCCTAGAAGATCTTTTGAAAGATGTGATGGACAATCAGAACCATCATTATCCATACAGGATTCTTTTATGGTAACTGGGGACAAAGTTCTCAGGTCGACATTTGGTTGTGCATTATCCTGAGGATATGATGATTTTATACGTATTCGTTCCTTTAAAGGCAAATCCTCAAGATGTAAATCAGTAATGCCAGAAAGCAGATGTTCTTCAGTATCACTCTTCTGCAGATCCCGATCCAACACTTTCTTAATATTTCTGGTATACCATTCGGATGCATATGACGACTGTTCTGAGATATTTTTTAAATTTTCAGGGATGGCTCTCTCAAGTTCTGATTTTAAACCATGAGAGGAAGTGTTCCTTGGAATAGCTGGAGAATTACTAAAAGAAGTGCCTTCCCAGTCAATGGTGCTTAAGTGTAGGTCAGCAATCGCCGATATGTTATAGGATGAGGTACTAGGTTGACTAGATTCTGGAACTAGGGACTTACTGACAGCTGGGATTTGCTGCATAGCCAAAGGCCTTGGAGAAGATATTAAATGTTCTCGTGTATTCAAACAAGGGGTATCTTCAGGTAAAAGCAAGCTATTCAGTGATGCAGAAACAGATTTCTGCGATAATGTACAATGAGGGGTAGTTTCCAAATTTAACTTGGAATTCTGCTTAGAAAAGATGTCACACATGGGGTTTAAAGTCATCTGTGACTGGAAACTCATATTATTTGATTCCGGCCAACTGTCTTCTTTATGCTTAATTTTTACGCCTGAAAAGAAAAACAATACAATATTATTAAAGTCTATTTCATTTTCCCTAACTTGAGTAAACAAATAAACTAAAGAGTTCAGATCAGAAATCTTCTGTATGAGCAATTTTTGTCTTTTTTTGTCTCAGTGCATTCTTGGAAACTATATTATAAATAATCATAACAAAATTATTATTAACAAAATATTATAAAATATTTTCTTTTGGAAACAATGTTATAATTGAATTTGTTTTCCTCATCAGGTTCTAGGAAATAAAGAAAATGTATTTATAATCCAAAAGATGTTATACATACTAGTTGCTCACTAAGTGGTTAGTACAATTACTATTAACACTTGGTTAAGCTAGCAGACACAGAGTAGAATGGTTTACTCATGACTTTAAAGGAAGTATGTCAAGGGGGGCCTGGGTGGCTCAGTCAGTTAAGTGTCTGACTTTGGCTCAGGTCCTAATCTCACGGTCTGTGAGTCTGAGGCCTGCATTGGGCTCTGTGCTGACAGCTCAGAGCCTGGAACCTGCTTCAGATTCTGTCTCTGTCTCTCTCTCTCTGCCCTCCCCTACTCTCTCTCTCTCTCTTAAAAATAAATAAACATTAAGAGTTTTAAAAAAATTTTTTTTAAAGAAGTATTTCAAGGGGCGCCTGGGTGGCTCAGTTGGTTAGGTGTCGACTTTGGCTCAGGTCAGATCTCACGGTTCATGGGTTTGAGCCCCGCATCCAGCTCTGTGCTGACAGCTCAGAGCCTGGAGCCTGTTTTAGATTCTGAGTCTCCCTCTCTCTCTGCCCCTCCCCCACTCATACTCTGTCTCAAAAATAAATAAACTATTAAAAAAAAGAAGTATTTCAAGACAAAGAAGCAAGAGAACAATCATAGCTCTTGATTTCATAGAACTTTCAGCAAAATACAGACACAATAGAATAAATTAGAACATTAAAGAACATTAAACATTTGTGTGTGGTATAAATAGCTATCAAATGCAATACTTACTTTTCTGTTTCTTCCCTTTCATTTCCAAGTTTTGATTTTGGTAAACAGCAACAATCTCGGGATAAGCTGCTTCAAACAATGATAATTCTTCTACTGTTTTTAGAACCAATTCTCCATGTTTATCTTCCATAGTGTAATGTTCTAAAAGATAAAAATATAATAAAAACAAGTCTTAATTGAAGATTTGTAAAATTCAATTTTTCTAGGTAACTAAATCATGAGTAAATCAATGACTCATTACAAATCTTGCTTTACAACATCTCTATTCCAATAATTTGTTGATACTAGCACAAGATTGATATTCCTCTGCTTGGCAAGACCTGGAAAATGATTTCTTTCATAAAAGAATTCTAAATTCTCTTGCTTTGAAGATGGTACTTACAGAACAGAAAACTTTGTTTAGATAAGGTTAGTTGGTTTGAATTTAGTATAAGTGTTAACATTTCCAGAAAACAAGTGGGAATAGATAGCTTTTTAAAACCACAATATTAAGTTTCTTCAGAGGTGGCTTCTGAAAAGAACAGAATTGAGGATATACTCAGGCTCACTGGACTCATAAGCGGCTGATACATGAAAATGAGAATGCCTGCATGCGAATTTACAATAAGATATATAAATAGTAGGCTAGATTCTTATATTTATCTACACGAGGGCAAAACTGCATGAGAAGCCACACTATGATGAAAATACTAGCTGATGAGTTTAAAGTACATACAGAGGAACCAGGTGAACTTAAAGTGTTTCCTAGTTAAACATGCTTTGGGTTATATCTTCTCCCTTAAGCAACAGAGCCCACAAGGACGCTGCTTGGTTCTGGACAAAGGAGATGTACTGCCGAGCTGAGACAATGTGATTCTCTTTCCTGAAAATACACTAGAGTTGGTGGAACTATTCCTAAACAGTCTTCAAAATTCTTAGCTATTTTCCTGTTATTGCATAGAATGGTTTATCTAATTCTTTATAATTTCATTCTTCAACATTACCTACAACTTAAACTTTCATTGGCAAATCTACTGCTTCACTTATTCACATATAGTTACAAAGTCTAATTTCAAAGCCAGACAGAAATGAATTTGGAATCACTTTCCATTTTAAATGATCTATGCTTTCCCTGCCTTCAGTTTTGGAGCTAGCTCAGGGTTCACTGCATTTTTATCTGCAGCAACATGAGAGTAATCTGACATTTGACAACTATACATCCTATAGAAACCAAACAGAGTAAAGAAAGACAGATGCATTTTCTTGAGAAATATAAACCAAAACTGCTTCCATATTATATTCTTAAACATTAATTACAAAAGAAATGTCAACCTAAGATTTTAAAATAAAATTACTTGAAATTTTTAATATTTACTATTTGTCAAAACTTATTTAAATAGCACGGGTAAACTATGAAATCAATCTTCCGTGAATGTGATAGGTCTTCTCTATTTTTTATATACATCATGTTATATATACACACACACACACCTATATATATATTTGCTAAACATATGATTAAATGTTACAAAGTTTGCCTAAAGTGAATACATACCAGGCTTTTCCCATTCTATTTCAAAGCAACGAATTCCATTTCTGATTCGGGTCTTAACAATTCTGAAAAACAAATTCTTCTAATGAGGTCCAACTGCAGTAGGCATTTTGAAATTTTCAATTTGTAGGTTATTCAATTTTCATTGATTTTTATTCTACTTTTATACTATTCTAAAAATACTGTAAGGAATTATGGCATAGTTATTCCTCTGACCAGTTTATTCAAAAGATAATTTTATTATTAAGTGTACAGAGTTTGTTATTGTTTTCATCCTATCAGTAGATTTCATTATTATTCAGTGTTCCTCTTTTCCATAATAATGATTTTTCTTTTAAAGTTTATTTTCTAATAGGGAAGGTTAATCCAGTTACATTTATTGTGATTACTGGTTTAGCTGGACTTATTCATACATCCTATTTTGCGTTTCTGTTACTAAGTTTTTTCTGTGGTACTTTCCCCTTCCTCCTTCCTGTATTCTTTTGGCTTGGCACTTCTACTTTCCTATTTTATGTATTGATTTTGAAGACAGAGATTATATTTCTGGTGTTTTAGTGGTTACCCTTCACTGTTTACATGTATATTTTGGAAGTTTTAGTTTATTATCATCATATTAACGGTTAAGCATTATGCAGCTATTTACATACATATTTTTCCAATTGATTAAATTAGCTAATAGATTTTATTGATTTCTCTTTATTGATTGACCGCTGTTTTTTGTTATCCACATCATCCCTCTAGGTTCATTTTTCTTCTTGCTTAGATTATATCCTTTAACAGTGATTTTAATGAGGATCTGTGACTTATCCACAAACCAGTAAATCATGCTTTAATGATGTCTAGGTTGCCAATTATTTTTACTCAAAGCTTTGAAATGTTAATCTATCATCTTCTGGCTTCTATTACTGTCATGAAAGATTTGTGTTATCAGATTGTCATTCCTTTGTGGTTTATCTTTTTTCTTTGATATTTACATCCCCCCCCCCGCCCCCCCAACTTTCAGCAAGAATAACACAATGAACACTCACATAACCCTTCACGGAGTTTCACCAATTCTTAGTTTCTGTTCTTCCATTCACGTTACATTTTTGTTCCCTTTCTGGTCCATTGAAATAGTTCTATGGTTAAGCTTGGCTATATAACTTCATATTTATTTCTTTTAATAATCTGGTATTACTACTTGTTTGAGCAGAAAAGTGTGTGAAGATACAAACTTACTATGTTATCTTGACTGTAAGCCCTGAATATGCTCTTAATATTTTCTACTAGACCTTTACTCCAACTACCAGAGAGCTGTATATACCACTATTAAAGATATTAAGAAGATTATTTTAGATCACAAGATACTCAAATGGAAACACAGAAACTTCTTCATTCAATTCTTTATATTACCGAATTGGCTGTAGTTGATTAGAATTCCTTTTACCAAGCTTTCTTTCTATCATGTCATAGTGGGTCAAAAGCACTAACAATTTCTCACATGCATAGTGATTAGGCCACTCCATTTTTTCAAGAGTAAATCTCTGTAAATGTAAAACAAATAAAACAAGATTTTGTTATCTCTTGGAAACAAACAGCACTTTCGGGTGATATTATTTTTTTCCTATTGAATTAACATTAGTTAAAGCAGGATCAATGAGAATATTTCTGGAAAGAACAAGGAGCCTCTTAAGGAGGCAACATTGCACAATGATCAAGTGCAAGGGTTATCAATTTGGACCCTAGTCCAAATGATACTTCTGAGATGCTGGGTAAATTACTTAAAGTCTTTTAACGTCACAAGATTAAGTGAAGTTACATGTAATGTGTTAAATATAACAGCAAATTTTAATGTTCAATAAATGTTGGCTGCCATTATTACTACTGCTGTACTGCAGGGACAAGCAACAAGTAGCTACAATCTGTTGAACCATTCTGTTTCTCTAGTCACTGTATTAGGGGCTATTATAAATAATCTCATTTAATCTTTTTTAAAAAAATGTTTAGTTATTTATTTTGAGAGAGAGCAAGAGAGCATGAGTGGGGAAGCGGAGCAGAGTGAGCATGTGTGTGTGTGTGTGTGTGTGAGAGAGAGAGAGAGAGAGAGAGAGAGAATCTTTTTGTAAAAATTTTTCAATATTTATTTTTGAGAGAGAGAGACAAAGCATGAGCAGGGGAGGAGCAGAGAGAGAGGGAGACACAGAATCTGAAGCAGGCTCCAGGCTCCGAGCTGTCAGCATGAGCCCAATGTGGGGCTCAAACCCACAGACCGGACCACGAGATCATGACCTGAGCTGATGTCCAACACTTAACCAACTGAGCCACCCAGCCGCCCCAAGAGAGAGAATATTAAGCAGGCTCCATGCTCATTGTGGAGCCCGACTTGGGGCTGGATCTCACAACTATGAGATCATGACCTGAGCCAAAATCAAGAGTTGGACACTTAACTGAGGCACCCAGGTGCCCCAGTCTCATTTAATCTTCATAGCGACTTCATGAAATAAGTAGTATTATTTCTACTTTGAGGATAACACATATCCAGTGTCACATAGTAAGTGATACACTGTCCAAATTTAAAGTTATGTCATTGATTAAAAATCCCAACGTCCTTTGGTGAACACAGCATAATGTATAAACTTGTCAAATTCCTAAGTTGTACACTTAAAACAAATGTAACTTTATATATCACCTATACTGAAAAAAAATCCCATTGCCCTTATAAACTACACCACATTCAATAACAACATATTCAATCTTCACATTTTCTGGGTTTGGCTGGCAAAGTGTGGTTCCTATGTAGCAAAGGAATGAAGATTAGAAATAAATGCTGAAAAATACATGGGCAGTCAATAACTGTTTCAAATCTCTTCTGAGACCAAAGTGAGTATCATCCCTTCTCAATTTCCTACTTATCCCACTACATACTATAAGGTAAGTATTTTCTGATACCTGAAACAATAATAAATCAGGTCTTTGGTACCTGATAACCTTCACCAATGTATCCTTGTCCAAAAGGAATTCTTGAATAACCTAGCGAGAGAAAATAAAATAGGAATTCAGACTTCAAACTTTTTAAAAGAACTTCTGAATTAAAATACACATTTGAATTATTAGTTGTTACCTCATAGAATGGGAATCCCTCACAACCGCAAGCTTTTCTGAAAATAAGTTATATACATGTTGTTAATATAAGCAGGCAATTTTAGACAGCCTTTAAATTCATCTCATCCAATCTCTGCTCATTTAGTGAAAAATGTCCTTGGGTAATATCCTAGTCTTCAAGCTTCTCTTTGAGCAACTAAATTGCTATCTTCTGAGATAGTCTAATATTTGAACCAAATCAAAAAAGGGATTTTGTGAAATGTTACTAATCTAGACATGAGGGAAGGCTATGTGGAAGTAATTCAAGTAGAGGTATATAAATAGGTCAGGACTGAAAAAACTGAGGTAAAAAATATTTACTTCTTTTTTTTTTCATTTTTCTTTAACGTTTAATTATTTGAGAGACAAAGAGTAGGAATGGGAGAGGGGCAGAGAGAGACTGAGACACAGAATCTGAAGCAGGTTGCAGGCTCTGAGATGTCAGGACAGAGCCCAATGCGGGGCTTGAACTCGAGAACTGTGAGATCATGACCTGAGCTGAAGTGGGAGGCTTAATTGGCTGAGTCACCCAGGCACCCCCAAAAAACTTACTTCTTAATGCTGTTCTCTACCGCACTTAGTTGTCTATGATGCTCTGCACGGTGCCACTCACAAGGACAGCAGTATTCATAATCATGGGGTTCGCAATATTGATCAGTTTCACACAGTTTGCAGCCATTATGTACATGATCCTTAGGTGAACCTTTATGGAAATACAAAGTATAATTTTCACTGCTTTATAGATTTACTTTCTACACACATCTTTTTTTTCTCCTTATCCAAATTTTTAAATATGAATACTGTCTGGCAAAGTGCCTAGCATATGGAAAGGTTCCAATACATTCAGGTTGAACAGAATAACGAACACTACAGTAATTCTTAAAACAAAATAGATCCTGAGGTATTATAGTTACATGAAACTATTTTTGTTTCTATAAATTACTCTATAATTTATCTGAAAGTGTATCTGAAAGTGTTAATTTGTAACTAGAAGTTATACATTTATAATAATCAACAATTAAAAACTTTGTGGTTTATTTGGTAGTTACATGCAAGAAAATGGGATATAATTGTTAGCACTAAAAAAAAAGATTATTTACCTAAAAGAATAATTCATGAAGTAGTTTCTTTAATGAGAATATTAAAAGAATATAACAGTTAATTACCTCTGCTAGTTAAATCAGTTACCTTACAGCTATTTAAAAAACCATTTTTTTTTAAATGTTTTATTTCTAAGGGAGAGAGGAGAGAGACAGCATAAGCAGGGGAGGGTCAGAGAGAGAGGGAGACACAGAATCTGAAGCAGGCTCCTGTCTCCCAGCTGTCAGCGCAGAGCCTGACGTGGGGCTCAAACCCACTAAACGTGAGATCATGACCTGAACTGAAGTTGGACACTTAACCGACTCAGCCATCCAAGTGCCCCTAAAGATTTTATTTTTAAGCAACCTCTGTTCCCAATGTGGGGATCAAACTCACAACCCTGATATCAAGGCTCTCATGCCCCACTGACCAAGCCAGCCAGATGCCCCCTCTATAGCTATTTTTAAACTGCCTGGAACATGAATGAATTATAACTGTGGCACAGGTGTGGGGCCCTCGTTCCCCTTAGGAGGAAAGCATACCTACCATCTTTAACATTGGTTTGAGAATAGAGAAGAGAACATATAATTGGTGGGAACTAAAACTGTTATTTTATAAAGTATCAAAGAACTAGAGTGCAATTTTATAAAACATCTTATAAAAACATTTATTTCTTCTATGATTTCGTCTGATTTAACAATGTTTCTGAACACATATTAAAACAAATAGATAAAGAATTTCTTTTAAAAGATGAGCTAATAAAATCTCCTAATCTCTCCTGGGAGTGAATCCAGTACACATTTTCTGATCCCAGGACACATTAATGACATCTTTTTTTTTTTTAACCGAGACGAATGAAGAGGAAACAAACTATTTTCCATAACAATGAACATGTATTAGAAATTAGTGTTAAGTCCCTATCTTCATGCAGTAAAAACAAATGCTTTCGGTTCGATTTTTCCCTAAGACTTAGCAGTAGGATATATTTTTTTGTTTAAATGGAATTCTACATTCAAAACATAATTTTAACACCTAAGTAATTTGGTATCATAGTTTAAAATTGCACTTATATTTATCATTTGCATCACATTATTTCAATCAATTAACAATTACTGAGTGCCTGCTCTGTGTACTGACACAGTCCTGGATCTTCAGCCTACTGAGGGAGGCGGGCGTGCACGCCGGCATGTGGAAAGCAGAACAGAAACAGGATGAGGTGTCTCGGGGGCTTCAGTTGCTTAAGCCTCCGACGTCGACTCAGGTCATGATCTCAAGGTTTGTGAACATGAGCCCCACACCGGGCTCTGCTGTCAGCGCAGAGCCCCCTTTGGGCCCTCTGTCCTTGTCTCTGTCTGCCCCTCCCCAAATCGCACGTGTGTGCACACGTGTGCGTGGGCACACTCTCTCAAAGTGAAATGAACATTAAAAAGAAGAAAACCAGAACAGGGTGTGGGTATCAGATACTAATATTCTAGAGATATTATCCAGTCTGCTTACCTGGATGGGAACACACAGAACAATGGGCCGGTTTTTTAATAACTAGGGGTTGTGGATCAGAGCAAGATTCTTCAATCCACTGAGTAAACCTGTAAAAGAAAAAGCTTTTAAAAGGAAAACAAAATGAAACAAAACAAAAACAAGGTCACCAAAATGCCATGCTCTCAAATGTCAGGCTATTCTGTTCCCTTACTACCTGCCTCATTTTCCCTTTGGTGGAGATGAAGTTGCTGGCTCAGCCTGTGAAAACTCTCAATCTACGTACCTTGGCTCTAAGGACAAGGGAATTGCAACAGGGAGAAGAGAGAAACAGTCCCAGAGGAAGAGAGAAGAAGGAAAGGGGAGGGGAAGGGGAGGGAGGAGGCCGGAGAGAGGAGAAAAAGAGTACATATTCATATACTCGTGTGTATTCATGTATTCATTTTTTAAAAAAAATCCTAAGTTAGGCAGCATTAGGAAGAATGATACATATACATCCATTTGATCTCTCTTCTGTGTGCCAGAGTATAAAACAAATAGAATCGTGTACATGAACATTTCCCTGTATCAAGAATCGGGGGGAGGGTAAAGGATAAAACTAAACAGAACATTAAACTTCTGAGTAAAAACTGTTCAAAAAATCTAGACCATTTGAAATTATCATTTTCTTAATCTCTTATGCAAACAGCAAAAACATTGCCTGTTTAATAAGTGATTTTAAAGAAATATTTATCTGCTAAGACGTCCAGTAAATAAAAAGTTAATTTTCTTTCTGGCTAAAGTTCTAGGTAACATAAAGCCACCAAGTGGATAGTTAAGTATTCCTCATAAAACATAAGCACTCTGAATTATGTTCCTCTGCTGATAGAAGTTAAAGTTCTAATGAAGAGCTAAATTGTCTCTTCAGTACTTTGTGTAGTATCCGACACTAAGAGTTATTATTGGCTTTTGGAATTTCTAATTTATTTACTACAAAGACCAAGTATAGGCTTGCTAAAAATTAGCATTAATAAATGGTGGATGAATAAACAGAAACTTCAAATGTGGGGAAAAAACCTAGGGGGAAAGTCAGTCTAAATTAATCAAAATTAGAATGGCACATAATGATAATAAGAATCGTAATTTTATTCTCTTCAAGTGTTCACACAAACATTTCATAAAACGTTGCCAAAAATACATACTTGCCGAAACGATTACAATAAGTGATTGCTAGTTAGATAGGTGCCATACCTTCTTGCTTTTTATTCTTTATTATTCTTCACAATTCTCAAATGCTTCCAGGCCCAAGTGTATCTTTTTTTTCCTTATTTGGCATCATATTCACTAATACCAGTAAGGGATTTATTGAAGTCTTAGATCTATCAGTAGCTTTATAGCTTTCGAAGGAGCACAACAATTTCAAGTTTTTTCATGGCCATTCTTTCTTGACTCCAACTCAATGTTTCCTTTCATGCACTCACCATCTCAAACCTATTGGAGGCCAAGACTGCTTAAAGTCTCCTAGTATCCCCGTTCCTTCTCATTCATTTGACACTTTATCATCATTAATGTTAATTTAAATTAGTATTAAATAATTAATATTAACATAGACTGTTGCTTTCATTAAGTAAACATAATTCACATACTTTCAAAACTAAATAGCACAGTTCGTAAACTTCTATACATTCTGTATCTTAATTGTCTTGAATCCTCAAATTGTATAGTCTAAATTAGAATTAAAATATTCCTAAATATGTGGCTATAGAAGAAAGGGCACTCAAGGAAAATTTTGATTAAGTGTTACTCATTATTTGCAATATGTCAGGCATTTCACTTATAGAGAATAAATATGATATCAAAATACTTTATATAGAAAATAATTTTAAATAAAAATTATTTTATGGTTATGTTTACCTTTACTTGGTGGCAAAATAGTATAAAATAGCCTGTGGTAAAAGCCCGTGGTTATAAATAAACACATTTGGCATCTTACTACTTGTGTTTGTAGTGACCTAATAATGAAAAAGATACAATATGGCTTAGGAAACATACTTTCATCCTTTCTTCAAAAAACCTCAGAATGAATAAAAATCAGTGATCTTATTATTAGTTTTTAAATCGTGATTTTAAATGAAAATAGAGATGTGCTTAAAAATACAAAACTCTTTCTTGCAAAGGATAATACTTTTTGAAATACTCACTATTCAGTTCAAAAAGAATAAATATCTAGTGTCACCATAAAGTTTTAGTTACCTTTGAAGTAAACTTTGCCCTTTCAAACTCTGTATAAGTTTTAACGCTTGCTCTTTTCCGACTCCAGGGACTCCCTTTCAGAAAGTGGAAAAGAAACGCAAAAGTTAATCACAGGGGAATGGAGAAGTGAAGTGTGACACATCATGCAATCTGAGATTGTGCAGCTGACAGAATAAGGTAGCTGTGTCATGACAGGAAAAGATGTGCAAGATACACTGCCATGTGTAGAGCAGAGACTGCAGAACAGCCCACCCTGTGATCCAGATTTGTAAGTAAAATAACTACTGCTTCGTTAATCTCTGCAAACAACAAAGTCACAGGGTTATATACTTAACTGCTGACAGCATTTGTTTTAAGGAAGAGAGGAAAAGGATTTTAGAGGGCTTTTACTTTTTATGTTAATTACTTTGATAGTATTTCAATCTGACCTAACTTCAGGTTATATTTGTAATCGGAAAAAGCATGTTTATTTTCTTAGATAAACATCTAATATTTAAAGACTTGGATATGAAAAGAGAGCCAAGGAGAGTTCCAAGTTGCCTCTTGAAATGAATAACTTAAGAAAAATTAAAACAAGTGTTAAGTGTCCAACACACAAAAATATCAATAACTGTGTATCTGCATGACAATTTCTGGTGTGAGTCTTCCAGTTTCCAGAGAAGTTTATGAATATATCCTTATAAACAGGCTGCTATTTAGCACTGTGCACTGGGATGGACACACCAGTGTTAAAAACACATCCAAACTGGTTAACAAATAGTCATTGCACAAGTATCCTAAGGGTCTGCTGGCAAAGGGGTCTGTCTCCTCACCAGTCCGAATCTCCTTCCCAGCCCACTGTCAGGATCAGCTACGAAAAGGATCACACCTGGCCTAAGAGTGGGTCCCAGAAACCTGCTGCAAGGCTACAGCTTGTCTCTGGCTACCGGTTGCTAGAGATGTTGTATATCACCCTTCCTGTATTAGCATTTAGCTACATCTTGAGGTTTTTTTTTTTTAAATGTTTTATTTATTTCTAGGAGAGAGAGACAGCGTGAGCAGGGGAGAGTCAGAGAGAGAGGGAGTCACAGACTGAAACAGGCTCCAGGCTCTGAGCTGGCAGTCAGCACAGAGCCCGACGCGGGGCTCGAACCCACAAACCGCGAGATCATGACCTAAGCGAAAGTCGGAAAGTCGGACGCTTAACCGACTAAGCCACCCAGGAGCCCCTACATCTTGAGTTTTTTGAAGGTAAATCATGTTAGTCTGGAAGTCTTAAAAATCTTTAAGTAGAACAATATAAATAGACAGCAGTTTCATTACAAAGGATAGAAAAAGTCAAAACAGCTAAGGTTAATGCATAATATAACACCACTATAGCTAAAATTGGTTTCGGTGAGTTTAATTTTGCAAAGTTTTCTTATATTCAACATTCAGCTGTTTCCAGACTTTACCATATAATTACATATGGGAAATAAAAAGCTTCTATTTCAGATGGAGAATTATAATGAAATAATTATTTTTGTGTTATTTAAAAGTTTCCCTCCTCCTGCCTTTACTTACTGGTTAAAAAAGTGATTTCTCTGTTTAATCACTGATGACATATGTTAGAAGTGAGGGTTAATAATTTTAGTATCCTGCTCCTTTTTTCCTCTCCCCTAAACTCTGATGAAAAAAAAAATATATATATATATATCATCCTTCTTTAGACTTCTCTTGGGGATGGAATATGTATTCGAATGAGGGATTCAGTAAGATTAGAGATGATCAGTACGGACATAATGACAGGACTACATAGTAAGAACTACAAGACAAATCATTCCACAGTTTTAAATATAGTTAAGAATGGGGTTATCCTTGTAATGCTTCATTTATCATTCAGCTATTAGTATGCCTATTTGTTATTGTGCATCTTTTTTTTAATTTTTTGTAACATTTATTCATTTTTGAGAGACTAAGAGATACAGAGTACAAGCAGGGGAGGGTCAGAGAGAGAGGGAGACACAGAATCTGAAGCAGGATCCGGGCTCTGAGCTGTCAGCACAGAACCCAACGCAGGGCTCAAACCCATAAACCGTGAGATCATGACCTGAGCCACAGTCAGATGCTTAACCGACTGAGCCACCCAGGTGCTTCTGTACATCTTAAAGAAAATGTTTTCATGAACAAAACTCAGTGCAATGCTAAGAGGCAAGGAGGGATGAATGGCTTACCCCAATAATCATGTTGCCTAGCAACAGTAGTAACATTGAGCATGTGCACAGTTGGAGAGCTGAAAGGCAGATTGAAAACTACAAAATAGACAAAAGAGTCAATAGAAACTAATATTGGCATGATATGACAAAAGAGTATATCCTGCATATTTTTAAAAGGGCAGTAAAACTTGAATGTGAATCTCTTAGCCTAGAGTAAGTCTTAACGTCTTGATCTTCAAGCTGTGGGACTAATTATTTTTCCATTCTCATTTACAATACTCAGCGTCACAATGAGCCAGCTTTTTAATGACACTTGAAATGCTGATCATTTTAGTTACTGAATTGGTTATGATGCCTAAAATTATACTCTAAATTAGGTTCTTAATCATATAGCCATATTATTTTCATATTTATGCAGCATGTAAGATATCAAAGAAGATGCACTGTGACCAGTAACTAAATATGACAATCTAAGTGTACCTTGGGAAGATAATCACAGCCAAGTAGTACTGCCAGTCCAACCAGAGTCTCTCTATCCAAACCTAGTTTACTCTTGATCGACGGCATTGTGTAACAATCAACATGTGGATCCTAGAAGAAAGTACAGATTTAGTTTCATCTTCAAAATGTAAACATTCATATATTAAGCATTACAAAAACTAATTGGTCAGATTTGTCTCTAAATGCTTAATTATACCAAAAGTTAAAGTATGAAAAATTATGCTGATCACCAGAATCTTCATAGACTCCAACACTTCAATATATGGAAATAAAGTCATAGTTTCAAAAATGGCTTAAAAAATAAACTATTATAAAAACAAACCATTATAATCAAAACATTCCTCTTTATTATTTTTGATGTTTACAAAAGATTTTCAACTTATAAAGTTAGACACTATAAAGTGTATACTATAACAAGTAAACATTCCCTTTAAGTGCATCACCTAAATTAACTATTATTGGGGCTCCTGGGTGGCTCAGTCAGTTAAATATCCGACTTTGGCTCAGAGCATCATCTCATGGCTTGTGAGTTCAAGCCTGTGTTGGGCTCTGTGCTGACAGCGTAGAACCTGAAAGCCTGGAGCTCACTTCAAATTCTGTGTCTCTCTCTCTCTCTGCCCTCCCTGCTCACACCTGTCTCTCTCTCTCTCAAAACTAAACAAACATTAGGAGCGTCTGAGTGGCTCAGCTGGTTAAGCATCTGACTTCAGCTCAGGTCATAATCTCACAATTTGTGAGTTAAAGCTCTGTGTTGGGCTCTGTGCTGACAGCCTGGCCTGCTTCAGATTCTGTCTTCCTCTCTCTCTAACCCTCCCCTCCTTGTGCTCTGTCTCTGTCTCTCTCAATAATAAAGAAACAGTAAAAAAAAATTAAAACAAACATTAAATAAAATTAACTATTATTAACAGTGTAGTTCATGTTCTTCCAAAAAACACTTTGACACATACAAATATTTATTAGTTATATTTTTAAGCGAACATAGAATTATATGAAAGTACTATTTTGTATCTTTTTTTTGCCCGCTTATATATCTTTAATATATTTTTAATGACTGCTTGCTTTTACATTATAATGGACTCTGAGGCAATGCTTCTCAGTGGGCACACAATTAACATTTTCAGAGAGGTAACAGAATTGTCTGGCAAGAGGTTTTTAGCTTTCTGAGCTCCAGTCTACCAAATGTCTACTGTCTTGCCCAACCCTGAAAAGTTACAACCAAAATCTCCCTTGGCAGTACCTCTCTAACTGAGAACCATGGCTGTATTCAACCATTCCCTAGAAAAGGGCATTTGGGTTGCCTGCCACATTTCTGTAATTACTAACAATGTTGCAGTTAACATCCTTGTACATCTCTTCCTACATATTTGGAGGTGTTGTTGAAGATAAACTACTAAAAATGGAAATTTGGGGTCAAAGCAAAACATTTCATATGCACTTTTATAATGTATTATTGATACTGATTTAGAATTAAACTACGTAAAACAAATCAATCCCTTAAGAGAGAAATCCATATTTCAAAGAAAACGAACTATGCATCAATGATATTTGTAATAATAGTAAACATTTCATTTAGCAATGCCTATGTGCCAGGTATAACATAGTAAGCATTTTACACATATTTCATTTCATCATTTAACAATCCCCTTTAAAAAGGTACTTTGTCAAAAAAAATAATAATAAAAAAATAAAATGTACTTTGTGAGACAAATGCTGACATAGAGAAAGAAACAAAGGTACCTTGGTATTCATAGTGAAATTCCTATAAACGGTCTGGGCTCCGTATAGGAAAGCATCCCCATCGTTGGTGAGGCAGCCATCCACATAACCATTGGCATTGAGAAAAGCACACATGGCCTCTGCTTCCCCAGCGGCTTGGACCCAGGGAATTCCTAAGCATTCCAGCATATCAAGGCACTGAGAAGAAAAACGTAGGAGCAAGAAATCTAAGACCATTTCTACTGCTTTTTTTCAGTGTGATTTTCTATATCACAAATATATTAACTATTTAGGTGCTTTACAAATTATGGTATTTAAGAGACAATTGGAAATTTGAATACTGAATGCTTAATGGCATTACAGAACGATTGCTAAACTTAGGTGTGATAATAAGAAATGTATTGTGGTTACACTTAAAAAAATTTTTTTTAACATTTATTCATTTATGACAGTGAGAGAGACAGAGTGTAAGCGGGAGAAGGGCAAAGAAAGAAGGAGGCACAGAATCCGAAGCAGGCTCCAGGCTCTGAGCTGTCAGCACAGAGCTTGACACGGGGCTCAAACTTACAGACTGCAAGATCATGACCTGAGCCCAAGTCAGATGCTTAACTGACTGAGCCACCCAGGCACTTCTATTGTGGTTATGTTTTTATTTATTTATAAAAGTCCTTATCTCTTAGACAAAGATATTAAAATATAGAGACTGAAGCAATATTACGTCTGGGATTTGCTTCAGAATAACATGGGAGAAGGGAGCGAGTGGGAACACAGATAAAACAAGAGTTGATACTTAAGATTGATAATTGTTTAAGATTACTTTTGTGTTGATTAAAGTTTTCTGTAATGAAAACTTAAAAAATTTTAATGTCAATTAAAAAGTAATCCATACTCAGGACAACTAGGTGGCCCGTCCTGAAAACTAGCTGCTCTCAGCGGGAGCCCGCTTGGGATCTCTGTCTCCCTCTCCTGCCTCTCCACCTTCTGCATTCTCAAAACTAAATAAACATTTAAGGGGCGCCTGGGTGGCTTAGTCGGTTAAGCGTCCGACTTTCGCTTAGGTCATGATCTCGTGGTTCGTGGGTTCGAGCCCCGCGTCGGGCTCTGTGCTGGCTGCCCGCTCGGAGCCTGGAGCCTGTTTCAGTCTGTGACTCCCTCTCTCTCTCTGACCCTCCCCTGCTCACGCTGTCACTCTCTCTCTCTCCTAGAAATAAATAAAACATTAAAAAAAAAAACTAAACATTTAAAGTAATAAAATAAAATCTTACCAAAAAAACAAAAAAGACCAATTTATATAAATATGTATTGTATGTACATACTATATAAATAAAGAACTATCTTTGTTTTTGTATACTAAATAATACAGAGATAAACCTCCTACCACCTGATATTCTTTGGGTGTATCAAAACTGCTTATCTTGTATCTGTGCTGGTGAAAAGTGACCAGCGAGAGCTATAAAATCATTCCTAAACTTTGGTCTATCTATTTATCCCACCTTAGGTAATTTATGTTAAAATCCCAAATCCCAAGAAAAAGCTATGTATACAAAAAATCTTCATCATAAGTTCACATGTAATAGAGAAGAACTGAAAAGCAAACCATACATGCAATGATGCAATGATTTCATAGCCTTTTATAGTATTTCATACATGTTGTATAACCATTACAAGTGATGGATTTGGACAGAACGTGGCAACAGGGAAATAAGGGTATATGTTATAAGTCCAAGATGGGGCACCTGGGTGGCTCAGTTGGTTAAGTATCTGACTTCGGCTCAGGTCATGATCTCATAGTTTGTGGGTTTGAGCCCTGCATTGGGCTCTGTGCTGATGGCTCAGAGCCTGGAGCCTGCTTCAGATTCTGTGTCTCCCTCTCTCTCTGCTCCTCCCCTGCTCATGCTCTCTCTCTCTCAAAAATAAACATAAAAAAAAAGTCTAAGATAAAAATCACTTGTGCACTACTGAAGGCAAATTTTAAAAAAATATATACATTTGAAGAGAGGCAAAATAATATCTTTCTATTTTTTATTACATATTTTTTATTATAGATAACCTCCATTTCTTAACTTCTATAAAAATATACATTTTATAAGTATTATATATTAAAATATAACAATACTTTTAAAAATTACAAAGTCTTAAATATATATTCTATATATGAACTATCATTAATTCTAAATGAGTGAAGTAGGAATTAATTAGATCTCTATTCTGGGAATTCTTTAAGTGCTAAAGAGGTCTCAAGAGGTAACATGTATCAACTTCCTACTATGCAGTGGTTGCTATAAATATATTTTTATTTTTTCTAATTTTTACCCCATCCCTGTAAAGTGTTACTATCCCCATTGCATAGGGTAGGAAATGAGGCATATATAATTGAAAAATCTTGCTCAACATCTCAGAATTTCTATATGCCAGAGTCAGGGCTTGAACTTGGGTCCGTTTCACTACAGAATATAAACTTCTCTGTACACACTGGCCTTCTATTTACAATAAGCTTAGTGAGTTTTAAAGATGATTATATAACAATCTTTATCAGAGTAAAATGTACTCTCTAGTTCATATCACAATTATTGAATCATATCTAAATGCTCACCTCTTTTAAGACTGATTTAAAATGTGATCTCCCCGTTTTCTGAGACCATGTTTTTCCAGAAGGCCCATACCGAATCTGATTCCTTCTGCTTATGACATCAGCTTTCAGCTTTGGGGGTTCCCCTTCCATAACGAACACCAGTTTTACATCCATTAGCGTCAAATGAGAGATACGAAAAAATAAGTTCCTTAAATATAAAAATTAATAATACATTAATCACCATATATTGGTAGCAAAAGTCAACATTAGTGGTACGACATAATGGTAAGAACATCAGACTCGTATCAAAAAAGTTACATGCAATAACATTTTATTTATTAATATTTTACTTTAAGTGAACTGAGAAAGCACTGAATGTTTTTAAGCAAGAGAGACATGATTGTTCTAAGTGCTAGGAGGAGGCCAGGAGCTGAGGGAGGAAAACTCATGAGGAGGTCATTTCAGTACAGATGAGAGGATGGTGGCAAACAGTGCGGTAGTGCCTCTGGACATCAACAGAAGTTTATGAACACATGGTATATTCTGGAAGTAGAGCTGCCAAGACTTTCTGATAGACCGGATGTAAGGAGGGCTCAGACAGAGAGAATGGCTCCCAATTCTCTGGCTTCTAGTCGCCAAAGCATTCTAGTGGCTATGTTAGGTAGTCAGCTAGGTCTGTGAATCTGGAGCTCAAAGGGTAAGAAGTACAAATTTGGAGTCATTGATTCAGTGATTGCAGGGATGGACATGTTAACATATTTATATTTATACTAAATATTTAAAATCTCAAAACATAAAGTAACAACAACAGAAACAAAGCAGAAACAAAACCAAGACGTCACCTACTGATACAATCATACATTGATAGCCTAAGAAATTTACTCTACCTGAGGTGGGGCTTCATGACTGTTCCAATCATTTTTTTGACTGTCTGTGCTTCACATACCCAGAGACTCAGATCAACTGCAATGGTTTTCCCACAAAGATTATGCAAGTGGATGTGTTGTTTAACAGGTTCCAAAATTTGCCACAAGTCATTCACTCCCATTCTGGTGATTATCTGCTATTATTTGAAACACACTTCAAAAGACCGTTAAAAGACACAGAAGCTCAGAATAGAAATTCAAACAATACATGTTTGTTTAGGACAATTCATAAATAGAGAATTCTATTATTTATTTCTTATTTCTTTCATTAAGTCAGCTTTTCCAAATGAATCAAGAACGTTTGAAATATTAACAATGGTATAACTGACCTACTAGCTACAAAAATACTGATGTAACTAATGCATTAAAATTATTTGCAAATTGTACCATGATACATTTGTCCTTAAAAATCCACTCATCTAGAGGCCTCCATCGGGCTCTGTGCTGACAGCTTGGAGCCTGGAGCCTATTTCGGATACTGTGTCTCCCTCTCTTTCTCTGCTCCTCCCCCACTCATGCTCTGTCTCTCTCTCTTTCTCTGCTCCTCCCCCACTCATGCTCTGTCTCTCTCTCTCTCTAAAAAATAAAATAAACATTAAAAAAAAATCCACTCATCACCAAATATGGGTTTCTCTGTAGTACTGAAAAATAAAGTTATTTTAAATTTAATGCAACCCAAATGTCAATGGTCTTGTCCCTCCTCATTCTTTCTTCTTTTCTATGTTCTCTTTAGCAGCGGTGGAGAATGATATTTTCACATGGTTAGATTAATATTACATGAAATTCAGAAAATAAAAGGAAAAATAACCCCAAAATGGTAAAATTGGCTTTGTTCCAGCTGTTAACAAGAGATAACACATGCAGAGATGGGTACCCGGGATGTTGGAAATCATATTCGTCTTCTTGAGAATTCACTCCTTGATTTACATATCTAAAGCCAAGAATAGGACTAGTCCTCTACCATAATCAGGAAAAACAAGGACAGGAAAACAAGGAAGCAGGCAAACAAATAAACTGAGGAAAAAAAAATCCTAAGGGGCCATTGCAGAAAAAGTCTGATGGAAAATTGCAGGGAGACAGAAAATGGAGATTTGGAAGGACATTAAATATCTTTTTAAAAAGAGCTTTGGCTTTTTAGATTGCAAAGTCACACATGCTCATTATGGAAAAATAAAGTCTTTTAAAAGAACAAAGAATTTTAAATCACCTATAGTGTCACTATTCAAATTAAACTAATGTCAAACTCTTCTGTGTACAAGACATTTTGAAAACAAAAGTGGACTGAATTCTGGTATTCTAGCTTTGGTATTTTCTATAGTTGTTTTTCCTTATTAAACACCTGTTATCTCTTTTTCTCTTATTTTGCTATTATTTGATAAGAGTATTACGTAGTGCTTGCAACGATTCTGACTCTAAAACATAATCCAGATTATCATCCTTTGAACAATGACCTTAATTCATTCCAGAAACACAAGGTAGGATACAAAAAATATTACAAAAGGCTATCACGATGTAAAATGCAAAACCAATGCAAAGCCATTCGAAATTTTTAAAAAAAGCAAAGTTTCTCAAGTTGTACATGGCTACAAAAATAATTAAGGCTGAAAGTGTTATTACTTTCTCTGAACTTCTCTGACTCTTAATTTTAGAATATGGCCAGTGCCACAGGTATTATTATGTGCATTCATTTTTTATGAAGAACCGCACAAATACTTGCTGATATGTCACCTTACATAGAACATACAGACTTAAATGTAAAGCACAAAGCATTAGGTAGTGAATGGTACCTCAGTGTTAATATTGTCTATTTCATGTAAGAAGTCTCACTGGTTGAATGTGGCATTGTGGCATTCTCTTTGTTCATGTGCAAAGTTGTAGCTAATTCTGGAAAGAGTGGGGACATATATATTTTCTAAGTCATTATTACGAAAAGAAATAAGACTTCTAAGTTTTAAACATCAAAATGCATAAAATTCAGAAGTAGAAAGTTTGAGAGGGAAGTTTTGTTGACAGTTTTGTTTTCCTGTCATTTATGATTCAAGTTGTACACTGGAATGAATTGCTACTGAAGGAAATTATGAAATTTCTTTCTCTGGAAGAACATTATAACTGATCATATTTCATTTAAATGTGACCCTGACTCTAGCCATCAAAATTTTAAATGCAGGCTGTCTTCTGATTAGCAAAAGCTCTCCCAGGAATTTAGGATATTTCTTAGCTGTGTGCAGATTTATATAAAAGGATATAGACCATAGCACTATTTTTAATAGTGAAACAATGAGCAGAACCAAATGTCCATCAATAGAGGAATATCTTTAATAATTTATGATAGGTTGAAATAGAAGAGATGATGCAGCAAAAAAAAAAAATGGGATGGATCTACATGTACAATCTCCACGTTTTAAAATGAAAACAGGTACAAAATAGGTTATATATCAGGGATGACCATAGTTCAGGAATGAGGAGAAGAATTACTCTTCAAAGTATACTCCTTTGTGTTAATTTTTTAAATAATCATATGTATGTATTACTTTTCAAGTTAAGGAAAAAAAAGCTTTAAAAAATGTGGTTTGGGGCACCTGGGTGGCCCAGTCAGGTAAGCATCTGACTTTTGGTTTTGGCTCAGGTCATGATTCCGTAGTTCGTGAGTTCAAGCCCCATGTAGACTGCTGACAACATGCAGCCTGCTTGGGATTTTTCTCTCCTTCTTTCTCTGTCCCTCCCCAGCTTGCTCTTGCTCTGTCTCTCTCTCAAAAAATAAACATAATTTTTTCTAAAATGTGGTCCTATCTGTAAAAGGTTGGGGGAAAAAAATTAGAAATCTTTAGATGGTTTGCTTCTTGCCTAAATATTATGAGATCAAATATGGCTAGAGTTCATGAGTCAAGTCAAAAAGCAAGGTTTTGCAAATTTATGGTACCTGATATCAAATCTGACTTCAGTATGGCTTCTTTAGGGATGAGGGATTCACGTTTTCCATATTCTGTCAGATCATCTAGGAGCTAGTCATGTAGACTTAGGCAAGGTACATCCTTTCCTCTGGGCATTCCAGCTTGCAAATGCCTTCCGTTTTGTCTTATCTCTAAAGTTTCATTATATAATTTGACTGCACATATATAATAGTAATGAACAAAGATTGCCATATAGTACAGTGTTGGTTACGATGGCACACATAAACATACATTTTTGTAAAGGACTTCAGTGCATACTGTATTCCTTCTGACGGTTGTAGAAAAAAAAAGAGACAGTGATGAGGTAGGCTCTTGATTACAAACTGTAGTCCTCTAAGTATTTCAAGCACATTAGGAACATTTTGTAAAGACTTTAATGGAGTCTTATTCACTAGGAGTATTATTCACTAGGGCAGTCATGCCTAGAAAACAGTAAGCCTGGAATTAATTCTACTAAAATATTAAAATTCCACAGACTGGATCCCTTAAGCAAGATCGAGAGGGCTTTTAACTAAGCCCATAAATACTATTTTAATATGATTATTACACTTAAAACCTAATTCTTCACGCTATTTTATTTTCTTTTGTCAGAACAAATCTGGTTTAAAGAATGACCATCACATTTATGTCGCAGAACAACCAGTACTGGTAGTTGGACAGATATCTGTAATGTCTACCTAGAACACCTATTTTAGTTATTCCTTTATTAAAATGTGAGTGAAGACTACAAAGCTATAACTACACCTATTTAAACACAACTCTTATGCACAATGTAGGCAAAAAGAAAAAGAGTAACACAATTATCTGCTGGTTCCCAGGAAAGCAAAATGTGAGTTACTATCTCTGAGCTAAAGTGTTCTCTTCACTTTTCCTGAGTCATGTGGTATTTTCCAGAAAAATGTCTCTTTTGTCGCCAATCTTTTTGGTCACTGTATTTTAAAGTCTATCTCACTGCTTTTAAAACCACTTTGATACCTTAACCTAGTTTCTGTGTATCTACTGAAATGGATTTGAAAAAGGTCTCTCTTGTGCTTCCCAAGCACACTCCTGTAAAGTAGTAATGCTGTCTCTTTCATAAGCAAGAAGAATTGCTGCTATTGTGAATTACACCTTTCTGTCCATTTTCTCTGAATGATAGGAATCAAGGGGGCATTTTTATAGGAGCTAGCTTCTAGACATTCCTCAACGAACCTTTTTTCTCTGAGTAACTTTACATGAATGAACTTCTATTAGACCTTCTTGAATTACTGCAAGGCTTTACACAGCCTTGACTACTTTTAACTGAAAAAAAAATCAATTAGAACTATGTCAAGCAACATGTTAAAAGGGTTGGGAGAAGGCATGGGATTTGGAAAGTGAGCAGAAAGAATTATAGGAGGAATGTTTTTAAAATCAGTTAGAGGCAGACTATACCAGAAAAGACATTACTGCCAAATCTTCTGTGAAGATTCTGTAATGAACTCTTCTTCACTGTCCCTCATGTTATTTCCCCCACTTCATCTGACATCTCCACAGAGCTCTTAACTAGAACATCTAATTGCCTACTTTATCTTCACATGGATGCATAACATGCATCCTACTCTTGATTCCATTTCTCCCCAAAACTGTTTTACTTCTCATCTTTCCCAAATATCCAGTTGCTTAGGCCAAAAACTTAGCAGTCCTTCTGGATTCTGCTCTTTGTCTCCCCAACACCCACTCCATCAGCAAGTCCTCTACGTCCAAAATACATCCTAAATCCCCATTTCTAATGATAGTCCCCTCACATTTGCCTGCATACAACTGTAAGTCTCCCAACTGGCCTTCCTGCTTCTACTTTTTACAATCCTCTACTCCCACACAATTGTTTTCATAGAAGCCAGAGTGATCTAAATCATCTTCCTGTTTGTCACATTAACTTACTTATGTTGCTCTCTTATAGCCAGTTATAAAATGCAAAAAATACTAATGTAGAATTACGTAAGTGTTCTACATGTAGTACATTATTTTAAAATACTATTTTTAGGATTACTTTCCATAGACCTATGATCTAAATTGGTTAAGTTTAAAATGCATGTTTTTTGAAAATCACTCATAAAAGCAGAATATATAAAGAATATCCCAACAGTTCTGAAAGGGCAAAATTATGTGAAATGTGTACTGTATGAAACACAACACCATAACATGTTTTAAGAATATAGTTAATCCAGGGGGCGCCTGGGTGGCTTAGTCGGTTAAGCGTCCGACTTTCGCTTAGGTCATGATCTCGCGGTTTGTGGGTTCGAGCCCCGCGTCGGGCTCTGTGCTGACTGCCAGCTCAGAACCTGGAGCCTGTTTCAGAGTCTGTGTCTCCCTCTCTCTCTGACCCTCCCCTGCTCACGCTGTCTCTCTCTCTCTCTCCTAGAAATAAATAAAAATATTAAAAAAAAAAAATTTAAAGAATATAGTTAATCCAGGGGGGCCTGGGTGGCTCAGTCGGTTGAGCATCTGAGTACAGCTCAGGTCATGATCTCACAGTTTGTGGGTTCGAGCCCTGAATCGGGCTCTGTGCTGACAGCTAGCTCAGAGCCTGGAGCCTGCTTTGGATTCCGTGTCTCCCTCTCTCTCTGACCCTCCCTGCTCACATTGTCTCTACCTCTCTCTCAAAAATAAATAAAACATCTAAAAAAACCCAGAATATAGTTAATCCAAAATGTCTATTCCCATCATCCATTGTTTTCCATTCTTTGCTACTTCTTTGCACCAGCACTTCTTCTGAGTATTAAATTGCAATGAGAAGACTGTAAAAGCATGTAAAGTTTCAAAAAGGGACAGAATGCAACAGATTTTTAAAAAAAATTTTTTTTTAATGTTTATTTATTTTTAGGAGAGGGAGAGAGAGAGAGACAGCATGAGCAGGGGAGGGTCAGAGAGAGAGGGAGACAGAATTGGAAACAGGCTCCAGGCTCTGAGCTGTCAGCACAGAGCCCGACGAGGGGCTCGAACCCTCGAACTGCGAGATCATGACCTAAGCGAAAGTCGGACGCTTAACCGACTAAGCCACCCAGGCGCCCCAAAACGCAACAGATTTTAAGATATTCAAGTGCAACTACACTCCAAGAGAGAACAGATGGTTTTTGATCAGGTCATCATCAACCTGATGAGGTTACTTGAAAACAGCTCAGCATTAAGTAAAATTTAAATACCACAATTATCAAATTCACTCAAAACTACATATTATTTTTCTTTGCTTATTTTTAATAGTGTACAATTAAAAACACTTGTGGTATGGGATTTGGTCTCCACTCCCATATTCTATAATGCTGTAATCTTACTGACATCAATCTGATCATGTTATTGATGTATATTACATATAAAGTCTCCTTAACATATTAACAATTGCTAAGAATTAATGTGATACACTATTTACATGAATCAAAAAAGTCAGAATAACCCCAGCAAATAACTTTATAATGTATTAGTGGCTTCAATTTATTTTACCAAAAGAGCACTAGACTTGGGATTGGAGACCTAGGATTTTGGTCTTGGATATAACACAAGCTGTATGACCTTGGAAGATATTTAACCAACCCATTTACAAAATGCGCGGTAGGAAACCAGATGAGCTAAAAGATTCCAGTATCCTGTGAACCTCATGACCAATTGTAGGTAGGCTGGTACCAAAATAAAATCACTCTATGTTAGGTAGTATTGCTTGACAGAAAGAACATGAATTTCTAATTTAAAGAAAGGACTCAAGAATCCACTTCAGGTTAAAACAAAACAAATCCTTTGATGTAACCATATGGTGCCCATAAATCAATTTATGCTCCTAAAACTTCCTTAAGAGCTAATAAGCTTTTATTGGTTAATTATAAAACTGAATGAGGTGAGAAAAGCACAGAACCTTGCTAATTTCACTAATGAATCAAATTTTAAAGAACATAAAAAGAGGTCAGTGGTTAGATTTATGCAAAAATACACATTTTGTTATGCCAACAGTTTTCCAATTTTATTTAAGTTTTAAGCAGAAACATCAGGAAAAAACTTTGTAAAAATAAAGCAAAAAATACTTTAAGTTTCCCAATTTCCATGACAAGACTATGTTTTCATATAAAGATAGGTAAATGGTTTAAGTTTATTTAAATACAAGACTGGATTGTATGGGTTTACTACATAATTTCACTAATTAATGCTAGATCTTAAATTTTTCTTCAATTTTCATATGAATTTAGCTTAAACTTTGAAGTGTAATATACCCGACTTAACTTATAGTTATCAATAAGTATTTATTAAATGTCTACTATGTACCAGGAGCCCTAGATGCTAGAGATACAATAATGAAAGATAAAGCCCTGCATCTAAAAACCTTAGGAGGGCAACTGAGATCAGAGATGAAAAGAGAATTACAACAATGTGACAAGTACAGGCAGAGGTAGCATGAGTAAGCTACAGAATATAAAACACCCTACCTAATATTGGGCATCAAGTGACAGCTGAGCGAAAACCTCCCAACGATTTCCCATTCCTTATCAACAAGGACCACTTAGACCAGGCGTTGTAGGAGTTTAGTCTAGTTCGACTAGGTCCTACTTTTCCTTATGCCATGGCAAGGGTCACACTGGTAATACGATATACATTTGATAATCTTCAGAAGCAAACGGGGACTTCGATGGAAGGAATTTCATTACTGGAGCCCAGAAACTGATCTGTTTGAGGGCGAAGTGGGGGTAGCGGTAAATGCCACATTTTCCCATCTACAAGGGAAGGCTGCGGAGTAAATAGATTCTTTAACTAGATCAGCACAATCACTTGAAGAGCTGAGTAAAGGCAGTCGAGGAGAGGTAGGTTTAAGGGGCTGAGAACAGCCCTGAAAGCTACGCCAAGAACTTAAAACTTCGTTAGTTCCGATATTTATTGAGTGGCTTTACAACAGGCCAGGGCGGGGGCGGGGGCGGGCTGTAAACAACCACAACGCCCTAAGGTTACTGCTCCTGTGTACTTTCAGAGCACAACGTTAACCCGGAATAAGGCACACTCCAGGGGGACATCGCCCGCGGTGGCCTAGGACCGGGCGCGGGCTGCACACTGTGCGGGAGGGAAGGACGCCGAGGGGCCGCCGCCTCTGCCGAGCAGCCGGCGGCTCTCCCACCGCACTCCCGGCCGAGCCGCAGACCGGGGTTCGCAGGAGCGCCCCCAACCCAGCTGTCCACGGAGCCAGAGGCACCACGGGGCGCTGCCGCCTCGCCCCGGTCCGCGGGACTTACCCGGACAACCCTTTCCACTTGGCTTTGGAAGACGCCCTTCCGTCATTGACTAGTTCGGCCTGAATCCTAACTACTGCTGCCTCCAAGTTTCCTCTTCCAAAACAAAAAATAATTTAAAAAGGAAAGTTTAAAAAAAAAAAAAAAGGAAAGGAAAGGAAAAGTCCTCTTCCTTTTTGGTTAAGCAAAGACTAACGTTTGGGACGCGGCACCCCGACCCGGGAAGCCGACACAAGCACTTCTAATTCGGCGCCCTCTCCCAGCGGCCCCGCCTCTTCCGGGAAGTCACCGGCCTCTTCCCGCGACCGCGGTCTCTAGGTTTTCCTGGCTCCGGGCCGGTCAGCTCTACGCATGCTTGGAACTGTTGCCGGGGTACTCCGAGTTCTCTTCCCTTTCACTCAGGCAAATCACCCGGGCCCCGCGTCTCGCCGCCGCGGAGTCCTGCGTGCCTGCCAGCCGCCCTGTCCGCCCAGGAGCACTTCCGGCCCCTCCTCTGAGACTGTAGTGGCGCGAAAACCCCGAACGGCGCACGCGCGGGCTGAGCCCCGGCGGGAGGGGGGGCGGGGCGCAGGCGCGCAGTGTCCCGCGGTGGGCGCCGGGGCGGCCAGGCTGCTGCGTCCTCGCACCGCCGGCGCGCGGTTCCCGGCGGGCCAACGGCGGCCAGCCGAGGCCGAGAGCCTCAGCGTCCCTTCAGCGTCCCGCCGCACCGCGACAGCCGCGCTGGTCGTGCTCCTTGGGGAGACTTCGACTTGTTCGAGGTAAGGTGAGGGCGCGCGCTGCCGCTCTCCCTTGCTCCGGATCCATCCCCTGCCGCCGCCCCCTTAGCCGGCGCCCCCTCAGCCCGCCTGGCGGCGGCTCGGTCCGCGGAGCTGCGGCGGCGTCCAGGGGATGCCCGCGGGCCGGAGCAGGCCAGCCGGCCGGCGCCGGTTTTCGGGCTGGCTCTGCGGGCGACACAGGTCCCCTGAGCCGCGGGAAACTTGCCCGCTGCCGCCGAGCCCCTCCTCGGCCGGCTCCGCCGGCGGGGCTGGGAAGTCCTGGCCCGGGCTGTGGAAGCCGCGCCCGGCCCCAGGCGGCATGCGGGTTCTCGGAGTCGCTGGCGGGCACGGGGTCACGGGGGCGGCTGGGCTCGGACATCCGGCTCGTCGAGCGAATCTGAGCCCTCCCCGGCCGCAACTTCGTATGGTTACGAGATCTCTGCAGACAGCACTTAAGTTGCATTTGTTAAGTCCCAGCTTTATGACAACTCAGACTGGATTACCTAGAAAAATTAAAATGTGACGTGTTTGGAGGTTTTAGGATGGCATGTCTTTTCCCTCTTTTCTGCTCATGGCAATGAACTGAAGAAGAGCCGCGACTGGGAATTGCGGAATACTAGTCAAGGATAGAGAGAGGGGACCAGTAAGACTTGAGATAAAACTGTGATAATTCTTGGAAAGAGTAACTATTTTGTTTTTAAACCCTGAAGGCAGAATTTATGTGAGCGCTTATTACTTTGTGTATATTTCATGAGTAGGAGATTAAGTGCGAGGGTTTTAAAGACCAGCTATTCCGGAATGTGTACTCTTAAGTTGGGGGGGGGGGGAGCCCAAACTCCGTAAATTTGAGAGGACTGCTATATAGTGTCTTAAAATATTCAATAGCAGAAAAATAAAACAAAAAAGTAGCCTATGCAGTGGCGTACAGTTAGTTCCACAGTGTGTGGGTGGGAGGGAACATACCAGAACTTCTGCGTAGATTTACCATTTACTTCATCTCGTTCTAGTAAGTACTGTGTGAAATACACAGAGTGATAATTTTATGTCAAAATGTGTACTCAAAATTTCTTTCCCTGAATGGGTATGAGTGCAGAAAGTTTGGAGATCACTAGAATATTGCTTAAAAAATATGTGTTTGTATAAGAAAACCAGTGTTGAGCGACTGGGTTTATTGATATCACCTCTTTAAGTTTTATTTCTTATTCTGTAATTGGAGGAAAATAGCTGTAGTACCTAATGGGCAAGATTCTTAAATACGTGTGTGTTAAATATATAATCAATATAAAGCATTTAGTATTGAGCCTGGCAAAAAAAAGTAAGTACAAATGGTATATTAAATTTATTAAAGTGAGAATCCATTTTTATACCCCAAAAGTTTATTTCACTCGGTGTCTAGATGTATAATTTTATATAAAACCTACCTAAATCTTGACTAATCATTTTTAGGCCTAAGTTAGGAAAATTAACCAAAGCTATCTTTGACTTTCAAGAATGAATAAACAAGTAACTCAAAATTTTACCATAATAGTGTGCATTATATTAAAGGCATAATAACATATTACAGTTCTGTATACACATACACTCCTAAGTCCAGGTGACTGAGGGTCGAGTATAGTCACATATTAATGTTAGCGTTTTGATTCACTAGTTCATGAGAGGCGTCTTTTCTCATTCAACATACTTTCCCTAGTGACCAACTCAGAATAGTTTCTGTGGCTTTCTTAGCAACACTCCCGATTCCACCCCTGCTGCAGAGTATATTTTACTGTCTATTGGCCTCACCATCTCAGTATCCTAAGGAGCACTTCAAACTCAGTGTTTCCAAACAAAATAAAGGTATTATTTACTAACTTCTTTTCCTTCCAGACCTGCTCTATCTACTTACAATGGCAGTTAGCATTGTGTGAATATTGTTCTAAAAATGAAACACAAGATGAAATTTTATAAAGCCCAAAGTTTTAATTGGCTCAAATAGTAACATTAGGATAATCACAATAGAATCCTTTTTGTAGCTTTATACATTAACAAAAAATAGATAAGAAGATGGGTAGATTAATACCCAGTTTCACTTCCTATAAACAAATTCAGTTGTTGATGCCTGGAGGAACCTGGGCATTGAAGAGTTTGACTGGGTTTTGACAAGCCTGGGTTTGGATCTGAGCTCTGATAACACAAGCCTGAGCAAAATGTCTTCTTGAGCCTCAGTATCCCCTTTTGTAAAATAAGGACAGTGCTTAAAAAATGTTGAGGATTAAAGAAGATATTCAACAAATGTTAATTGTACTTCCCCACTTTCCACATACTTTTAAATCTCTTGATTTCCTCTGTTTCTTTCACTGATATTGCCACTGCTTTTGTTCAGTGCCCCTCATCCTTTAGAGGCTATCTCTTTTGCCTCTCTCCACTATCTCTGTTTCATGCTCCCCATGTACTGAGGCCACAGGGATGTTTTTAAAACATGTATCTGAGTGTTCACATTTTATTATCTGAAATGCTGTGCTTAGTATTTCCGAGTTTTGCTGATCTGGAGTTACTTGATAGATGGACTTAATGAATTTTTTCACTTAAATATTTATCGTGTTTTATGATTTTATGATATGTCCCAAGAGTGTGCTTAATTAATTCAGTACATTAAAAATGAGATTGTTTAATGCACAATTGAGTATGTTGGTGGCAGTGAGAAGGGCAGAATTGGGGATGAGGTAAACACAGTCCACTGCACATTCAGGTACAGCAGCAATTTGTCTTTATTTTTTTCTTTAATTTTTTTAAGTTTATTTATTTTTGAGAGAGACTGTGCATGTGTGTGTGGGAGAGGGACAGAGAGAGCTGGTGAGAGAGATATCCAGCAAGCACTGTGCTATCAGTGCAGAGCTGGGTGTGGGGCTCAAGCTCACAAATCCTGAGATCATTGACCTGAATGGAAATCAAGAGTCCGATGCTTAACAGACTGAGCCACCCAGGCACCTCTGCCATTATTTTTAACTGCTATTTCCTATTGATAATTTCAGTTCTGTCTGTTCTCACTGCTGTTAGTCCCTACTTGGATATTAATGAGAAGTATGAATTATTAGATGGATCACAATAAAATTTAAAATTTAGGAATTTAAAATCCTATTGAAAAGTATTTGATCCATCACATTTCCTATTCACTTACTTGTAATAATGAACTCCTGGTTATTGATTTTTCTTCTTGAGCACATTTTTTATTGATAGTTGCATATTTGTTACTCTTCTCCTTCTGATTTGCTTCCTGTGAGGGAGAGAAGTATTCCTTCATTCTGACATTTTTATTGTAAATAAACACATAAGGAGCTTTTATGGATGTATTAAAAATCCCAGAGTTTTTTTCCATTTTGTGTGTGTTTCAGAATATTAAAAGTGTTTTTCTTTGCATCTGTTTATTGGTCTCTCTAGCCTTTTAGAAACAGTTTTACTGTATTAACTTGTATCTAACACTCAGGACATTCATATGTGTTTTTAAAAATCCATTATCATTAAATTACAAAGTGTTTCCTATTTTAAAAGGTAGAATCCTTCGGTGTCTGATGCATGTTACCATGGCAACCTAATAGCAAACTGCAAATCCTAAGCCAAGCACAGCAAATAAAAAACATCGTCATCATGTTGCACACCATCTTCTGTGTAGTACAGAATCTCACATTCATTGTAAGAAGCTTATCACATGTACCTACATGCATCTCCTTCCCCCAGTTTTACTTGAAAAACTGCCATTTTTTTATATGGTAAAATACTAAAAATCAGTCAGCTTATGTCTGAGTGCCTGCTAGCTGCAAGATCATTATTGGGCATTAATGAAAACAGTATGTAAAAGGACATTAAATGTGGGGAAAACCAAAGAGTAATGCTTCCTCTTTGCTTGTCTACAATAAATAAATTATTGCTCAGTAATTAAGAAGGAAACTGAGGATGGGTGGGTGAGAAGGAGATATTTTGGGAAAATATACCATGGATGGTATTCCAGGAAATTTAAGTTAGCAATAAGCTGAAACCAATATACATTGACTCTTGTTGTTAAATAGTTGGAGAAATATGTTGGATTTTCAAGTTTTGACCTGTGTAAGAGATTCAAAATTAACATTCAATTATTTATTAAAAAGATGTTAAATCTTATGTAATTGTGACTGTAATGCTAATATTGTCTCAGACGTTTGTTTAGGTAAATGTCCTTTGGATTTTATCTGATATCATGATTAAGTTCTTAATTGCCTTCAGGATAGATTGAAGTCTAAGTTTTTAAATGTTGTTTTAACGGTTCTTCTTAGGAATCTCCTAAGATCTTGTTAGAAATGAAGATTCTGAATCATTTGGTTTAGGAAGGGGGCTGAGATTCTGGATATCTAATACATTCCCAGGAGATGTAAATGCTACTGCTGGTCCTTGGACCACACACTGAATATCAAGTCTATAAGTCATTTTATGGTTGGCTTCTACTCTGCTGCTCTAACTTAATTGCTTGCTAGCTACGCCTTATAATTTATGGCATTGTGACATGGACGTACTTATCGTAGCATCTGTACTAAGCAGTTTGCAGACTGTGGCCCGGGATCCATGCGACTCTTTCAAAGGGTCAAGAAAGTCAAATTATTTTCATAGTAATAGTCAGATGTTATTTGCCTTTTTCACTCTCATTCACTTATGAGTAAATGGAGTCTTCCAGAGGTTATGAGACATGTGATGATGCCATTGCTTTGAGGACTGACAGAATGTGTACATGTGTGTTCTTTGGTTTAAAAGCTTCTCAGTTTTAATGTACAATATGATAGATATTGATAGGTGTAAACATAAAAGCTCTTTGATTTCCTTAGTACTTTTTAAGAAATTGACCACAACCTTTGAGAACTGCTGCCCTATAGTATTGGGCTGTAGATGCTAAGACTCAGAGGTATAGAACTTTACCAAAGCTCTTTTCTTAGCCACAGTGACTGCTGGTATGAGTGGGGATTTTAGCGTTCCACGTGGTTTCCATGAAGTTTTCAAGGGTGGCCTCTTTACCTCTCTGGGCAGTGGTAAAAGGTCTCATGTGACACCATCCAGCAGGGAGTGGGAGAAGTAAATAGCATCCTCTTAGTGCCTGATCAGGGTGGACATCTAGGCTCTCTAGGTAGGCTCCACCGACACCATTATGACTCCTTGCTTGGCCTACATAACCTTCTCTGACACTGGCCCAAATGGGGCATAGAGATGCCTCCTTACGGCCTTGTAAGGTGATAGTCTAGGCTACCCACTTAGCCTTTGCTAATGTGTGTGTCGTTGGGGGAGTAGAAGGAGATGCCACCTTTTTTAGTGGTTTTTGGCTGGTGTAGAGCAATTACTTTCTAAAAGCTTTCTGTCTTGTCAGGTTGCCCTTATTCTGGTCCCTTGGCTAGAGACAGCAAGCTTTTATTAGGCAATTTTTCCCCCTGCACCTGTTCGTTTTTCCCCAGTTGCTGTCTTCTCCAAGTCTGGGATATTTGAAGCAAAACAAATCTCTGGGAACCTTGATGTCATTCCTTGGGTCCTGAGGTCCCTAGCCACTCTACTTCTTCTAATTCAGAGTTGTCTTATGTTTCTTATGTTTGCTTTATATATGATTTCTACAGTTTTTAGTTTTACTAAACTGAAGGAACAGGGAAAAGTAGATCTATTTCATTTTCCTGTAAGTGGAAGTCTCTGATTGCTTTTGTAACTTGCACTTTGGGAGAAAGAATGAGAGACTGAACTCTAGACTCACTGCATATCCCTTATATTTGGTTGTACAAGAAATAGGAATAAACATTAAAATATGCCTATTAAAGAAAATCTAGATTTGATAAAGCAAAGATCTAATTTTTAGAGAAAATATTTCAAAATTTAATTAAATAGAATTTGCATGAAAGGAGTCATGACTACCACTGAGGATCTTATAAAACATAAGGTAATCTTGTCTAGTAAATGTGAGGGTTTACGTTATATCAGTGTTTTGAAAAATAAAATTAACGCGAAATTGATTCAGAAGGATATAGTAAACCTGTTAAAACCAGTATACAAGAAAGAAATGTAAATGATTTCATTAACTTTCAGACAATCTCTACTTTCTGCTAGACTTTCAGCCTAGCTCTTTCTTGAAAAAATTTTTTTAATGTTTATTTTTGAGAGAGAACAGAGACAGTGCAGTCAGGGGAGGGGCAGAGAGAAAGGGAGACACAGAATCCGAAGCAGGCTCCAAGTTCAAGCTCTCAGCATAGCCCTGAGACGGGGCTCGAATTCATGACTGCGAGATCATGAGCTGAAGTCGGACACTTAACTGACTGAGCCACTCAGGTGCCCCTAGCCTAGTTTTTTCTTACTTTCAAAAAGACATTTAATGTGTCATGCAGTTGAAGTGATTTCAGAGCATTAAAAGGATGGGGAGACCACTTAGTTTATTTAATGAGGAATACATTGTCAAAATAACACAACCTGACAATGATAGTTCTCCAAACCAGTTCCTCCAAAATGTGTACAGATGTTTCATATTTCTGCCAGATCAGTTCTATCAATAGAATTTGGAAAGCAGTGGATTTAAAAATTAAACACATATATGGATATCTCTTCCCCCCTTCCCCTCTTTTTCTCGGTCACATTCCTTCTCTGGAGGCCCCGCTTTGGTTCCTGGACATCTACATCATAATCTCTTTGGAGCACCATTCAACTAGTCCCCCCACCCTTCTCTCTCTCTTTCTCTCTCTCTCTCTCTCTCTCTCTCTCTGTGTCACACACACACACACACACACACACACACACACAGACTGCCTTTGTTGCCCTGTGTGCATATGTCATCATATATGGCTTTCATCTCTAGTGAGGACTGACTGGAATCCTTCAGTCCAAAATTAAGAGAGAGAAAACCTCACTTACTCTTTCGCTGCCCAGGTACCTCGTGCAAACTTGGTTGCTATGATACATTGTCCTTGGTGGACTTAAATGGGTCGAGACTAGAACCATTCTTCATATTCTTTCCTTGTATCTTAGACATTTTTGATTACCTGTGTTGTGGATTTTCTCTCCATTTATTCAGCAAAGTTATTAGGTACGTATCATTATAAGTCTTAAATGTATTTTAGAGAGAACAAGGAAAGTAACAATCAGACTACTTATAACATTTAATTTTAATCACAGACTGTTGGCTTTGACTTGAGGTGCAGTATGTTCAAAAAGTCTTGTGTAATTTTAAGTACATTAATTTTCTGGGCATAATTTTTATAGTACATTGGAAAAATCTAGCATGGATTGTTTCTTTAGGGAAAAATTAAGGAAACTGCTGGTGCTAGGCATCATGACTTCAAAATATGCTTCTTTGGGAAAATGATTTAAAATTAATGGTTTTATCTGAAAAAATTGGATGATTGCTCTGGAATACTTCCAGAAGACATTATGGCATCTCTATTAATAGATCTAGGAAACTAGAAACCAGAGTTTCACAAGTAAGGTTTTTTTAACCTTTTGTGAGTTTTAGTAGTCAAAACATTTAGGTAGGCCCATATCAATAAAACGTTGGCAATGAATAACTCCAAAGTAAAATCAACTAGCGTAGCATGTGAACATGATTAAAGAAAACCACAACATAAACTTTATCTTACAGTTCTGCAAGTTAGAAATCTGCTCATCTCCTAGGGCTAAGATCAAGGTGGCAATAGGGCTATCCCTTTCTGGAAACTAAAGGGGTGAATTTGGTTGCCTTTCCAGCTTTTAAGCGGCCACCTGTGTGTTTTGGCTCGTGGCCCCCTTCCTCTGTACAGATAATATTTTTACTTCTTTAAACTAAAAACAAATGGAGATAGTACTGAAAACTTAAGCTTTGTCTTATTTTACTTCATTGTTACTCTAATATATGTTCAGACCTGATGGCCAAAAGAAAAGAAAATTTCTTCTCTCCTGAAAATGCCAAAAGACCAAGACAAGAAGAGTTGGATGACTTTGACAAAGATGGTGATGAAGATGAATGTACAGTTTCTTTCACTAATGGTACCTCTACTTTGGTAAGTACAAAATTTTTGGATTGGCATGGTTCTTATGTTTGGCTCATATGCCATATTTTTGATAACTCAATATCAGGAAAGGCAGTATGGTGTTTAAAAACCTAAGGGAAAAGAATATAAATAACTCTGAAGTTTATATTAACTATTACAAACATTTAGGGAAAACTATAGAACAAAGAACTTGTTCTTTAGAAAAATCAGTAAATTTGACAGACCTCTACTAAGACTGACAAAGGGAAAAAAAGACACAAATTACCAATAACAGGAACGAAGCAGTAGGTATGACCACTGACTCTGTAGGCTTCAAAATGACATGACAGATGTTCAACATCATTTATTATTGAAATATAAACTGAGAAGACCACAAAGAAATATTACTACACACCCATCAGAATGACTGAAGTTAAAAACAACAATGACGACTTCAAATGCTGGGAAGGATGCAGAGAAACTGGATCATTCATATATTGCTAGTGGGAGTGTAAAATGATATAGCCACACTGAAAAATAGTTTGGCTGTTTTGTTTTGTTTTGTTTTGTGTTTTTAACATGTATCTGCCTACCATATAACACAGCATTTGTCCCAGAGAAATGGAAGATATACCTTCACATAAAATTCTATATGTGAATGTTGATAGCTTTATTTGTAATAGCCCAAACTGAAACAACAACAGATGTCATTCAGTGAGCAAGTGGTTAAATATTGTGGTACACCTCTACGATGAAATACTACTTACCAGTGAACTCCTGATGTAGGCAACAGTAGACATTTCTTTTTTGTTAATTTTAATTGTTTTAATGTTTATTTTTGAGAGAGAGAGCGAGAGCAGGGAAGGGGCACAGAGAGGGAGACACAGAATCTGAAGCAGGCTCCAGGCTCGGAGCTGTTAGCACAGAGCCCGATGCAGGGCTTAAATCCACGAACCATGAGATCATGACCTGAGCCAAAGTCAGATGCTTAATCAACTGAGCCACCCAGGAGCTCCCTAGACATTACTATAACATTTGTGAAATGACAGTGTTCTAGGAATGGAGAACAGATTAGTGGACTGGGGGTTCAGGTGGGAGTGGATTGGGCGGGATGTGAATTAGCTGTAAAAGGGTGATCCAGGGATCCTTGTGGCGATGGAAATGTTCTGTATCTTGATGTATCAATGTCATATCCTGGTTGTGATTTTGTACTACAGTTTTTAAGATATTATCATGGGCAGAAACTGAATAAAGAATTCACGGGATCTCTCTGTATTATTTCTTACAACTGTATCTACAATTAGCTCAAAATAGTTATTTTAAAAAACCTTCAACCATAGTTTCCAATATTCTACTCATATGAGGATATAAATGTTTCTAGTTTTTAATAAGGTGGTGTTGGTGTCCAGAAGAAGAGAGCCAGGGAGTTTTTCAAGTCACTGTTAAAAAAGATGGAGATCGGGGCACCTGAGTGGCTCTGTCGATTAAACATCCGACGTTAGCTCAGGTCATGATCTTGCAGTCTGTGGGTTAAAGCCCCACATCGGGCTCTGTGCTGACAGCTCAGATCCTGGAGCCTGCTTCGGATTCTGTGTCTTCCCCGATCTCTGCCCTTCCCCCACTCACACTTTCTCTCTCTCTCTCTCTCTCTCTTTCTCTCAAAAATAAATAAATAAATAAACATTTTTTTTAAAAAGTTGGAAACATTAAGGTTCTTCAAAAATACTGGAAAGTTTGGTAAAATAGGGTTGATTTATTTTGGTGTTTCTGATTACAAAGTGTGACAACTGTCTGCCAAACTGTTGATTAAAACATTTATAAAATTCTAATGCTGACCTATATTTACACTATATGAATGATTTTGTGTTTTTCAGATTTTAGAAACTATATTCTTTATACATTGCAAAAGTCATAGTTATCATGAGTGACAGACACAGAAAGTCACCAAAAAAACAGGCTTACCTTTTAAGAACATGTGCTCTAGTTTTTGAATTATCTATAGCAAATTCATTGTTCCGACCATAGCTGGATAATCCTCTTTTAGGGATGCTCTAAATGCAGGAAATTTTATTGTAACAGTGGTTCCCAGCGAAGGGGGAGTTTTCCCCCCTTGGGGGACATTTAGCAGTGTCTGGATAAATTTTTGGTTGTCACAACTCAGGGTTAGGTGTGTGCTACTAGCATCTAGTGGGTAGAGGCTGGGAATGTTGTGAAAATTCTCAAAATCAACAAAGCAGCCACACTCCAACAAAAAAATTACTCAAAATGTTAGTATCATCATATTAAGAAACTACATGAGAAAATTCTTAGATCCTTTAAGGACTTGAGAATGAGTAGTTACTTATTGAAGGTACCCATTTAATTTCATCTTACTTATTGAAGTTAAGATTATTCACTTACTAAAACTTTTTTCATTAGTAACACTGCTGATCTTTCTCCAAATGCTTAGATGATTATAACGAGTTTATTAGACAGATTAATAATTGTCTCTCTTGCTCTCTTTTTTTTTTTTTGTTAATAGACTGCAGCAGAAGTTGGAATAATTGAGAGTATTCAGCTAAGAAACTTCATGTGTCATTCGATGCTTGGACCCTTTAAGTTTGGTTCTAATGTCAACTTTGTTGTTGGCAACAATGGAAGTAAGTGCTTTTGCCCTCCTTCTTATTTGACTTTGAGTAGTACTTTGAAGTTAGAGTGCATTAACTTTTTAAGATAGGTGACTGTGAGTGCTGATAAATCCCTTTGGGATGTGGTAATGAGTATTTTCAGTATTTGCTGCTAGTCTGTACTTTAGAAAAATAATGTTAACTCTAGGTTCACTATATAGTATGAATAAACATTTCCTACTTACTGTTTTGACTCCTTTTACCTTGTTATTCATACCGTAGAAGAGTGGACAAACGAGCCTTATTGTGATTGAGGCAGCCCTGTGTCTTACGTCTATTAAATGTTATAATAGAGCATAAATAGAGTGCCATAGGAATCCAAACATGAAAGAAACTAACTCTCACTGTGGCCAATGAAAGCTTAAAGAGGAGGTGGTATTTATGGTGGTACTTGAATGAAAATTCTAGATCTTTAGGCCTCATTGGGGAAGAGGAAGCTAAGATGTTCCAGGCAAAGGGTGCTTATCAGAAAGGTTTGGAGGGGAGTAATAGATGTGCATGGATGGTGGTGAACAGCCTTATATGGGTTTATCGTATCCTACACGGCAGGGAAGGGCAGAAGTTGATGCTGGAGGGACAGTGTTGTAGGTGATACCGGTGAGGATCTTGAATGCCATGATAAAGATTCTGGTGTTTTATTCAGAAGTCAGTGGAGAACCAATTACAGTTTGTGAGTAAGGGATGACATGGCCCAGATTTGTGAAGCACGCTGGCCACGTTGTGGAGAATGGATCAGAAGGGGAGAGGCATGAGGGTTAGAAAGACCAGTTAGGCAGCTTTTATGATGGACCAGCCAGGTGTGAGCTGTCGACAGCTTGACTGACCAGTGCCTGGAGAGGAGGCTTGCCAGAGCACACTGCCAGTGGTGCTAGAACAGGGTGGTAGTGGATGCAGCTCCGCCTTCTGTTTAGTTGCTCTGTTTCCCCTGCTGTATACTCAGTCCAGAGGAGGCTGTTTGCAGGAGAGAGTGGATAGAGGGATGCTGGAGCTCCCACAGGACAAGAAGTCAGGAGAGACTGGTGGGTTCTACAACTAGGTCTTTTCTCTTCCTTTTTTTTTAAATTTTGAAATCGTTATTTTACTAATAAAACTTAGAGAAGAAGAAATAATGCAGATAGTGGAAGCAGTGAATTTGGAACTGAAGGAGAGATTTAGAACAGAGACTTGAAAGGCATTCAAGGAACTAAGTCAGGTTAGCCAGTGGTGTATTTTGGTTAATTTAGGGTATATTGTGGAAAATGATGGGCCAGTAAGAGTTGATTGAATTGGTTGATTGTGGAGTTCAGAAAATGATTGCATATTCTGGTTAATTGTTTTGATATTGAAATTTCAGCTTGTGATAGTTTGTATGTTAGGGTAAAACGAAGTATCCTTTTCAGAAAGTTAGCAAATGAATAATCAAATTAGGAAGAATAGTTGTCAAAAAATTACACAGAAACATTTATCTGTATGACTGATGATTTTTTCATATTTAAGATCATTATTCATTCAACTAATACCAGAGTGTCTGTTATGGGCCACTATTGGTGCTACCGCATGAATAAAACAGACAACACCCTGTCCCTCTGGAGCTTGCTCGCATTCAGGGCTTGTTAAAAAGTTTCAGACTTTCATGAGTTGGTGGAAAAAGTAAATTATACCTAAATTAGAATGTGATAAAGATTAGATGAATTTAGTATCTGTGTGCAATTAGAAAGATAACCTCATTTAATAGGCCGATGGACCAAGATGAAAAAAATGAGCATTTTAGGTTGGAAAGATGTCAACCATTTTTTTTGTTTACTTATTAGTGGCAAAAATTTGATTCCTGAATTATACTACTTTTTTTTTTCTAATTGCAACAGCTAAGTATTTCTTGATATATACAATTTTTTTTAAGGTTGCTAAAAAAAAAACAAAAACGGTAATTGAAGTATAACACTTCATTTCAGTGTTAGAACTAATTTACATTTTCATTCAGAAATCTTGTTACATCAAATTGTGGGCATCAGCCTCTATTCTGTCTCCTTAATAAATGTGATTTCGTCAACACCTGTTTCCATAGGTGGGAAGAGTGCAGTGCTCACAGCTCTCATAGTGGGTCTTGGTGGAAAAGCAGTCGCTACCAATAGAGGCTCTTCTTTAAAAGGTTTTGTGAAAGACGGACAGAAGTAAGTGTTTGCTTTCTACATGTATGTTCTAGTTCTTTAGTAAGAAGCAGCTGCTTTAGGTTCCCAGTTCATGTAAACATGGTAGGAACTGAATTGGCTTCCCAGAATTGGAGAAGAGTCCCATCTTTCCAGATACTTTCTTTTTGCCCTGTTGCCAGGATGGCCCACTGTTCCTGTTAAGCTGTCCAGACGGAAGCTCCTGTAAAGTGCTGCCACGTGCTTGCCTCTTATACTTTTATTTCTGTTAACTTTTTGGAAGAAAGAACAAGCAATGATAAAATCTATGTACTTCTGTTTTTTTATTTTTCTTTTTTTTAAAAAAATTTTTTTTTATGTTTTATTTATTTCTGAGAGAGACAGACAGCGTGAGCAGGGGAGGGTCAGAGAGAGAGGGAGACACAGAATCCAAAGCAGACTCTAGGCTCTGAGCTGTCAGCACAGAGCCTGATGTGGGGCTCGAACCCACAAACTGTGAGATCATGACCTGAGCCGAAGTCGGATGCTTAACTGACTGAGCCACCCAGGTGCCCCAGTTTTTTTATTTTTCTTAATGTTTATTCATTTATTTTGTGTGAGAGAGAGGAAGCACACGCAGGTGCACGCACAAGCTGGTGAGGGGAAGAGAGAGAGAGGGAGAGAGAGAGTCCCGCAAGCTCCATGCTGTCAGTGCAGAGCCCAACATCGATCTCAACCATGAGATCATGACCTGAGCTGAAATCAAGAGTCGGACACTTAACCAACTGAACCACCCAAGTGCTCCATGATACTTGTGCTTAAAGGGATATTTATAAACATTGAACTTTCCTGGCCCTTGTCCCAAACCCAGCTTGATCAAGTCCATGTTGGTATGATACAGACAAAAGCAGAGTCAGCAACCAGCCAGGGGTCCCCGCACAAGATTTCTGCCTCCAGTTCGCTAAGAATTCCAAAAAAGTATTCCAGTGTCTTTGATTTTTTGTCCTTCATGCAGGTGGTTTGCAAGTGGATTTGATTTGAGGACTACACCCACGTGCCTGTTTGTTGGTCCACCTTGACCCTTGGAGAGTGGTCCTGTAACTGCCCTCCTTCGCTTTACACATTTCTTCTTGATAGGACTTGCTTTCATGCAGCTTCATAGAAGTTGCCCAGTTTGCATCTTCATGGACTTAGGGCCTTTTGCCAATTAGGAGCGCTCTTCAGGCCGATCTCCTTATTCTTCTTAAAACTGCCTCAGATAACTCCGAAGGGGTTCTTGCGTCTTCTAAAAACTCGAAGTCCCAAACTCTGTTCTGCTACCTTGCTGAGTGAGGCCGCTCCCATTGCTTGTTTCTCTTTTGGACACCCCATACCCAGAACTTCAGGAACTTGGATAATTAACAGTGATACCATTTTTCTCATATGATAGACTTTCCTTCTTTTCAGTGTTCTTTCCATGTAACTTCTTCAATTTTATGACTAAAAAATAGAATGGGGACGATGTGAACTGGGATTGCAGTTTTCTTATGTATTTCTCAGGAAGCCGTAGGAATTTTAACCCAAGCCAGGGTTCCAAGTGGACTCAGGAGAAGGGGGTAAACATACACAGGAAACATTTCCCATGCTGTATGGCCTTGGAAAACAACTATTTGGTAACAATTCTCCAGCATATTTTCTGTCTCTCCTTATCTTATTTGGGCTCCAGCCCAGCAAGGTCTTCTCCTCCCTCCCTAGTCCCCAGCCAAATGATCTCTGAAGTCAAAAATTAGTTACTTCAACATTTTTAATGGCTCCAGCTCGGTTTCAGTTCATTCTACTTAACTATACATTTCTTAGTTGTCTGAACAGTCACTTAGTGATAACAGTCACTTTATCAGATAACACATTGATCTTTCAAATAGAAGCTTCAGGAAAAGAAATAAGTTTTTTATCTAACCCTAAATGTTTTATGTGTCAATTAAATTGTTTTGTTTTGCTTTTTTCCGTTTCGAGAAGTATCTGGACCAACACAGAAACTTCTTTCTGAAACTTGTCTTCAGAATACCATTTTAAAAAAGAAAGAGAAAAGCTAGCTTACACAAATCACCAACTTTTAATGATACAGCTGCCTAGAGGAAAATTAATGTATTTTAAATAGTTAATAACAGTTAAAAGCTTTAACCCAAGGTCAGTCTCCTTTTTACAGACCTTGTCTGAAAAAGTAGCTTAAAAACAGCTTTTCCAAAACCATTATTATTCCCCTAGTCATCCCCTTCTACATTTAAAATACTTGATATCTCTGAATCTCTTCATATTTTACAGTCTTTGATTCTGTCATCATTTTTTTACAGAATCAGCTCATGGAGCTTTTCAGTTCTAGTCTTAGTCAATTTTGCACCTAAAATCTATATGGCTGTCCCACTTTCCCAGGAGGTCTGCCTGGCACAGGTTTGAGAGAGTCCCCAGGACTCTCCTTCCCCCCGTGTGAAACATTACACTCCCCACAGGTAGCACCTGGGCTCTGTGCTGCCTTTGTTGGGGGTTTTAGCTCTCCATAGCAGTCTTCCCCAATGTGGTTTGGAGAAGCCAGAGAACCGGGCCCTGAGACCCTCTGCCTGGGGGTCACCTCTGTTTCAGCCCCCAGCTCTTTACAGTGGTAGTGAATGAATGCCCCAAATACAGCTTCTCCCAGGGAAACCTCTCTCAGTGCCCCAAGGTCTCATGCCCCTCTCTATTCAGGTTCTTCTTGAACATATGTAGTTCACTGTTCTCTCCCTCGTCTTCCTTAATACCAACCCTGGTTGCCTTGGGATGTGACATCAGCTGCAGCAATGGGAGTGACTTATGGAGGGACAAAAACTCTTAGTCCTGCTGTAAGTTTCTGATGTATTTACTCAAGGCTGCAGAACTTAACTGCAGATGAGCTGGCTATTCAGAGACAGCAGATGCATCATATTTTTATATGGTTTGTTCCTTGTTCCCATTGCTGTGTGCTGCTGCCAGATACCTCTGTGCATATAGATTTTTTGAGTTGAGAAAGAGGCCAAATTCTTTCTGTGGTACTGCTTGTTTGTGTTGTCATTCTTAAAGAACCCTCTTCTATAGGCTCTTCACTTAAGGGTTTCCTGTATTTACGGATGTTGGGCTCCATGGCTCTTTACCAAAATCGAGGATCAGCCACAACAGTATGCTGAAGAGGCAGCAGTGAGTGCCCAACAAAGGTGCCCCTGTCTCCTGGTACAGTTATTAGGAGGCTTTTCTCTTCAGTCCTAACTGTTTGAGTTTTCAGTTCACATCACAACAGGATACCAGTGCCTCCAAAGTTGTCACTATACTAAAGGTGGCTATTAAATATCAGGGGGAGGGGCGCCTGGGTGGCTTAGTCGGTTAAGCGTCCGACTTTTGCTTGGGTCATGATCTCGCGGTTCGTGGGTTCGAGCCCCGCATCGGGCTCTGTGCTGACTGCCGGCTCAGAGCCTGGAGCCTGTTTCGGTCTGTGACTCCCTCTCTCTCTCTGACCCTCCCCTGCTCACGCTGTCTCTCTCTCTCTCTCTCTCTCTCTCCTAGAAAGAAATAAAAAATATTAAAAAAAAAAAAATATCAGGGAGAGCCAGGAATGAAATAGCAAAATAGATGTTTGCTAATCAAGAGACATGTTTGATGACTCAGAGAGGAAATACATGTAGTCACTTTATTTATTTTTTAATGTTTTATTTATTTCTGAGAGAGAGAGACAGCGTGAGCAGGGAAGGGGCAGAGAGAGAGAGGGAGACACAGAATCCGAAGCAGGCTCCAGGCTCTGAGCTGTCAACACAGAGCCCGACGCGGGGCTAGAACCCACAAACAGTAAGATCATGACCTGAGCTGAAGTTGGACGCTCAGCCGACTGAGCCACCCAGGCGCCCCTAGACACTTTGTTTTTAAAATGTTTTCATGAAATACGTTCACTGAATACTAGGTAATCATACGAGTTAATGAAGTAAAATATTTTTGCTCCATATTGTAGGCCGGCTACCCTTCTCCTGTTATACTTTAGTTGATGATTTTCAACTTTTCTGTTCATTAGAATCAACTGAGGAACTTTTAAAAATCTCATTAATTACAGCTTGTCTGGAGTATATCTGTCCTAATTAGGTATTTCTGATTTAAAAACATACACACACACACACACACACACACACACACACACACACAGGGATGCCTGGGTGGCTCAGTTGTTTAGCGTGCAACTCTGGATTTCAGCTCAGGTTATGGTATCATGGTGATGAGATCCAGTCCCGCTTGGGTGATGGGTGTGGAGTCTGCTTGAGATTCTCTCTCTCTTCCTCTCTTTCTCTCTCTGCCCCTCTCCTATGTGCACTTGTGCATGCACACCCTCTCTCTCTCTCTCTCTCTCTCTCTCTTTAAAAAAAACAAACTAACAACAATAAAACACACACACCCCAGCCAGCTCAGGGTAGCTTTCCAAAAGGAGAGTTAGAAGCACCTGGGTGGCTTAGTCAGTTAAGCATTCGACTCAATTTCACTTCAGGTCATGATCTCAGGGTTTGAGTTCAAGCCCTACGTCAGGCTCTGCACTGACAGCACAGAGCCTGTTTGGGATTCACTCTTCCTCTCTCTCTACCCCTACTCTGCTCCCTCTCTAGCTCTCTCTGAAAATAAGTAAACAAACCCCCCCCAAGAAAAGAGAAGGATATTTACTGTAAAAATTCGGGGCTATATATATCTTAGAAGCTGCAGGGAAGGAGTACAGTCGAGTCTCATGAGTAACTGAACTCAGAGACCTCACAACCTTGGATCTTCTGTCTCTGGGCCTTTCTTTTCTGTGTCTCTGTTTTTTTTCTCTGTGTGTTTGTCTCTAGGCCTCTGTCTGCCTGTCTCTTCCTTTGGGTCCATGCAGCAGCCCTTCTGCTCTACCTCCCTCACCCCCTTGCATAATGGGCTGTACTGTGTGGTGTTCCCTTCCCTCTGTCACATGTGACGGGTGTATGGGTTTGTGAATGTGTTTCTCTCCTTGTCTCCAGAGTGTGTGTTCTCTTCCTTATTACTTAGTCAGGTCTTCATTACTCTGTGTCTTTGTGTGCGCAGTCATCCAGTCATCCATGTCTAACTGTCTTAGTCTGGGGGGCAGTGTACGTTCTCTGTGTCTGGTTCACTGCCGGTATCTGTGGGCATGTCTCTCTCACTCTGTCTAGGTGGTTTCCCAGGGGCTTCTCTGGTGTGTGCTCTCGCTGCTCTCTCTAGCCTCTGCACGTGTTCTGCTGGCTCATCCGAGTGTAAAGCCCCAAATTGGTTTCTCTAGTCCTCAGAGGCCTCAAGGAATCACCAGCTCTTGACTTGGTTGTGCCTTCATTTGGGTTTGTTTTTCAAACTTTTCATCGTGAAATAACTTAGATTTATGGAAGTGTTGTAAAGATAGTACAGTTTCCTTTATACCCTTCATCTGATTTCCCGTAATGTTGACATCTTAAGTAACTAAGGTACTCTTATTAAAGCTCTGCAGTTAACACTGGTACTGTGTTATTAACTACAGACCTTATTTGAATTTTACCAGTTCTTTTTTTTTCTTATAATTTTTTTTTTAAAGTTTAGTGAGAGAAAGTGAGAGAGGGAAAGAATCTCAAGCAGGCTCTGCACCAGCAGTGCAGAGCACATTGCGGGGCTTGAACTCAACAAACTTTGAGATCATGACCTGAGCTGAAATCAAGAGTTTGAAATCAAGATACTTAACCTTAACTAACTGAGCCACCCAGATGCCCCTTTAATTTGAATTTCTAAAGAAGGGACTCTTTCCGAGTTCCTGTTAGATTTCCATATTTAGCTGGATCCCTGGAGGGCAGGGTGGGGACTGATAGGGCTACTAAACCTGGTCTCTGCTCTGGCACTGGTGAAGGAGAGGGTGGGGAGCTAACAAAACCCTTCAGGGTGTCTGCTGTAATACTAGTTTATGCTGAAGTTTATCCGGAGTATTTTTTCTGTATTTCTTGCAAATGGGGACAGTTTGGGAATAAGATTATAAATTCATGAAAACAAGTTCTGTTAAAGATTTCTTTTAATTACCAGTTAAAGCAGTTTTGCTTTAAAAGGCTTTAGCCTTTTAGCAGATGTTCATCTGAAGCAGAAAAAAATCTTGATTGCTCTTATGTGTAAAGGAAATTATGAGTATGTATATAGTAATGTACTTCGTTAACACTTTATGTTTTTATACCAAGTCTTATTTTTAAAATAAAGTAGAAAAATAAGGATTGATTTTTTTTTCCTGTATTAAAGTGTGCATGGGTATAAATGCTTTAAACTTCTTTAAAACTTTAAAAATAATTTTTATAATATCAATAGAATTTTAAGAAATTTTGAGTTCTGTTTGCATTTTTTGATATCAAATACTTTCATTTTTTTATTGCCATACATTTGGAAGATGAAAGTTGCTTCCTTTGATTCTAATGCTCTTGGAAGATGTTATTACTTCCCCATAATTGTTACTTCATCATTCTTAAAGGCTTGCTGTCAGCATGATGCTTTATTATGTGGTCAGGCAGTGTAGTATTACACATTGCCTATAGGAGGGTGTATAACTTATCTGCATGATTTGAAACAAGCAAAACTTAAATGGTTTTTGTGTGACTGTGGCATTTCTATTGTGGATAGAATAGTCAGTATTTCCATAACCTTTTTTCTCTTATTTTTTTATTAGATATTATATATTCAGCATTATCCTGTAGTAGCCTATCAGCCATCAAATGCTGGTGTAAAACTACTTTTCAAACGAATTAGGCAAATTACTTTGGAGGTTTTTAAAATTCTAGTAACCTAGTACTGACATTGCACAATACCTTCATGTGAGTTAGCTTAACCTTCTTGCTTTAGCTCCGCAGATATCTCAATAACATTAAGGAACAGAGGAGATGATGCCTATAGAGCAAATGTATACGGTAACTCTATAGTTGTGCAGCAACACATCAGCATGGATGGAAGTCGATCTTATAAACTAAAAAGTGAAACAGGTTAGTTACGAATGTCTTTTCATATAAATTAGTAAATGTTCAGTTAAACAGAGTAAAGTGATTGTTCAGGTATTCATTGGAAGGGCATTTCTTCCTAATCTCTTGAAACCTTTTTCATGTCAGATCATGGGTTGCTTGCACGTATATGTACATACACATGTTTACGTACATACTTATATACACAGAGTTGTTTTATCCCAGGACATTGTACAGTAGAACCAAAATGATCGGAGTTTGGGTCCACTCGAAACAGGCTGTGCCATTTCGTTCACCCCCCCCCCCCCCCCCCCCCCCCCCCCCCCCCCCCCCCCCCCCCCCCCCCCCCCCCCCGCAGACCTCCTTTCACCCTGTAATTTCTAGCACCTGTGGAAAGAGGTGGTTAGCAAAAGGTGGAGAAGGACACAGAGGAAAAGGAGACGAAGAGATAGGTGAGAAAGAAGAACAAGCGTTTAGCTATGGGAAGGAGGGAGGCACCGTCATGGTGTCCACGCTTCTTCCTCTGTGTACTTGTGTCTTGATTACTGTAGCATCCAGCTCTCTCAGATGTGTATATATTCTTGATGACATAGCAAAAATAATAATACTTGTATTTGTAAATAAGTGCTTATTTTTTCGCCCTTTTTTTGCCCTGAAAACAGTCTAATCATTTTATGTATTTCTCTTAACTAGGCACCGTGGTTTCTACTAGAAAAGAAGAGCTGATTGCAATTCTTGATCATTTTAACATACAGGTAATTGCTAAATCTGCATTTCAGATTGTGGCAACTGATCATCATAACATATCCTTTGTAACGTTGAAAGAATTCAGATGGGCCCATATGAGTAAATTGACCACAGGAAGAACATGTACAACTATCCTTAGCGAAATTGCTTAAAATTTGCTAATTCAGCAGGAATTTTCAGTGCCTAATATAACACCCATAATTTGACAGAGCAGTCAAGAACATGTAGTGTATACCAGTAGAATTGATGTTCATAAAAGCTATGCAATTTTTTTGCATTCTGCTGCCTGAGGCAGAATAGCATCATAGTTTCCTAAGGTCGGTTGCTAAGTCGTTATAGAAAGGAACTTTATTTTAATTAAAAAAACATTTCTTTATGTGTTTTAGAGTTCCTGATCATAACTATAAGAGATAAGTCTCGAGTGCTTTCTGCTAAGATAACTTTGAATAATTAGAAATAGAGCATATAGTCTTATAACATAAGCACTGGAATTGTCTTGGGAGGTCATCTAATTCACCTGTATTTTGTCGGTGAGAAAGGAGCTAGAAAAAGTAAATTTACACGTACAGTCTAGTCATGGTTGCTGGTGGAGCCTGGATTGGGATCCAGGCATCCCTGTCCCAATCTGACGAACTACCCTGCCTTATTCCAGGAGGAAGAACACCAAGACTAGTCACCAAGTTAAAAACAGTTACAAATCTAGGTATTTTTGCCAGTTTGGTTTAGAACAAAGCTGTCCAAAAAAAAAACTTTCCACTAGCATGTTCCTCTTAGCACCTGAAATGTGTGACTGAGAAATTGAGTGTTTGATTTTATTTAATATACTTAAGTGTAAAAAGCTACAGTGGGTAGTGGCTTCCATGTCAGGCAACAGAAGTTTAGAAAAATAATTATTAAAATCTGAAGAAAAGCAGATATATCAAATAAGTTTGAGACTAAAATGCATGACACTTTTTAAGCAAAAGCGGGAAAACCAAATGTGGAATCAGAGGTGTTTGGGAGAATCTGGAAGGGCATCAGGTAGGGTTCTCACACTCCATACTTACCCTGCGTGGAATCCTTCACCCTTCAGCACGACTTGTAAGTGGATTGTGGTGGAGAAGTCACTTCTGCCTGAGGCTTCTGATTCCTTCCGTGGACAGCTGTGTTTATCAGAAAGAAAAGTTAGGGAAAGTTGAATAAAGCCTGCTTCTCTAAGCTTACGCTTCCTTGGGGAATGTAAAAACATGTTTATTTCTTTTGAAATATTTAAAGATTGTTATAAATCCTCTGGTCCTCTTCTAGTATGATGCAGTTATTAAAGGCTCTTTTATCAAAATATAGAAGATCTAGAGCTTCACTTACCAGTATAATAACCATAGCCACGTGTGGGTATTAAGCACTTGAAATGTGGTGAAATGTGGTTAGTCCAAAATGTGATGTACTATAGTGTGAGATACATACTAGATCTTGAAGACTTAATGCAAAGGAATAATTCAGTTTTTATATAGGTTATGTGTTAAATGATAATATTTTAGATAGACTAGAAATATATAATTAAAATTAATTTTACCTCTTTTTTTAATACTAATGTAGCTCATAGAAAATTTAAAATTATCTGTGTGATTTGCATTACGTACCTACTAGACATTGGTGGCCTAGAATAGCCAAGAGGCACAAGAATGTTTAATGTCTTTAAATACCTGGTTATATTTGTCCCATGTCTACTCTTCTTATCCTTCTCCTAAAGTTTACCTGTTTGTGCCTGCCTTTTGCTTGTTCTAGAGTCTCGACAGTTAAAGCTACAAGGTTCTTATATAATCCCTAGGGTAGTGTAGGAACTAGGAATCCCATTTCAAAAACAATTTGAAAAAATGTAGACAAAAGAATATAAATTTTGGTGAAGTTTCTGGTTCAAAGTTGGTGAAAATGTCTGTCATAAAAGACTAAAACATGAGGTCTTGTTTTTAAGAAGTCAAATGGAATGTGAAATGAAGATATAGGGCAAGCTTTGTAAAAAATATGTGGCAGTCTGCCTATATAATAATAATGATAAAAATAATAAAAAGTGACATGTAGAAGTTTGGTTTTGTTTTCTGTTTTTTTAATTTGAGAGAGAGAGAAAGTGGAGGAGGGGCAGAGGGCGAGAGAAAATCTTAAGCAGGCTCCATGCCCAGTGTGGACCCCAATGCAGGGCTTGATCTTACCACCCTGAGATCATGACCTGAGCTGAAATCAAGAGTTAGACACTTAAACAACTGAGTTACCCAGGTGCCCCTGTAGAAGGTTCTTTATAACTGCATAAATGTTTTTGTTATCTTAGGAGACCTAAAATTTTACTTAAAAAGGAAAATTTTAACCATTGGTATACTAACAAAGTACAGTCAGTATTTTGCAGATGGCAAAATGAAGGAGTTTAAAATTTTTTTCATTTATACTGGTCCTACATATTCTATAACTTTAAAATGATATTATTTTCTAATATGTAAAATGCTTTATTGTTAATAATGCCAAAGACATAAATGAGTAATGACCTTGAATCTTTCTGAAGCAAGTTATGTGTATTTTTTAACTTTTTCACCTATACTTTGATCAATTACTGTACTTTGTTACTGTAACTGTATTTTAACTTGTTCGTTACAGATAGTTTAATTCAAGCAATGGCTTATTTTATTTTATTACTATTATTTTTTTAATGTTTTATTTATTTTTGAGAGAGAGAGAGCACGAGCAGGGGAGGGTCAGAGAGAGAGGGAGAACACACAATCTGAAGACAGGCTCCAGGCTCTGAGCTGTCAGCACAGAGCCCAACGTGGGGCTCAAACTCAGGAACTGTGAGATCACGACATGAGCCGAGTTTGGACGCTTAACTGAGCCACCCAGGTGCCCCAGCGATGGCTTATTTTAAATGACTCCTCCTCCAAAAGGTAGAAATAACTCCAGCATTTCTATTTATTTTATAATATTTTCATGAAGAAATAGCAAATCTGAAGAACTGCTGTAAGAAAAATCAACACTACTTGTCATCATAATTCCAATTAGAAATAACCAAGTTGGGGGGTGTCTGGGTGGCTCAGTTGTTTAAGCACCAAGTCTTGATTTTGGCTCAGATTATGATCTCACCATTTGTGACATTGAGCCCTGTGTCATTCTGCGCCGACAGCATGGAGCCTGTTGAGATTCTCTCTCTTCTTTCCCTGTCCCTCTTACTGCGTGCTTGCTCGCTCTCGCGCTCTCTCTCTCTCTCTCTCTCTCGCTCTCTCAAAATAAATAAACATTAAGAAAAAAGAAATAACAAAGTTGGACCTTTTGTATTTAGTTGGAGAAACTAACTTGCCCAGGGCAACATAGGGGGTGAGAGACAAGAACCCAAGTCAGCTGAGGGCTTTATTCACTGTTGTCTGATTGTTAACCGATAGCACAGGAATGATATTTTATAAAACAGGTGAAAGAGGTGACAACTTTCTAATAAAAATACTTCTTCAGGGATTGCTTGTGCCCTCATATAGTGGCAGAATAATTTTGACTATGGTATTTATTTTAGTATCATGAAATATTGAAACATTTTCTCTCCATTAAAAAGTTCTAACATTTTTTCCTTTGTGTATTTACTCCAATTCTCTGCCTTAGCCTTCTTGATGACACCATGGTGAATTGTATTCTGTATTTCAGTCCCTTTATCTTAAGTCATTAAAATGAAATATTCAGAAATAATCTTTCTTGTTTGTTTCAGGTGGATAATCCGGTTTCTGTTTTAACACAAGAAATGAGCAAGCAGTTCTTGCAGTCTAAAAATGAGGGAGACAAATACAAAGTAAGTAGCACCAATGAATTATTCAAATAAATATATTTCTAGATTAAGCATATATACTGAACATAACTTGTGCTCATGTAATAAGTATTGAGTTCCTTTTTTAATGTTTATTTATTTATTCTGAGAGAGAGAAAGAGAACAAGCAGGGGAGGGGCAAAAAGAGAGAATCGCAAGCAGGCCCAGCACTGTCAGTGCAGAGACCAATGCAGGGCCCGAACTCCTGAATCATGAGATCATGACCTGAGCGTAAATCCAGAGTCAGAAGCTTAACTGACTGAGCCACTCAGGCATCCCCTGAGTTGTTGTCTTCTTACAGCCATTTATTTACAGTAATAGTGTAGGGCTAATTTAGGAAAGTTCTAAGTATGATAGAAGTGTAATTTTTATGGTAAATTCTTGCTTTCGCTCTTTGGTTCTGAATTCTGAGAGAGAACAGATTATTTTAAAATTAATCTTTAAGGAAATTAAAGGGAATGATTGGCCATGCATAACAACCTTTAAACCTTAAATTATAAAGATAGCAAAGTATTTGACCACTAGTAAAACGTATGCTGTAACTTTTGAATGAATTTCGCTATTTCTTTTTCTATAAATTTAAGATTGTGAAAATCATGGATATGGATGTTTTCACTTTTTTCATATTTGCTTAAAGAATGAAAGGATAAGTGAAAATGAGTATTCAAGTTGGCATTGTTAGTACACCAAAAGTGTTTTTCTTACATAGACTTTTAAAAGCAAATGAACTTGTAGATGTGAACAGAGTAAGTGAAATAAATTTCAGGTCTGAAAACATGTTCTTTTGTATTTATGTTTACTTGTTCAAGATTGTTTTTAGTATCTTTTTACATAATTAGTCCACAGTTTTTTTTCCACAGTTCATGGAAGTTTAGAGACTCCTAATTGTGTTTCTCTCATTGATACAGTTCTTCATGAAAGCAACCCAACTTGAGCAGATGAAGGAAGATTATTCATACATTATGGAAACAAAAGAAAGAACAAAGGAGCAGATAAATCAAGGAGAAGAGGTTTGTAAACTATGTAAATATTTTTGAGGTGAAATTGCTGTTGTACCTCTAAGATAAGTGTACTTTAAAATCATGTGCCTGTATATAACATGTAAGTATACAAAACTAGTAACACTTCCATAATACTCTATGAAATATACGAAGGATGGTTTTTGTATTCAGGGTACTTTATTAGCTTTTACTTTTTTGTTTTGTAGTAATGGGTTTGTATACATTTTCCTCTGTTAAGTTACAAACTAGAGGACAGGGCAATATTTTACATACTTATGCCTCGGTATATGAGTTAGTGGTTCTACAATAAGGTATCACTAATTCCCACTCTAAGTCGTTTAAAAACTGTAGTATTTCTTTTGATGGGAAAAGAAGCACAAGCCTCAAGCTGTTTTAAATGTAATATGCATGTGTAATTATGTATGGTAGATAACTCTTTCATCACACTGGTAAATTGTTCATGTTCATTAAGCACTGATAGCTGGGTAGCAACTGTCCTATCCGAACTCCCCCGCTTGACAGTTATGCATACCTGTGTGAATTTGCAATTACTCAAGCCAATGTGACCGACTTAGATTTGTTTTTATATCTGTTATTTTTTGTTTTTATACTTCCTTCTTCAGATTCCTGAAGATCCAACCTTCTGTCTGATAATCAGAGACCTCCAAGTCATAAGGCTTAGGCTTGAGCCTTTCGCCCAGTACATTAAGTCCACCAATTTTTGTGTGATTCTGTATCTTGTTCTTTAGTTTTATAAAACCAGTTGAGCTTTCAGCTATTTCTTATCTTGTGCTTTTGACACAGAATTGTACTAATTATTGACCCAGGTCAGCTTCAGTTAGATGTCACATTGGTTCTTTTACTTCAAGTTTTCAGGATTGTATATTTAAAATTAGGTCTGTGGTTGTATCAAAACTGAAAAAGCAAGGATGGGTATATTTATTTTTATTCCCCACATTATCCCTTAAAACCCCAGGTATGTGGTAGTGTACAAGGAAGCACTGTAAACCACAGAATTAATATAGCACACTTTCTCGGAGTATCAATGTTATTGGGGAAAGGAAATATTTGCATATTCAGAAAAATGTAATAGTATATGTTACATTTATTATTTTAAAAATAATAAATCAGGACTTTGAAGAAATTTGTTTGATTCGGACAGTGGGGGTTAAACACCCACCCTCTCCATGGTATACTTCATTATCAACTAGTAAAGCTATTTTAATTATGAAGTTGAAGAAGCACTTCCCTATATCATGTAGCAGAGTTCCTTATGTATAATATGTACTTAATAACTTTTTTCTAATTAATTAAATATTAAGTATCGTATATTCTTAAATTCTGGATTTGAATAGCTAAATCTATAGGAGGAACTTTTTTCCTAATTAATTAAATATTCTATATTCTCAAAATACACTGGATTTGAATAGCTAAATCTATAGGAAATAGTATGTGAAGGTTAGAAAGAAACTAGAAGGCATTCAGCCAACAAATGATAAGTTCCACTGTGTGCCTCCTGGCATTGTGCTTTGTCCATGGCCATGTGCAGCAAATATATACCAGGGCTTGAGGGCTTATGGGGTCATAAACCTAACTATTCAGCGAGAACAAAATGATAAATAACCGAGTATGGCGGGCACTACTAAAGGACTTGGGACTAGGTTTGTGCAAAAGCATGTAATAGGGTATTAGTGTTGGGGTATAGGAACTCGGGATAGGTGGATTTGTTAAGGTTTCTGTCTTAAGATGAGAAATGAAGGAAGAATAGTGCCAGGAGAGGGATGGTGAGAGGAGGGAAGGCTGCTCCAAGAAATAAGAATGGCAACATCTTGGGCAAGAGAGCATATTTTAGAAAGCTGAAAGAATTCCAGATTGGCTAGAGCATAGCATGTGAGAGGCCAGATTGTAGAGGATCTTGTAATACCTAAGGGCAGTAGCACCCATTAAAGTAGATGACTTGATTGAATGAATATTTGTGAGAGATTACTCTGCTGTAGAAGAGAGTGATTTGCTGTAAAGAAAGAATGGATGTAGAAAGATCAGTAAAGAAGGTATTCTCATTGTCCACAGAGACGATGATGATGACAGGCCAGTAGCAATAGGCATGGAGAGAAGAGTTTTGAAATGATTTGAGCAGATGTTAAATGGAACAGGAAAGGGTGAAGTTGAGACAGAACAGATAACAAGGGTGATCGAATGACCTCCAGATTAATAACCTGAGCAGTAGAGTAAGTTTCTTAAGATGAGAATCTTAGTAAGAAGAGCCAATTTTTCTTTTCTTAATTTTTTTCTTTTAAGAAAGATGAGGAATTTAATTTTGAACACATTAGTTTTGAGGTGCTTATAAAACATGCAATTGGATATAGGAGTTAGAAATGCAGAAATCAAGTCTGGCTTTAATAAAAATTTGGGATTCATCAATATATTGTTGATGTGTAAGCCACAGGAATGATTTAGATTGTTGAGGAGGAAAGGAAGTGGGCCCAGGCCTGAGCCATGAAAAATGCTTATGGAAGCCATAGAAGCCAAGAGAAGAGAATTTGAGAAGGCAGTAGTCACAACTCTGCAATGCTCTGAGTGGCCAGCACCACAAGGTTTGACAAATACTCCTTGTATTTAGTGATATAATCTGTATAGATGTCTGTGGCAAGGCAAGTTTCAGCAGTAGTAAAAACAGAAACCATATTTGTGAGGCTAAAAATCTGAGGAAATGGAAGAGATAGAGATAAGTTTCATGAAATTTGGATGGAAAGAGGAGGAGGTATTGCCCAAGGATGGAGAGTGGCATTTTTTATTTTTTATTTTTTGTAAGTGGGAAAGATAAGTGAGTAAAGATTGAAATGTGATAATGGAAGGGAGTCTGTGAAGAGGGCGAAATGGAAACAGATGAAAATATGGGATGAAAAATGAACTAATTTAGACCTCCTGAGAAGGCAGAAGCAAGTGGTCAGATCCAAGAGATACAGGTAGGAGATGGGGACTGGACTTGAGTATAATGAAGCCACCTCCTCTTTTGTAGCAAGAGGAAGCTGTGACTGCTTTAGCTTTGTAGATAAGGCTGTTGGAAGTTAGAGAGACTTCCATGTGATGGCCACTAAACTCCCTGAGGTAAGAGTCAGGGAGAATCAGTGAGGATTGGGGTTGGGGGGGGGGGCGGTGTGGGAGGAGTGAAGAGAGTGATAAGGGCTTGAAATAACCCTGGAAACTGGGAAAGTGACCTGTAAGTACACACTTGTAGATCTATAGTGTAAGGCCTCAGTTGAAGATGGTCAGCACTAAAGAAGGGGAGAGGCCATCTACTCACATGTACAGCATATGAAGTCTAGGAGCTACTTCAGAAGTTGTTCTAATGTCATTATGTTTGATACTTGTTTAATGATTTTATTTACTATGAAACGAGAACTTAGATTTTTTTAAAAATTGTAACTTATTTGGCTTTTAGGAATAAATTTCTTCTACATCTTCCATTATCTTTGGAATGAGTACTGGGTATATTTTGCTCAGAAGAACAGACCATTCTGTCTGTCAGATAATGGTGTCAAGATATGAGAAACTGAGTTTTGTAATTTGCCTGTGCTTTTGAGGTCTTAAACTATTCCTTTGATCATCATTTGAAGAGTATTTGGTCATTTTATAGTACAGAAAATAAAATAATTGTACCTAGTAAAAGCATACCAAAGACCCAAAAGTATTTTTATTTTCACCTTAAGTGATTTCCTTGCATGTCTTTTTTAATACCTATTAAGGCAGTGCATTTAAAATAAATACATTTGTAAAAAGTCTTGTCTTTCTAGTGTTAGTAAGAAATATGTCCTTTTTTCTTTTTTTAAGCGACTTATTGAACTGAAACGCCAGTGTTTGGAGAAAGAAGAACGTTTTCAAAGTATTGCTGGCTTAAGTACAATGAAGACTAATTTGGAATACTTGAAACATGAAATGGCTTGGGCAGTGGTAATTTTTACTTAATTCTTCACTTATACCTTTAATATGCAGAATATATTTGGTTCGAGTTAGTCCTCTACATGATTTACTGTGTAATTTCTTTGTAGGTCAATGAAATTGAAAAGCAATTGAATGCTATCAGAGATAATATAAAAATTGGAGAAGATCGTGCTGCTAGACTTGACAGGAAGATGGAAGAGCAGCAGGTAATTGTTTTTTTAAAATACAAATTTGGTAGGTTAAATCATGCAAGATTACTGGTATTAGACTATTTTAAAAGACTTAACAAAAGTAGAAGTGTCAACCTATATATTTATCTGTGTTTGAATTTATTACTCAAGGGAATCTGACCTAAACTTTTGTTCAAGGACTATTGTGGCAGTTCTCTTTTTTAAAAGGGTTTGTATTCGGATGTGATCCATCAGTTGAGCCAAGTGTTCCAGCACTCTGAACTCATGCTTGTGGACAATGGTACTTTGTTACCAACTCGGGATACCACAACGTGAAGCTTTTACTCTGGGTTCATTAGGAGTGGCAACAGAAGAAGTCTTGAGGTGCTAGGATAACAGTGAATTAGAATAACATTAAAGTTAAGAATCTTGAAGTGTAACAATTCGAAACTGAGCACAATGCCCAGAGACTGCTCCCAGAACTTCCAGGGAACTGAAGTTTAGGGCCCAGAACTATCAGAGGATTCCACATAGGTAGAACATAGGTGGAACAGGTTGTTAGGTCTGTAAAGTTCATTTCAAGCTGAAATCTAAGCCCAGGCAGAAACTCTGCTATTTATGTAAGATTCAAGAAAACCACAAGTCTTCTACTTGGGCCTAGAGGTAGAAGTTGGTTGAATGGTAAATAAAAGCAGTAAGTAATTCTCTGTTAGGGGTGTCCATGTAGATCCTTTTACCATAAAGCAGATCCACTCTTTATTCTTGCCTTTTCATTCTTTTTTTAACAGCTTTATTAAGATAAAATTTATATGCCATGCAATTCACACATTAAAAATTTACACTTGAGTGGTTTCTTAGTATGTTTACAACGGCATGTAGCCAGCAATGCGGAAATCCTCACATTGTCATGACAGAAGTAGAAGTCCTACCTAGCCTTTTCTTTTTTTATAGAAGCCCCATCTACTCAGTGTGGCTGGCTTAACCTCATAATATTTTGTTCTACTTAAGAGTTCCCCCCACCCCCAAGCTTGGTTTGTAGTATAGGATGTAATATCCCCCACCTTGCTTTTTCCTGTCTGCCCTCCAGGAAAGCAGATATGTTTTTTTCCTTTTAAGGATTATGACATTAATCCATCAAAAGTAAGAGAGAAGTATGTAAAAATAACAGAAATAGGCTGAATTTCTTACTCCCTCTTCAGGTAGTAAATGGAAGTTCAACCTACCCACCTTACCTCAGATTCTCATTTCTGCGAGAATATTCTAGAATTTTTTATTTCACTAAATTTTCTTCATCCTCATTTCTTAGCTTATCATAGTGGAGGACCTTAGGCTTCTCTTCTCTTTACATAATCTCCAATCTGAAAATGGAATCCAGGGGTACCTGGCTGGCTCAGTTGGTAGAGCATATGACTCTTGATCTTGGGGTTACAAGTTTGAGCCCCACATTCGGTATAGAGATTACTTCAAAATAAAATGTTTTTAAAAAGTAAAAAATAAAAATGGAATCTAGGCTGAGTAATAGATGTTCACCTTTTTTCAAATGGGAAGAAGATCTCGAGGCTGGGTTATACTTTAGTTCTGTAGGCCTTTGCCCCACTTAAGCATTTGGGCAGTCTCTGTAGTAAATGATAAGTTTCTGGAAAGTAAGAACAATCTTGTTTTATAATTGTATCCTTCCCACCATGTCTTACATAAAGCCTCTGATGTTGCATATGCATGGTGATAGATTATAGAATGACTCTTGAATTGAAGGATTGCGAAGGAACAGTGTCTACTACACTGTCTAGCTCTTTCTTGCTGCCTTCCGTAATGGTACACAGGAGAAGAATGAGGCACAAACAAGTCAGCTGCAAGAGAAAGGGGGCAGGGGACGACAGTCCAGAGAGACTGTCGCCTCGAACAACTCCACATTCCCATATTTATTGGAGAAGCAATAATAAATAAAAGACTTCAGGATTGTTCTAGTGTTCAGAGAGTGACCTCATGAGAAAAACAGAACTTGCTAATGCATGTACGTTATGGTTGATCAGACATAATCAATGAGTTTCATTTGATCAGGTGGTGTCTGAGAAAGCAGGGAAGTCAACACAAAAGAAGCAGATGGCGTTCCACCCTGAGTGGGCCAGGCCTTCCCAGCTGCTCAGCTCCCGTGTCGTAAATCAGCTGATTTCCCAGAGAGACATTACAATGTGTATTTTCTTAGAGTTGTATTAATCATTTATTAATCATTATATAGTTTTGTATACTGTTTTTCTCCACAACTACATTTTATGGGTCACATTGTTCTAAGGAGTCGTCACATTTCCCCCTTTCTGTTTATGTAGAAGCAGGAATGTTGATTTTGCAATTTCTTGATCCACTAATCGTCAGAAGGAATTTCATGTGCATCTGAAGACTAAACCTAGAAAGATTATAGCAATATATAACAATAAAAAGTATAATCATTCCTCCTTTGAGGCCCAAACTAGTTTGTTTCATCCAAGTAAGAGGATTAAGAGAAGATATAACATTATCTCTTTGTTGAGCAAAGCCTATTCTCTGTGTCATCTGTAAAGATGAGTGTGTAATGCCCTGAATAGTATCTTACAGTTGCCATATATCTAATGTTAAATTATCACCATAATGATCAGTTAAAGGGCGTCGGATCTTATCCCATGCAATCTCTTATTGGATAAGGGGTGACACAAAAGTTTGTAACATTCCAATAACAGAAAACAAAGGCTTAGCTTTATATTTTGAACTTTGTCCACAACAGAAATCATAGCTGATTCTAAGTTAGAAACTCTTTCACTTAATTTTTGGCCAATAATACTCTGTTGGTTCCAAGCCTTGCTTGCATTTTCATGCCAGTTTTGAATAAAACGTGTTGTTTGTATTGTCTGGTGTAAGGCTATCCCAGCAGTAGTAGCAGTTGCTGTGACAGCTATGATACCCAAGATAGTGGCTGTCAGCAAGCCTACAAGTCTTTTTGTCCTCTGAAGCCAGTCTTTTAGGACTATTAAAATCATATGCATGTCTGGAGAACTTTCCCAGATTCGGGGGTGTTTTACAAGTAGCCATATTCCCAATCCTCTACAGGTTAAAAGAAGAATATTATCATCAGGAGTTAAATTTCCATCAGTAGAAGTAAACATCTGGCTTTGGGGGTAATATAATTCTCTTTTTGAATGTTCAAATGTTATTTTTCCTATTAAACACATAACGGTCACGAACACTTGCTTTTAACCATTTTTGTTCTAAAATCAGAAAGTCTAGAGCATGTTGTCCATGGGGACTAGTATAAGAACCATTCCATATAGTAATGTGGCCAAGGGTAGCAGTTATTTTCCATAAATTCTTTTGTTTTTTATTGTATTCTACAAAAGGGGCAGGCATGGGTAATCCGCCTCCATGCCATTGGATAGGCCCGTCACTCCATATGGAGGTCTGGGGAAATATTAAATGCTTGAATGTGTGTCATTCTAGAATCTGACGTGAGGAGCAAGTTCTCCCAGTACAGTTGGTGACTACCATCCTCTTAGGGGCCAGTCCCATACAATCCCATAGGAATCATTAATGAGAACACTGGGAAAAGGAGCTCTTACAGTCCTCCCAAAATGGGTAAATTCCCCTCATCAGACCATGTTTGTGCCATTTTGCATTTTGAAACGGAAAGTGCTGCCGTGCTAAAATCAGTATCCCTTTTCTCTTCTGATTGAAAACCTTCAGTTAATATAAGGCAAAATAAAGGTTAATTAGAGCTAATATTACTAGGAGAAACCACCTAGTAATTTTTGATCTTTGATCTGCTGGTATAAGACAACTGAAGTGATTGCCAATGCATATCGGTCTAGATTGATATCCCAATATTAAGTTGATAAATAAGTGTTCTTCTTGAGGTATTAAAGGTAATCAGGGAGCAAGCACTCCATGTACCCATTTTGAAGCATTAAGATAAATGGGAGGAACTGTATCATCCCTCCATTCAATTGGGTGTAGTAAGGATGGATTAGGTATATAGGCCTGTGTGTAGGTATATGATTAGTAAGTGAAGTTATCCATTTGAGCCTGACAACTAGGAAAATTTACTGCTGCTGTGAGGAGGGTCATCATAGTGACAGCCATATTGTTGGGAGTAAAAGGGCATTGCTCATTCTCTAAAATCTCTTCTGCCTTCTTGGTGAGTTTCTTGATCTGTCCCCAAGTTGAAATTTTTGTTCGATCTGTCCCTGGAATCGTGATCCAGGTGCTCTTTATGGAAAGACCCTTGAAGCTGATGATCAGAGGGGCTGGTTCAAACCCGAACCTCTTTCTTCTGCTCATGTCGAACCTTAATAAAATGAGAAGGAACCCAAACGGGCATGACAGCCCTGTTAGGTAAGACACAGGCATAATCTTTTCCCCATGTTAATAGATTACCTGACAACCATTGGTTAGAAGTAATATTTTTCCACCAAATGGGCAGATATGTTTTATTTTGGTCTTTAAGGACAAAATGCCGCTCTATTGGTGCAGTGTCTTTATCATCACGATTCAAAAACTCTGGAGGGAAGAAAGCTTGTGATAATATTTCTTAAGGAGGACTTTGTATTCCCTTTTTGTTTAAGAAAGTTGTAACTTAAGAATTTGATTTGCTCTTTCAACAATTCCTTGTCCTTGAGGATTATAAGGAATACATGTTATATGCTTAATATTCCATAATTATAAAAAGGATTGTAATTTCATAGAGGTGTAAGCTGGAGCATTATCTGTTTTGATGGCTAATGGCATTCCCATTACTGCCATTGCAGCATAGAAATGTCAGTTGCCGTTTTGCCTGTTTGAGCTGTGGCCCAAATGAATCTGGAATAGGTATCAATTGTAAATGATTCTCGTCTAAGGGAAGGGATATGAGTGACATCCATTTACCATAATTCATTGGGAGCTAACCGCCTTGGATTCACCCCAGCAGGCTGAGGAGGGTGTTGATAGTGGCATAGGATGGACATGATTGTAAAATTTTGTTAGCTTGTTCTTTGGTGATAGGGAAACGATGTTGCAATCCTTTTTTATTGACATGAGTTAATGAATGGAAATCCAAAGCCTGTTGAAATGTAGAACAAATGAGTGAGTCAGCAATTGCATTGCCTTCAGATAACGGTCCTTGAAGGCCTGAATGACTACGAATATGGGTGGCATAGAAGGGAGAGGATCGAGAATGAATAAGCTGTTGCAGTTTTTGAAACAAGGTTTGTAAAGAATTATCAGAGGTAGAAATGGTAGCAGTTTCAATATGATTTAAAATATAGACGGTGTATAATGAGTCAGAGTAAGTTAAAAACTAAAGAAATATCCTGAGAGTTATAACAGCCATTAATTTAGATTTTTGTGCTGATAATCCTTCAGTAGATATAATTTTTGATATAGGTCCATGAAAGCATGCCTTACCTTTATTGACACATCAGAAAAATAGGAGCATCAGGAAGAGGAATATTAGAGGTAATCTTCGGCAAGATCAATGTCGTTTGTTTAAGGAAAGAGATATTAGGTAAGGGAGGGTAACGTGAGGATGTAGACCCTGCAAAACCACTTAAAGCAATTTGCCAATTTATATTGTTTTGAAAAGCATTTTCTATTTGTATTTTATTTAAAGGTAAGACTATAGTTTCAGGATCAAAGCCTTAAATCTGTTCGGTTCTTTGTCTTCCAAAATGAATTAAGTATCCCATATGATCCAGATAGGTGGTCAAGGTTTTGACTGTATTATTTGGTAAAAATAGCCATTCTGCTATTAATTTTTCTTGTGTTAAGGGCCACTGCTCTACCCAGATAGGTTTGTCATCATTCCAGTTAAGTAGAATGGGCTCGCAAGCAGTGGCCGTCATCAAAAAAGCTGAGGAGTATCTTTTGGAGACGGTATGACTGATGAAGCTTCCCATTGACCTAATAAATCTCGATCCCATAAATTAATGGGCAAGTCAGTGATATATGGTTGCACATATCCTTTTTGGCCTTCAGGCCAAAGGAAGAATATTTAGGCTTTGATGCACATTGGTCACCTGACCTAGTCTAGTAATAGTGATAGAGGCCAGGCCATAAAGCCATTTTTTTAGGCCAGTGATGATAACTAATGATGGAGACATCTGCCTCGATGTCTATCAATCCAGAGAAGGTTTTTGCCTTGAATTTTAATATAACAAATGTGTTTGTCTTGGTATAGTTTTTCAATTAAGTATGTGCCAGCCTTCCCTGTGCTTCCAAACCTCCGGCATTTCTTTGTTTATTCAAATGTTTTCCTTTAAAGTAGGGGAGAAGTAGTAATTGTGCAGTATGATTTCCTTTTTTAAAATGATAAGGGACCGAGGTAGACATTAAGACTAATATCTCTCCTTTATAATCTGAATCAATAACCCTGGTATAAACTAGAACTCCTTTAGAATTAAGACTAGAACCTCCCTAAAAGAAGTCTGGTAACCCTTCTCACAGCAGCCCAAAAAGATTAGTAGAAATGTTTATGGGCTCTATAGCAGGTAACATATGAAGTCCATAGGACTGGAAATACCTAAACCAGCACTTCTTTGGGTTGCATGTAGCAAATTTAAAATGGTGAGGCAGCTGGGAATGTTGGGAGTTGAGGAGAGGGAGCCCTCTTTCCTTTTGGGGCTGAGGGCTTGCCCTGAGGCAAGTTTCCCGATAGGGGAGATCCGTTTTTATGAAATTTAGAATGCCATTGATTGGCCCAATGATTTCCTTTGTGGCATCTAGGACATCTGCCAGGTGCATTATTTTTATAAGTTTTTGAAGGAAATTTTCCTTTTTGTTTACATTGATAAGACCTGATTGCCCACAATTAAAACATTGTCCTTTGAATTTTGTATTATTAAAAGCTGCCATGGCTTGTACCAACAAGTCTGCCTTGTAGGTTGCTATTCCAACCCCTTGACATAATTTGATGTCATCAGTTACGGTGCCTTTGCCTCTAAATGGCGTGATCACCTTTTTACAATCAGCATTGGCATTTTCGTATGTTAGTAGTTGTAAGATAGTATCTGCTGCCTCAACATTATTAATTTGCTGTTTAATAGTCTCCTGTAATCTAGCAATAAAATTGGTATAAGGCTCTTTGGAGCCTTGGCTTATTCTCTGAAAGGAAGCGTTTGCTGAGCTTTTGGATTCTATCTTTTTCCAGGTGCATAGACAGCATCATCTTAGTTGTTCAACCTCTTGGTCATTTATTTGTATTTGATCTTGTACTCTTGCCCAGGCACCAAACCCCGTAAGTTGATCTAAGGAAATGGGGATGTTATTGGCCCTGTTAAAGGTTGCAGCTCTTTCAGCATGGTCCAGCCACCACATTCTAAACTGTAAAAATTGACTAGGCGACAAGACAGTTCTTACCAACAAAAACCAATCAGTAGGTATAAGAGGATTGCCTTCCTCTATGCCTTGAATAATGCCATGCCATGCGTGAACGGTGAATTAGCACCATAATTTTGTACTGCCTGTTTAAGTTCTTTTACTATTTTAAATGGAAAAGGCTTATGAATAGCCTCAAGTATACTGTCAGGGTGAGTAGAATCCTGACCGGGAGCAATACGCTATCGAATAGTGACTGGAAATGTAAAATGAAAGGCATCTAAATCCCCATTTCGTTGTGCCTCTAATAATCCCTTTTGTATGGGGGATAGGATGGACGCCCTATGTTTCTCATAAAAAGGCAGAGCTGACGGACGGCTTTGACATAGTAAAAAATGTTTCCATTTTGTCTGCCTGTAATGGCAGAGGGAGAGGAAATTCCTCATTTGAATTTCTTTTAGAGTAAGTTTATTTATATTAATACTTTCTGGGACTGCCTCTTCTAGGCTGTCCTTTTCTATGTTGGTCTCAGATTCATCATCGCTATCAGACCTGGGGGTCTGCAAGGGCTCCGGAATGGAGTGAATAAGCGACCAAGTAGACCATATTGTAATTGGAATCAGTTTTCCTTTTGCATGCAACGTCTTAAGCTCATGCCCCACCTTTTCCCAGATCTGTAGATCTAAAGTCCCTAATGTAGGGAACCAGGAGCAGTGTTCTTTAATGACCTGTAAAAGCTCCAAAAGTTTGCCCTCGCTGACTTTTGCTCCACCCACCTTCAGGAGCTGTCTTAATAAACATATGTAAGGGCGGCACCTGGGTGGCTTAGTCGGTTAAGCATCCGACTTTCGCTTAGGTCATGATCTCGTGGTTCGTGGGTTCGAGCCCCGCGTCGGGCCCTGTGCTGACTGCCAGCTCGGAGCCTGGAGCCTGTTTCAGTCTGTGACTCCCTCTCTCTCTGACCCTCCCCTGCTCACGCTGTCTCTCTCTCTCTCCTAGAAATAAATAAAACAAAAAAAAAAAAAATTAAGAAAACAAACAAACAAACATATGTAAGGGCGATTCTGGCCTGTGCTCTCAAGGTTACCCATACCCTGCGATAAGTACCCACAACTCACCAGCGGGAGAAAGGCACAGCTGTGCAAAAAACCATGTTGGGGCTTCTTCTGTTCTCACTTTGGGCGCCACTTGCCACCTTCCATAATGGCGCTCGGGAGAAGAATGAGGCACAAACAAGTCAGCTGTAAGAGAAAGAGCGGTGGACGACACCTCAAAGAGACTGTCGCCTGGAACACTTTCTGGAAAGAGTTTGCTGATCCCTGATTTAAATAGTTCTCTTACTTGTCCCTTCTAATCCATTCCTTTTGTCAGTGCCCCACTTTGGTTTCTCATTCTTTTTTGCTTCAGAATATTAACTCCTTACTGACATTATTTCCTGTAGTTTCACCCTGCATGTGCTTCCAAAGTGATTTAACATACAGATGTGGTCACGTCCCCTCTCCCTGTTGTCTGGAGGGTTAAGTTGTAAGCTGATCATTAGTGAATTCAGGACTCTTCGACTATTTGGGCTCAGCTCCCACCACTACCCTCTCAGCGTCAAATTTTTTCATTTCCCAAAGTAGGACTAATGCCTTTCCACATGCTTTTCCATCTGCCTCTTAACACCTTTCCCCAACTTTTCTTCGGGTAGATTTTGATTAACTTTCAAGTCTCAACTCAAATGCTACTTCTGCTTTGAAGGCATTCTTGACTTTTTCTGGCAGACCGCTAGGTTCTTTCTGTGCTTCCAGTTTTAAATAGATACAGCCTCTTTAAGCTTTATTGCTTCCAGGGGCGCCTGGGTGGCTTAGTCGGTTAAGCGTCCGACTTTCGCTTAGGTCATGATCTCGCGGTTCGTGGGTTCGAGCCCCGCGTCGGGCTCTGTGCTGACTGCCAGCTCAGAGCCTGGAGCCTGTTTCAGTCTGTGACTCCCTCTCTCTGACCCTCCCCTGTTCACGCTGTCTCTCTCTCTCTCCTAGAAATAAATTAAAAAAAAAAACATAAAAAAAAAAAAAAAGCTTTATTGCTTCCAAACTATGATCAATTTCCATGTCTATTCTTCTGCTAAATTGTGTTTATCTCCCATTAATTGTGTTACCTGAAGACCGTTGTTACCATATCTTTGTATCCCCAGAGGATAGCACATTTGTTGGATAATGAAATGTGGAATTAAAATTGTATTTTAGGAGGTGCCTGGGTGTCTTGGTTGAGCATCCAACTCTTGATTTTGACTCTGATCCTGGGATCAACCCCAATATCAAGCGTGTAGCCTACTTTAGATTTCTCTCTCCCTTTGACTCTCTCCTTCTCTTGCAACCTCTCTCCCTAAAATAAATAAAAAATTATATTTTAGTATTTTATTAATAAAATTAAAAATTATATTTTAGTATTTTATATAATTGTTTGCTTACCTGATGTCTTGAGATTAATCAGTGAAACTAAGTTTATTGTTGGATGTGAACTATATATAACTTAAACTTTTTTTCTGTTTATTGAAGAAAAGTAAAATACACTCCAACAATGTTATTTTCTTAAAGGTTAGACTTAATGAAGCAGAAAAAAAATACAAAGATATTCAAGATAAACTAGAAAAGATTAGTCAAGAGACAAATGCACGGGCACCAGAATGTTTGGCACTGAAAACAGATGTTACTGCTAAGAAAAGGACCTATAATGAAGCTGAGGTGAGAAATTTTCCAACCTGGAATATTAAATACTATGTATCAAATACAAATACTGTTCATTTACTTTTAACAGGAGGGATTTTATAAATAAGTCAGATCTGTGTCCCTTACAGATCTTAAAAAGTGTAATGTGGCCATTTATGTACTTTGTTTTAAAAATATATTTCTGCATATATTTGGCCTCTGAAGATTTGGCAAAAGTGGGTTTGAAAAGGATATATGTATATTTTTTATTTTATCAAAGTGTGTCTTATCTTTTGTTAGGTTTTATATAACCGGTCTCTAAATGAGTATAGAGCATTAATGAAAGATGATGAGCAGCTTTGCAAAAGAATCGAAGAACTAAAGAAAAGGTAGGATGGTGACTTGGCATTGCACACGATTACGTCATTTTGTAATACAGTGACCTCAGTGACATGGAGTATTATATTTTCCATACTATTTCTAAAGGAGTTTTATTACATTGCTTTGTGGTTTTTTAAATGTTCAGTTTTTCATTTAACATTTTCCATTTTGGGTTATTTACTGTTAGTACTGATCAATCTTTGGAACCTGAACGATTGGAAAGGCAAAAAAAAATATCTTGGTTAAAAGAGAGAGTAAAGGCCTTGCAGGATCAGGAAAGTTCAATCAATCAAGAGATCGAACAGTTTCAGCAAGCCATAGAAAAGGACAAAGAAGAACGGGTCAGAATTAAGTAAGTTTCAACATTCTTAGGATGATTTTTTTTAATTACTTGAAAATCATGTGGTTTGGTGTTCGTATGTAGAGAGAAAACATGTTTTGTTATGGCTGTTGATCTTGAACTGAATAAGGTATCTTTTAAAATTGCTTTTCCTGGACTTTTCTAACACTTGCAGCACTGGACAGTTTCAGGGATTCCTAGTCCTCATCCCTGTGGCATCTTGGGTTGTGTGTGTGTGTGTGCGCGCGTGTGCATGTGCGTGTGCATGCACACTAAGTTTTGAGGACTTGTGATGATTTTTCTCCGGTAACACAGTCATTTTCAAATAAATCTGCCTTTAGTCTTTAGGATAGCTGGGTCACTCACTGTTATGCAGGTGTTAGGGGGAAAGGCTGGATATTTCTGTATCATTGTATCACAGTTTTCTTCTGTTTGCTTTTTTTTTGTTCTTTTTTTGTTTTTTTGTTTTTTTTTGCTTAGGCGAGAAGAATTAGATGTGAAACATACACTGAGCTATAATCAGAGACAACTGAAAGAACTGAAAGATAGTAAAACTGATCGACTGAAGAGATTTGGGCCTCATGTTCCAGCTCTTCTTGAAGCAATAGATGATGCTTACAGGCGCGGCCGTTTTACCTTCAAACCCGTGGGCCCTTTAGGTATTTGTCACCATTCAGTCAGGATATAAGGATCATTAGAAATAAAGTTTTATTTTCAGGAAAGGGTCTATTGAATCTAGTTTTAAAAATGTTATCAAAGAGCTATGTAGTTGTATGTGGATTTTAATTTTATGTATTTTAAGAAATAATAAGAATCACTTTAAACTTTATAATTTTCCTTTTATATCTTTAAAGCATAAAATAGCCAAAAGCAAGAGAACTTAGGAAAAAACTATAGAGTTGAATAATGTGATTCTGATTTTTTTTTCCCTGAATGAATGAATACATGATTTAACTAATGTTGATATAATTGATTAGTTGGAAAATCCAGTGACATCAAGATACAGTCAGAAGGACTCTCACCACCTGAGTTTTGTATAACTTTTATAAAATGACTTATCTTTTCTTAGTTTCTATTTAGGATTGTTTCTACATTCTTTTTCAACTGAAAGCCTGGGTTTATTTAATTATTCCCATATATACAGAAGATTCTAAATATATACGTATCTTTTGAGTTCTCCTGAGAAATTCTCTCTAATTCTGTAACATCGTTAGGGGAAAATGATGTTGTAAAGATAAATATATTTTGTTCCTAATATATTTGCTGTGTAAGTGTGGCATTACACACTATATTATGGTAATGCCTCATCATGTAAATGATATATACCTCTGCACCAGGATCCATGTAAATGATGCGTACCTCTGCACCAGGATTTGTTTCAGTGGATGAGGCATGTTCATCAGTTTTACAGAAAATAATAAAGGATCTATAAACCTTTTGGTTTGATACTCAAAATGTCATTCAGAGGCTGGAATAGTATCCATTTACATAGAAAAGCCTCTGCTGATGTACATTGGAGTGAATGGGACAGGTTTTTTCATAGGATTTGGTGGTCTCCCTGGTGTATCCAGCAGGTATGTGGGGAATTCCCATTAAGTTAACAGAAGGTCTGTAATGTCATCTAAGCTTCTTTATATGAAAATATTTTTAAGTCACTTATAAACTGCTATAAAAAGATAGGTTAATATTTCAAAATAAGGATTTATGGGCCTTTTAATAATTTTCTCACTTTTAGGAGCTTGCATTCATCTTCGGGACCCTGAACTTGCATTGGCTATTGAATCTTGCTTGAAGGGACTTCTGCAAGCCTATTGTTGCCATAACCATGCTGATGAAAGAGTCCTTCAGGCACTGATGGAAAAATTTTATTCACGAGGGACCTCACGGCCACAGATTATAGTTTCTGAGTTTCGGAATGAGATGTACGATGTAAGACACAGGTAAGGCATCACTAGTTAAGTGCTATTTTTGGAAATGCATAATTATGTCCAAGATCAGAAAGAATTTAAAAAATTTTATGTTAACCAAATCTATAGTGCTGACTTAAGAAATTTCATCAAGCCGCTTTAATTTCAGCCTAGGCACTGGAGACACATAGATAGATAAGACCCGTTCCCTGCCCTTGAGCTCCTCACACGAGGTCTGTTGTGGGACCCAGAACAGGGAAAGGGATGCAGCGTGGCTTAGAAACTATGCTTAGGGAAATGATACAGACCTAGGCAAATTAAGGGGTGTGTGGGGGGGTGTGCTAACAGAGAGCTGTGGCACTCACTACTCATGGTTCAACTCTCCAGGTGCTTTGCAGATTCCATAAAGAACCCTGGTTGTTTTCTTTGATAACCGTAACAAACCTCAGGGGCCTAGTACCCAAACTGGCCTCTTTGCTAACGGCTGACTAACTACTCAGTTTACTTTTAAATATAATACATATTTTCTAATTTAATCTTCAGCTTTGATAAAATTGGATTACAAAATGCAGATGTAGTTCAGAGGAGAAAGTAATTACATGTTACATGTTAGAAGGTAGGTTAGGGAAGAAATTCAAGAAAAGAGTACAAAAGATCAGTCTCCTGAACTGATAAGTTTGTCAAGTAACAGACAAGGGCTAATTACTTTATAGGGAAATAGAATTCTATGTGCAAATCATACAGTGGCACAGCATCATAAATTATTTGCAAAAAAAAAAAAAAATAGCATGTGCATTATGGATAGAAAGGGACAGTTTAAAAGTATTATTTGGGACAAAATCAATAAAACCTGTTACTTGAATGTAAGAAAGAAAAGAATTGAGGATGCCTGCTAGGTCTCTAGGTGGAGTGAGTACCTAGCAGACATGTGGTTTACGAGAAGTATAAGGAAAAAGTAGATTTGTCAAAAGAATATAAGTCCTGTTGTGGAACTGTCCACTTTGAGCTTTTAAGCAAGATATAAGGATTTGGGAATTAGAGGTAAAGTGTTTTCTCAGTCTGTAGGAAAATCTGACTCTGCGTTAGTTTCTAGCTTTAATTCCTGATTTCTAAGACCTGATAAAAGTGAAATTTCCGGTGTGCTGCCAGACAACATTGCTCATGGTAAAAAATGACCCCTGACAGGTTAGTTGCATCTGAAATGGGAGAACTGTGAACACCTGATGCAATGCCAGTGTGGTGACTCTTGTAGTTGGGCATTTCCCTCCAGGGACCTTGGAAACCGCCCCTGGGAGATTGTTGTGAGGGATTAACTTTCGTGAGGAGTAGCTCTTGCGCCGGCACTGTCCTCTGGGGACCAGGAACGGGCGTTCTGAACTGCTGGGATGGCTCGTGAGCTGCTGTGAGGACTGCCATGAGTAGGAGTGCTCCCTACTGGTGCTCCCTGATGGCATGCTGAGGTTCCCAGGGGCTGTGGTTCCAGTGTCCTAGCAGCGCATCACATTCTGGGAGGCGGTGCATGGTGAGCTATGTTTGTGCAGCCTGAAGTCACTTGGGAGTAGGTGAATCCATGTGCTGAGAATGTGGGCCTCACGAGTTGGGTGGGTTTGGGAGAGTGAGCGAGCACGCTGAACCAAAGTCCACTGAGGATTCAGACACCTATGGTAGCTGCAGGACTTTGGACTTTTTAATAGGTTTGAGTAGAGAGAATGTGCTGTTGGGTTAATAGTGCATTAGAAGTTTTTAGAGCGGGTGGGTGTTGCAGAAGAGGGAAGCGGTTGAGAAAGCGCTGCTGGGAAAGTAGTTCATGATTGGCCGTGGGGCTTTGGCTGGAGAGGGAAGCAGGTGAGGCCACGTGAAGTTAGAGAGCAGGTTTGAGAGGCATGGTCAGCCAGGAAGGCTGTAGCTCGTGGTAACAGTGGGAAGTTAGAGTAATGGAGTGGCTCCAGAGTGTGACAGACTCCGTGTTTGCCTTTCAGAGTAGTTTGGTATTATGTTGAAGTTCAAGTTGGTGGAGTACTAGGGGAAGTTGGATGTTACTTTTAGGTGTTGACAGAGTATTAACAGGTTGGGTACATGTAATATTCTCTCAACCTTAGCTGTCTTACCGACATTTTGGAGGATGATTTTCTTGTGAAGAACTTTATCAGTATATACTGCGGTTCAAACACTAAATTTTAAAATTGGCATGTTATTTTAATGTAGAAAAGAACAGTGAAACACCATTGGAATGTTAGAATGAATAAGGTGTATTAAGCTCACATTAGAAAACCTCAAGAGAGGTTCCCTGAATAGTTTCCCAGGAATTACTGGGAGTAGTTTCCTTTCTTTTGAAGATGGCCTTGTTCCTTCTTTTCGGAGGAAATAGACGCTACAGAACTGCTCAGCATGCTAACCACCCACAACCTTCTCTGTGTCTGTAGGTCTTCTCCCGCTCAATAGAAGAGATGCTCTTTCTCTCTAACGCTGTTTATTCTCCTTAGGCTCTGAACTGCATGCTAAACTCTGATATGTGAACCATTTCTTTTAATTATTTCAGCTCTCTTCCTGAACCTTAAATGTTCCTACTCCATTGACTTCTCTCCCCTTTAAACATTCTAGGTTAGCAGTTTGCCTCCCCTATCTTAAGAGCAAACTCATTGGGGCACCTGGGGGCTCATTCGGTTGAGCATCTGACTCTTGATCTTGGCTCAGGTCATGATCTCAGAGCTCACAGGGTCAAGCCCCATGTAGGGCTCTGCACTGACAGTACTGGCTCTCTCTCCACCCCTGCCTCCTACTCACATGCTCTCAAAATAAATAATTTTTTTTTTTACACAAATAGTTTATTGTCAAGTTGGTTTCCATATAACACCCAGGGCTCATCCCTACATGTGTCCCTCTCCGTGCCCATCCTCCCCTCCCCCCCCACATCCATCAGTCCTCAGTTTTTGTCAGCATCAAAATTAATAACTTTAAAGACAAAAAAAAACCTTCTTTAAAGAGAGTAATATTGTCAATCTCATATAGTTATGAGGATTTAAGTGAGCTAATATTTATAATATTCTTAGAATGCCTAGCATATAATATAAATGTTTGCTATTTAAATAAAATAAAACTATTACAGACGTTCTCAAATGTTACTGGATATTTTCCGTTGTTACGTATAGTCACACATTAAAAAGACATATATATATAAGGGGCGCCTAGGTAGTTCAGTCCATTGTGTCCAACTCTTGATTATAGGTCGAGCTGTGACCCCGGGGTCCTGGGATGGAGCCCCGTGTCTTAGGGCTCTGTGCTGGGCATGGAGCCTGCTTAGGTTTCTCTCTCTGCCTCTTCCTCTGCCCTTCCCCCATGCACATACTCATGCATTCGCTCTCTCTCAAAAAAATATATCTGTATAAAAGTAAAGTCTGATAAGTTGATAGTTACATATTTTTGTCTTCTAGAGCTGCTTATCATCCAGACTTTCCAACAGTCCTGACCGCATTAGAAATAGATAATGCAGTTGTTGCAAACAGCCTGATTGACATGAGAGGCATAGAGACGGTGCTTCTGATCAAAGTAAGATATAAGATGCTTGCTGAATTTTGTGTTGTTTGTAAATTTCCAGAACTGACATTGGTTATATAAATTTCTATTCTCCTTCTACATTGCGGAGTTATTAAGATGTACCATCGTAATTTTACCTCATAGGAAACTATAGAATAATACAGAACTGGTTGGTTTGTGCGTTTTCTACCCAAGGGAGCTCTTTTGGCTATTCCTCAGTAAATCATTTCACAAGTACATATTATTTTGGTAAATGATGCTATAATTTTGTTTTTACTTCTTTCTTTCTTGATTGGTTGCCAGATCTGTTTTTTACTTAACCTTACAGATAAGTATGTTACTATTCTATTCTTTAAACTGATAGTCTGCTTGATATTTTGTGAGTTCTTCTTCTTAAAACTTTGAAAGTATCATAAAATAAGTCCGTATTTTTCATTTATGCATGTATTTTTATGCACTTCTTGATTAAATCTCCATACTGTGTTTCATTTATTGGCATCAATTTGCTGAGAAGGAACAAGGAAATTCAAAACAGAGATCTAACCAAAACAAACATAGTAGAGTTTGTTTTTCTCATTAATGGAAATGGGAAAAAAAAAGGATATGGAAAAGTAATGGTATCAGTAATTTAAAGGTATATACAGTATATATGTTGCAAGGTAATACTGTAATTGTTTGTAGGCTTAGCTCATTCATATTTTAGAAGGATATTTGAGGGGTGCCAGGGTGGCTCAGTTGGTTAAGCATCTAATTCTTGGTTTCCGCTCAAGTCATGATCTTGTGGATTCATGAATTCAAGCCCCATATGGGGCTCTGGGCTGGCAGTGAGGAGCCTGCTTAGGATTCTCTCTCTCCCTCTCTTTCTCTGCCCCTCCCCCACCCAAGTTGTTACTGTCTCTCTCAAAATAAATAAATAAACTTAAAAAAGGGATACTTGAAAGAAAATAACGAAGTCCTCTTAGACAAGAGGTTGGCTAGACCTCTATTAAGCCTAATTCCTATTTTACTGCTCTCTAGGGCTTAAATATTTGTTTCCAGGCTTTTCCTGTGTAATTCAGTATGCTGATCTTTCATTATAATTTGCTGTTCACTCACATCTTTCCAGGCTGTAAAAGTCATTTAGAAAAGAATAAGATTTGTATGAACTGATCTAAAATAAATATTTCCACATGAAAATGTACTTAAAATAATTTTTAATTTTAAATGGATTAGAACTTAAATCAGTTTGTCATAAAGCATTGTTTACTGTGGTGATTTTTTTTTAATGTTTGTTTATTTTTGAGAGATAAGAGAGAGCAGGCATGTTTGAGCAGAGGAGGGGCAGAGAGAGAGGTAGACAGGGAATCTGAGGCAGGCTCTACCATGTCAGCACAAAGCCTCACATGGGGCTCGAACTCACGAATCCTGAGATCGTGACCTGAGCTGAAGTCAGATGCTCAACCCAGGCGCCCCAACTATGGTGTTCTATAAACTTAGTAGTTTTAATTCTTTGAATCTTGAGAGTTGTTTTTGAAATTCTTTTTTTTTATTTTCTGGAATGATTTTACTTATGTTTAAATAAAAATACTTGAATCTTATAATAAGGATAAGTAGCATTTTGAAATTGTGCATCAGAAAGGCTATAGCATAACTTCAAAAATGTATTTTTCCCTCTATTTTTTTAGAATAATTCTGTAGCCCGTGCAGTAATGCAGTCTCAGAAGCCACCCAAGAATTGTAGAGAAGCATTTACGGCTGATGGTGATCAGGTCTTTGCAGGACGTTACTATTCATCTGAAAATACAAGACCTAAATTCCTAAGTAAAGACGTGGATTCTGAGATAAGGTTAGTGTCAGTGCGAGCTTTACTGTGGTTTTCCGACTGCTCCCTGTGGGGTGTGCTTCCTTTCGTATTATTCTCGCAGCAGTTATTTCAGGGAAGGATTGTGAATAATTTTTTCGGGCTTTGAAGATCATTTAGCTGGATGTAGAATTGTAGGTTGATGGTTGTTTCCCATCAGCACTTTGACAACAGTATTCTGGGCGAAGAACACAAATTAAAATAGCTGTAATGGGTATTAGAACATTTAGTAAAACTTCTTAGTTAGCAACAGAAAAGTTGAATGACCAGCAACTGGGTATCATGACCCTAAGCACACATTTTATATTGACACTGAGTGTTTCTGATGAGAGAGATGTGTGAATGTGTGATGTATGAAAGTGACCTATAAAGTGGTAAGTTTTTGTCCATTGTGCTGTGACATTTCAATCAAGCCTTCCTGAATCTTCACTGGGTAAGGCTGAATTGTATGGTATTCAACAGACACGAGTGTAAATATGTAAAAATACCATAGTGATGTTACTCTGTATGGCTCACACTTCCCTTTTAACAAAAATTGCCTCATGTATTTATGTCCCAAGTGTTTAAAAAAAAAAAAAAAAAAGGCAGTATGGCGTTTTTGGAAAAGATTGGAAGTATACCGCAGCAGGAAATTGAGATCTCTGATTCCAACAGTTTATTTTATTTTTTTGCTTTTGTTGATTCCAACATTTTAGTAATAAAGGTTTCATTTGGCTTCATTTTTTTTTAGCTAACAGTATTTGTGTTCATGTGTAGTGGACACATCCTTTGTTTTAAAAGTCAGCTGAACTGGTTTTTAAAAAATCGTTTCCCACATTGATAAACTTTATTGATTGTAAATATACCAAGTTCTGGATATTATGTTTATTTAAGTAAGTCAGAGAAAGACAAATACTGTTTGACTTCATTTATATGTGAACTATAAGAAAACAAACAGGGGAACAAAACAAACTGCTGCACAGACTTGGAGAACAATCTGGTGGTTGAAGAAGTCCCTGCAGAGGGAAGAGGGGTGGGTGGAATAGAGGAAGGAGATTAAAAGGTACAGACATGTAGTGGGAAAGTAAGTCATAGAGATGTAATGTGTAGTGTATTAACATTTTTACAACTCGGTAACAGATGGCTGCTGGGTTTATTGGGGAGGTCGCTTTATAATGTGTGTAAATGTTGAATCACTTTGTGGTACGCCTGAAACTTCCGTCATGTTGTGTGGAAGCTACAGCTCAATTTAAAAAGACAGAGAACAGTTCATCGCTTTAAAAAGAAAGGACAGAAAGAGAATATAGCAATTCTAATGATATTTAGATGACTTTTGTGTCCTCTGTTTTGACCTGAACCAGTATATTTTGAAGTTTAAAAAAATTCATTAGTGCTTTTTAAAGATAGGAAAGTATAAATTGGGAAACAAAAGTAGCTCATAATCCTGTTTCTGCATAGTCTTTATTGACATTTTAAATAACGATTAGAAGGGGGGCACCTGTGGGGCCCAGTCGTTTGAGCGTCTGACTCTTGATTTCAACTCAGGTCATGATCCCTGGGTCATGGGATCCAGCCCAGTGCTCAGCAGGGTCTACTTAGAATTCTCTTTTCTCTCTCTCTTTCCCTCTCCCCACTCATGTGTGTGCTCACTCTCAAATATATAAAGATAGATAGATAGATAGACAGATAGATAGATAGACAGAAAGAGGGAATACATGTATATGGTGAGAAAGTCCAAATAGTGCAGGAAAGTACACAAAGTAAGACCATTCTTATGTCTCTTTTAAAAGTAAGGTAACAGTTTAGCAGTTTCTTATACATGTTTTCTTATGTGTTTCCAAAACAGTTTGAATCCCTGTACAGTGACTTAAATTAGACAAAATTCACATACTGTAAAACTCACTCTATTTTAAAGCATACAAATTGAGAGATTTTTATTATATTCATAAGGTTGTGCAGCCATCACTGTTAGCTAATTCCTGAACATTTTCATCACACCAAAAGAAAACCCGTATCCATGAGCTGTTATTCCCCCAATCCCAAACCTCTGGCAACCACTGTCCACTTGGGGTTTGTCTATGGATTAGTTTGTTCTGGATGTTTCATATAAATGGAAACATGCACTATGCAACTTCTTGTGTCTGGCTTCTTCCACTTAAGTGCAAGTTGTATGTAAGTATGCATAGGGTTTCTGTATCTTGCTTTTTTTCTACTCAGTGTTAAATCTTGGCAGTCTTTCCGCATCAGCAGCTTTAGAACTACCTCTTGATAGTTCCGCAGGAGTTAACCAGTTCCCCGTTGATGGACATGGGAGTTGTTTGCCATTTTCTCTTGTAACAGTGTTGCAGTGAGAACTCACATATGCGGATCTTGGCATACTTTTGAAAGTGTGTAGCTTAAATTCTTCATAGTGGAAATGCCAAGTAAAAGGATCTGTGAATTTTTAAATTATTTAATAGCTGTTGCCAAATGACTGTAACTGATCCATTACTACACAAGTAATGCTTTGATTTTAAGTATTTAATAATATTAAGTAATATTAATATTTTAATACATATAATATTAAATTAGCTTTAATATTAGATTTATATTTATATGTAAATATAAATAATAATATACTTATTAAAATAGATAATTTAGTATTTTCATTTTATTTTTATATAAGTTGACCGTTTAATAGTGATTGCTAGATGACTCCAGAAAGATTCCCTAATTTCCCTTCATATTACGAACATATAAAGAGTGCTCTATTACCCTTGTCAGCTTATTACCAACAGATTCCTGTTGATGAAAAATGGTTCTGGAATGTAACTGAAGAGATTATAATTTATTTCACAATTTCATAATGAACAGAGTGGCTTCTTAACAGGGAAAGGGTTTTAAGTATAGGCACTGACTTGGTTTGATTATCCCGTGTGCTTTCCCACAATGAAAGTACAAAGTAAGGTGCAAAAGAAACGTGTAAACATACAAGGTCATTAAAAAAAATGTACATGTAGGTTTTTCAGTTTTCAAAGTACTTTAATAACAGTTTAAATATAATTTTCCAAAATGTATTTTTCAAATTTATTCTTTTCCTTTGTTCTTCAAAACAGATACTACGTGATTACTTACCGTGCCAGACCCTGGTCAAGGCACAAGACATGGCACGAAATAAAGTACAAAAATTCCCCATCCTGGAGCTTAATATTAGGAAGGGGGAGATAGACTAGATGAATACTACCTAGGTCAAGTGCTGTGGAGACAAGCACAGTGGAGTGAGGGCTGGAGACTGAGGAGTGTACTACTTCAGTGGCTTCCGGGAGTGTGTGCATCCCACACAAACCACATGCACATGCTTACACATTTCATTAAGTAACACAGGTTCTTGCTTTGTGGAAAGATTAATTAAAACTAAGGAGGAACACTATATGAAAGTGTGTAACAGAACTCACCCTACCCAGCAAAGGAAGTTGTGTAATTTAGCAGTTTTGTTTATATAAATTCTGTTGGTTGCTTAAGTTTATTCTAAATATTCAGGAAGTTGTATAATAACAGAGTATGGTCTGTGCTTATTATTTCATTGATTTTTATTTTTGATTTAGAATCTAGGTTTCAGTTTGTTTATTTGATAAATATGTTTTTAGCAAATTTACTGTTCATAAAGGTCTAGATTTATATGTGATAAAACAGATAATTCTTACTAATTTGAGGAGCCATCTTAAGTTTTTGTATCTGACCCCCCCTTTTTTTTTTTTTACCAGAAATACAATAATTATTTCCCTCCTTTGCTCATTTTTGTCATTCATTCTGCTAACATTTATTGAGCCTTTCACTAATTTTGAAGATTCCAGCAGGGTAGCACAGTTAGAATATTTTATCAAATTTAAGCTGCTGTGTTATTAAAAAAGAAAAAGTGCTGTTACTTCAACCATGGAGTGGAAGGTGATTTCAGAGCTGCTGAAGTGTGGGAAACACGCGTGTTACTGAAGTACGGCAGACACTCTCAGTGAGAGCAGCTTTTAACTGCAGAGATGCTTCTCTCCCACCAGGCAGACGATTTGGGGAGATAGGTGCTTGGGTCAGTGTGACAGGAAGAGGTCACCTCTGAAGGCAGTGACCACTGTCATGGAGACACTTTATGGATTTGGCATTGGCTTGCTTTTCCCTCCATCCTTTTTCATTGTCCTCTCTCCATACCTCTCGTTCCCACACACTCAGAGCATTTCTCCACCAGCAGTAACGGCTGAGCTGTCGGGTTTATGTTTCACTGCCCTGTGCTTCCACGCTGTCCTCCCCTCCCCTCCTAGGGGCCCACCCGAGGAAGGCTGTAGAGAATACGGTTCCCAGACTCACTCCTGTGTCCCGTAGTGCTGTGATGTAGTGTCCTCTTCATGTTTTATCATTACAGCTTATTTCCTGACTTTTAGTCTGATTTCTTCATGTCCTAATTCTGTTTCCACTTCTGCTTATCACTGTGCATGATGGGTGCCACACAAATCGTATAAAAAATGTTTCTTAATGAAATAAGTGAAATATGACTGTAGTTTAGAGGTCTTTTGAAATCTCTGTATTTTCATGTTATTAATAACTTGGTAGGAATATAGAACTGGTTTAACTGGATAGAGTTTTGCAAATAAACTGTCACAAATAAGCTCTTCTTTGTAAAGATCTTTGTAATATTCAGAAACAGATTGGAGGTGTTTTTTATCCTCTCCTCTCCTCTCTGTCTAGTGATTTGGAGAATGAAGTTGAAAATAAGAAGGCTCAGATACAAAATCTTCAGCAACATCTGTCTACCCTTGAAAAGGATATTAAGCGCAATGAAGAATTTCTTAGAAGGCGCCAAATGCATTTTAGAGAGTTAAAGGTAAGGGGAAAAAATGTCCTTTTGTTTTGCTCATCGCACTCACTTCTAAGTTATTTTTAAAGAGCCTACCATTTATTTAGTTAGAGAAGAAGTTTGCAAACTTTTTGTCCTCAGGCCCCTTTACAGTCTTAAAAGAGCTTTCATTTATGTGGGTTTTAACTAATTATTAAAAATTAAAACAAACTTTAAGAATATTTATTGGTTCACTTAAAAAAAAACCAAGTCATTATGGGGCACCTGGTGGCCCAGTTGGTCAGACATCTGACTCTAGATTTTAGCTCAAGTTGTGATCTCATCTCTTGAATTTGGCTCAGATCATGATCTCAGGGTTTGTGAATTTGAGCCCCATGTTGGGGTCTATGCTGACAAGGCAGAGCCTGCGCGGTATTCTCAGCCCACCCACTCCCTCACCCCAATCCCTGACTCTTTCTGATCCTCCCACACATTCTCTCTCTCTTTCAAAATAAATAAACAAACATAAAAAAAAGAAAACTCATTATGTGTTAACAAAAATAATGTTTCTGTGGAAAATAGTTCTACTTTCCCAAAACCAAACAGTGAGAAAATGGACATTTTTATATTTTTGTAAATCTCTAATATCTGGCTTAATAAAGCTCAGCTGAATCATCACATTAGCTTCTACAGTCAGTCTCTTGCAGTAATTACCCATCCTATAGTTGTAAACCTCCTGCACACTCGTGAGAAAATGATAATAAAAAGGGTGAATAATGTAGTATTTTTGTGAAAATAGTTTTGACCTCATGACCCCATGAAAGAATCTCAGAAGCACCAGGGGTGCTTGGGTTGTACTCAGTGAAGTGGTGGATTCAAGTAATCTTGCCAGAACCTCCATCTGGGTCTTCCGAGAAGGGTTTTCTCAGTAGAGTCAACATTGTCATCATTTTAATGGTAAGGCAGAATGTTTCCGTCCTTTTTTCATGGGACTGGATTAGCAGTAAGGATGATCATGACAGACTTTATACACAACATGCTTTTGTTCATTCAATACTAGTTTGTCTCTCTCATTAGCTACAAAATCCTCTATAACAAAAACAGAGTAAGGACTTTGTGGATTAATGCATCCTTTCTGGGGGGCACTTGTTATATATATTTATATTTATCTATTTATCTTTATTCATTTGTCTGTTGATTTATTTATCTATTTATTTAACTAATGTCTAAACCCAGTGTGGGGCTCGAACTCACAACTCTGTGATCTAGAGTCATGTGCTCTACCGACTGAGCCAGCCAGATGCCTGTTTCATTTATTTTATGTTACTAAAATTGAAATAATTTTTCTTTCAGGTAAAAATAACAGAAAGTATTTCTGAAATTCGGGAGCTTGAGAATATAGAAGAACACCAGTCTGTAGATATTGCAACATTGGTAAGATTCTTTTTCCTTGATTTACGTGTAATGTTAAAACAGAACTGTCATTTAGGTTAATAGCATCCACTCTCAGCTTTTTTTAAGTCCTTTTAACTGATGTTACCTTTTGTAATCGTTATTTTTATTTGCAAATAAGGTCAGCACTACCTGGCTTGTAGCATTCAAGTTCCTTAATGTTTTATAGGTGTAACTTGCATGTATAATAATTGATTTTGTCTTCTACTGCGTGTACTAAAGCTATCAAAGCTTGAACAGTGTGCTTCTAAACAGTGGCCTTTCCAACCAGACTGCCTAGCATAGCTTTGTTCAGAGTTCATCAGTATTAATACTAATGGATTTCTTTTACTCAGCTGTAGTTGGTCTCTTCATTGTTGAGGTATTTTTTTTCCGTAAGAAATTGGTTCTCATTTTCATCTATCACACGTTTGTTAGTCTGTTGTTTTTTTCAGACAGCTGTTTATGACATTCAGCTTAGCTTGTCTGAGTTACAGTAAGCAGCGCATTAGATAGATTACAGTCTTGTTAGAATGAATAAATGTTTATTGAATCTCCACTCTGCACCAGGCACCATATTAAGTGCTGGAGGATAGGACAGTGAACCAGACAGATAAAGTTCTGGCACTGATAGAGCTTTACTTTACGCTAATGAGAATTTGTCTTCATTTTTATTAGCGATCTTATTCATCATTTTTTATTTTTCTGCTTTAATTCCTTAGATTTCTTAAAAGTATGGACTATGTCTTACTTATTTTTGTTTACTCAGTATCTAACACATTGGTACATGATATATATGTATGCATGCTGCATTTTGAAAGAAAAAGTAACTAGATAAAATAAGTCTTCCTTTTGATTATGACCTCAAGCATGGTATAGTTTAACTTGTGTCCCATATGTCAGTCTTTCTTACTATTGAATTGTTTCCTACTTCCTGATTTACCACTAAGGGTATGAAAATATTCTAGTGCTCTTTGTATTTGTCTTTCACTGAATTGCCTAGAGCCTGTACTTTGTCTTCTCTCAGAATCATTTGTTTCATAACTTAAGTATTTTAATTAACTCCTTATGTTCTGTAAATGTGACCAGGAAGATGAAGCTCAAGAAAATAAAATCAAAATGAAAATGGTTGAGAAAAATATGGAACAGCAAAAAGAAAATATGGAACATCTTAAAAATCTGAAAATAGAAGCAGAAAACAAGTATGATGCGATTAAGCAGAAAATTAATCAGCTCTCAGACCTAGCAGAACCACTTAAGGTATGTGTTACTATTACTCTGTTGTTATATGTTTCAGCTGTGTATCCACACTGTCCTTGCCAGATACTGCCCTAACAGAATTTATGGTTAAATGTAAATGTAACCAAATAAAATGGAATATAAGCCAAATTTTCATCAGTAGGTCAATTATAATTAAACACTTTGTTCATGTCTTTAGGGAAAATAAATTGCTAAAAATTTCTGTTTCTCCTGGAAGATTACAGCTTTTGTTTCCTTTTTATTTATTTTTCTTTTTTTAGAACCAGAAGCAGGGATATCTTGTCCATCCAGCCTGTTTCTGTGCTCACCTACTCTGTTGTCTTTTCTGGCTTTCCTTCAGTAATTCAAGAATTAGTTTTATAAAAATAGTTATAGATTAGATACAAGAGCAGCTTGAAATAAAATGCTACTGAATTCTTGTTTATTGACATGTTTGTATTATGTTCCAGGCTGAATTAAACTGGCTTTTTTTAAAACTTTTTTTTCTTTTATTGTTTTATTTATTCTTAAGAGAGAGAGAAACAGAGCACGAGTGAGGGAGGGTCAGAGCAAGAGAGGGACACAGAATCCCAAGCAGGCTTTAGGTGCTGACAGCTCAGAGCCCAATGCAGGGCTCGAACCCACAAGTCATGTGATCATGACCTGAACCAAAGTCAGACGCTTATCTGACTGAACCTCCCAGGTGCCCCTTAACTTTTTTTTTTTAATCACATGCTTTTTGAAACCAAATTTAGGGAAATAAAATTATTTAACAATTAAATGGTATACGTTTCCCGGTGTTTATTAGCTTAGTTATTTATAGATTATTATCATTATCATTTTTATGAATAGCTCAATTATTATCAGAACTTTAAATGTTATTTATAAGACTGAGAAGAAGGAATACTGTATATTAAGAGCCTGAGGCAGCATGGGTACCTGGGTGGGTCACTTGATTAAGTGTCCAGCTCTTGGTTTCTGTGCAGGTCATGATCTCACAAACCGTGAGCTGACAGCACAGAGCCTACTTGGGATTCTTTCCCTCTCTCTCTGCCCTTTTCCTGTTCATGCTCTCTCTCTCTGATAATATTTAATCTTAAAAAAAGAAAGTCTGAAGGGGGTATGCTGATGATACAACTCTAATATACCTCCATGTTTTGGCAGGAAATGTATCCCCTTTGAATCAAAATGGATTTAGATATTTTAATAGTTTAAAAGAATTGTGCATGTAAGTTTTGCTCTGTCTCCATTGAAAATTTTAGAAGATCTCACTTACAGAGTTGGGAGGATATTAAAGGAAGGCACAGGATGCTCTTCCTGGAAACACCGTTTGTGGTGGTCTCTCTGGAGTTGCTGTCAGGAGCTGGGGTCCTGCCTGCCTTTCTAACCCTGGGTGCTTAACTTGTTTCTATTTGCGATATGAATTTAAAAAATGGGAAAACAGACTGATAAGTTAACTGACAAAGAATATAAAGTTTAATATTAAAATTGTGAGGAAGAAAAATGTATTAAAGATAATATTGAGAAAAATAAGAAAGCATTTGCTGCATACAGGAGATAAGAAAAAGGCAAAAAGATAAAAAAAAAACAAAATTAGTTTTTATGAGATTGATGCACTACCTACTGTGCTAACAAAGCACCTACAAAATTAGTTTTTAAAAGAAAACAGAAGGAATAAGATAAATATTAAAATCATCAAGAGTACGTTAGGTAGAATTCAGAATTCAGGAATTAGAGCAGTGAAGTTACAGCAAAGGTAGGACTAAAAAGATATTTTAAATCGGTAAGGGATTGAACAGGGTAGGGTGACTTAAAATCAAAATGATGAAATATGTTAATATAGGAAAAGAAAGATTGCACCTAAATTATTCACCCCAGACAACTTAAGATTCAAAGAAGAAATGATGAAGAGTAAGCTGTGTTGTGTTCTTGTAGGTATCTCTAGGCCAATGCAGCTCCTGGGATTGGGAGTTTGAATAAGTGTAAGAGCACAAAATATGGGCACAAGGCAGTAAAGATTCTTGATCTTAGCTCTTTGCATTGGCTGCAAATAACTGAAAGCCAGGAGTCGAGTCCTTCCGTGAACTTGCATGCAGTCAGCTGGCAGCCAGCGGGCTTTCCCCCTCAGCACTCTGTCACACTAGCCATCAGTAACAGCAGGACCAATGCGACATGGCCAACAAAGTAACTTAAGTCCTGAGACACGGCCGTCATGATGGATTAGCAGCTTCGCGACGTTCTCTGTTTGCTTGTAGGACAAGTGTTCATTCTGTGTCAGGGATGGTGAGGGGTAAAGTACTCTGTTTAGATACATAGTCATTGAAATTTTGGTATAAGGAATATTCTCCTCACTTTAAATAGTCTGTTTTGATTTACACTGCAAATTTAATGCTTTAGTTTTAGTTGCAAGTTAAATTTGTCAGACAAGGAGTATGACCCACATCGAACCTACAAAGATAGATGGTCTGCACTACTCAAGTAGGAAGACTCTTGGTTTCTGATATAGAGAGTTTATTTGGATCACAGATGACTGTGCTTTTAAAAATTCCAAAGTACCCCAATGTTCATAGCAGCACTCTCCACAATAGCCAAAACATGGAAAGAGCCTAAGTGTCCATCAACAGATGAATGGATCAAGAAGATGTGGTTTATCTATACCATGGAATACTACATGGCAATGAGAAACAATGACATCTGGCCATGTGTAGCAACATGGATGGACCTTGAGGGTGTTATGGTGAGTGAAATAAGTCAGGCAGAGAAGGACAGATACCATATGTTTGCACCTATAGGAGGATTAGGAGGAACTTGACGGAGGAACAAGGGGGAGAAGAAGGGGGGAAATGGTGGGGGAAAGGGAGAGAGGCAAACCATGAGAGACTCTTGAATGCTGACAAAAACTGAGGACTGATGGATGTGGGGGGAGGGGGGGTGGGCATGGAGAGGGGCACTTGTGGGGATGAGCACTGGGTGTTATATGGAAACCAACCTGACAATAAACTATTTGTAAAAAATAAATAAATAAAAAATAAAAATTCCAAAGTAAGGGGCACCTGGGTGGCTTAGTTGGTTGAGTGTCTGACTTTGCCTCAGATCATGATCTTGCAGTTTGTGAGCTCAAGCCCCACAACTGATAGGACAGAAAATCAGTAAGGATTTAGAAAACTGAAGCACCATCAACCTACGGGACCTAATCAGTGCTTAGAGAAGACTACCAGTGACAGTAGAATACACCTTATTTTCAAGTACCTGTTCCATGTATATGTACCAAGATAGATCATCTCTTGGACCATTAAAAAAAATCCCAACAAGGGCACCTGGATGGCTCAGTCGGTTAAGCCTCCAACTTCGGCTCAGGTCATGATCTCACGGTTCATGGGTTCGAGCCCCGCGTCAGGCTGTCTGCTGACAGCTAGCTCAGAGCCTGGAGCCTGCTTCAGATTCTGTGTCTCCCTCTCTCTCTGACCCTCCCCTGCTCATGCTGTGTCTCTCTCAGAAATAATTAAAAATATTTTTTAAAAAAACCCAACAACTTAACTATATAGTGTGTTTCCTAATCATAATACAGTCATACTAGAAATATTTAGTAGATCCTCAATTAAAGATCTTTTAATAGAAGGATAATCTCTAAACACGTGAAACTAACATCCTTTTAAATAACCCATGGTCGGCAGAGAAAGTGTTGATAAATTTTAAAATATTTTGAATCAAATGAAATGAAGATGATTTATCAGATTTTATGGAATGCAGCTAAAGCATTGCTGAGAAGGAGATTTGTGGTACTAAATTCATTAGAAAAACAATACACAGACTGCTGCCAACAAGAACGTGAAAGCTGCAGATTTTCAGCTTTGGAGGGGGCTGTCCTGCTGCCTGTGAGACATAAGAAACCGGTCAGTTACAGTTTGAGGGCTCTGCAACCACACCTTTAAATAAGAAACCCAGAACAACACTAAAGAGTTAGAGCTAGAAACAAGGAAACCTAATATGAAGAATCTCCAGAAAGAAGAAATTCCCCTACAAAAGAAATCTCTTAAAAAAAAGGATGACTTTAGATGACAAGCTCTACCAGTGAGACTTAGACGTCAGTGAGGGAACTTCCAGCAGTCACCATTGATGTGGAAGAGGTGACAAAAGCATTGAAAAATGTGACAGTAGCAAAACTGAAGCAAAAAGTAAGTCCCCGCATATCTCCAGTTGCAGTGTAGCCAGTGATTGTTCAGATCTGGATAAGATTACTGGGGAAGATGATTTTGATGGTGTTCAAGGGAAAAGAAAAGCAACATCAGAGACATTGGTACCACAGAGGAAGATGGTTGGAAGGCCATAGTGGCGATAGTGCTGATGACTCTGAACCAGACTTTTGCAGGTGGTAACGAGTCTGATTTTAGTGAGAGGAAAGATAATGATGAAGTCTTCACCAGACGGAAAAATAAAGTGAAAGAAATTAAAAAGAAAGCAGTGAAAGTCAAATCCTCAGTTGAGAAGAAACGTAAATCCAAATGTAATTCTTTGTAAGTGACTTTAGGAAACTCTGCTCCAGGTCTGTGAAATCAGAATCAGCCTTATCAAAAAGGGTTTCTGTTTCTTCAGAGGCCACTAGGAAACCATTACACATAGGCAGTCCTTCAGCTGAAAGCAGAAAAGCTACATGGGTCCCATCAGCGATATCTGGAAGCAGCATCAGCTGCAGCAGGACCCACTGGCTCCAAATCAGATTCTCTGCATTGGCTTGTCCAGATTAGTACGGGTTAAACCTTACATTCGAATGCTGCTGGTAGTTGAGTGTGGTCATAAACAGATATTTGATTAAGAGAATCACAGTTTTAGAAGTCTGTCTGTATTTGATTTGTATTTATATTTGAGGAATGTATCACAATGCAGTCCTTTAATGTCATATAAATCGCCTCTATCTAGTCTGTGATGTTCTCTGAAGCTAGTCAAGACTTCAATAAGAGTTTTGTTGATAAGAATTATCTTGTAATACCATTTCCTTCTGAAGAACATATTCTATTTTTCCTGTGTAAGATAAGTTATTGCCATTAGGTGCTTGTCAGTTTGACCTGGAAGAAGTTCATGTTGCAGGCTGTTCCTTTGTAGAAACATGATGTTCCTTTCTAACTTTGTCTAATTTATGGCACCTTAACCTTAATTGTTCAGAATTTGGGAAAAGGAAACATTCCCACTTTTTCCAGGAGGCATTTCTGAAGTCTCACTTCAGCTACATTATCAGTTTTATTGCAAAGATGTTTCATGTTTTAGCCAAATATTGTTATAGTAAGAATTCAGAATTATTTTACATCTTAAAATGATTGCTAATATGACATATGTCTCCTACTCAGAAGTAGATGTTTATCGTATAGCAAATAGTTTCATGGCATTTTATGAAGCTGTTGTTGTCAAAGCCTTTAATAAAAGTGAAAAGGTTTTGATAGGCTCTTTTCCTTGAGAGCATTGCATCCATGTATGTCTGGTTATCTACATTTTGTGATTAAATGAATGCTTTGCAAAAACAAAACAAGATAAATTATAATATACATATCCTTTTTATGTATTATTCACAGTAACCACATGGGGTTTATTTATTTTGGACTTGCAAGACTCTTTCCACCATTTTAATAAAGAGGAAAAATCATATATCAATCAGTACAGAAAAAGAATTTGATAATATTCACCCATTCATGATTTTTATAAGCCTCAAAAAATGGAAATAAAGAATTTCTTCAACAGGTTAAAGACCATCAACAAACAATGTAGTTAACACGAAGAAAGTAAAAATGAATGTCTCACCACGTTGACTTAATGTAGTTAATATTGGAAGTTCTAACCAATGCAGTATGGCAAGAAAAGGAAATAGTAGATACACAGATTGTAAAGAAAAAAAGAAAACTGTCTCTATTTGACATGCCATGATTGTCTACTTAGAAAACCTCAAGGGGATTACAAGAAAAGTCTGGAATACAAGATCAACATACAGAAATCAATTGCATTTTGTAGGCTAGCAGTGAACACATGGATGCTGAAATGAAAACCACAACACCATCCACACTTTCTCAGAAGAGAGGTTTTGACTTGTGTCCTGTACAACCACCTGGCAACCACTACTTCTGTTTCTATAGATTTGCCTGTTCTCGACATCTCATGTCCATGGAATCATACAGCAGGTGGTCTTTTGTGACTGGCCTCTTTCACTTAGTCTAATGTTTTCAACATGCATCCCTGTTCTGGCATGTTACCAGTAGTTTGTGCTTTTGTATTGCCTAATGAAACACCATCGTATATCACATTTAATTTCTTTATTCATCAGTTGACAGATATTTGGGTACTGCTGCTGTGAACATTCATGTACATGTTTTTCTTTTGGATAGATACCTAGGAGTAGAATTGCTGGGCTACATGCTTATCCTACCTTTTGAGAAACTTTGAAACTATTTTCAGAGGTGTACCACTTCATATTCCCACCATCAACATTTGAGTGTCCCAGTTTCTCCACACCCTTGCCAGCCAGCCCTTGTATTGTATGCCATTTCTATTTTAACCATTCTGTTAAGTGTGAAATGTTCTTGTTGTGGTTTCAGTTTGCATTTTCCTCATATCTAATACTATTGAGTGAATTACCCTGTTTTTATTGCTCATTTGTGGATCTTCTTTGGAGATGTCTGATCAAATCTTTGCCCTTTTTTCACTTGCATTGTACGTCCTTGTTGAGTTTTAGGAGTTCTTTCTTTATGCCAGGTATATGTTTGATGTTTTTAACGCTGTACTGAATGTTACAGATTTTAATTTTTAAATGATTCCTAATATATAGAAACATTACTGATTTTTTGTTTTGGCTTTGTATCAAGTGAGTTTTCTAAACTTATTAATTTAAAAGTCCTTTGAAATTTCTTCATAAATAATCATGTCTTTTTTTAAAAGTGTTGTTTTTACCCTTCCTTTCTGATCTTTACTGCTTTTTATTTCCTCTCTTAACTTTTAATTGAATTAGCGAGGGCCTGCAATACAGTGTTGAATAGAAGCAATGGAACTAGACATCCTTGTCTTGTACTTGATCTTAAGAAGAAAGCATTTAATCTTGAAAGTAGTGGTTAGCTGCTATTTATGTTTTGTTCTTGTTCTTATTTCCTCTCTCTTTTTTCTTTTGACATCAGCCAAGCAATTTTTAGTGTACCTATTTTTAATCTCTTCTACTAGGTTTTTAGCCATAACTCTTTTCTTTTCCAGTGGTTGCTGTACATTATAATATGCATCTTTACCTTGTCATAGTCCACTACTCTTTATTTTTAAGGTGAGAGATAGTTTCTCTACAGTTAAATTTTGTGCTAAAATTGTGAGGTTATACTTCCAGAATGATGACTAAATAAGTTAGTGGTTAAGTCTCTGCATCCTTTTCTCTTCTACCCTGACTCACCTTTTTAAAAACCAGACTATCTCTGTAAATATCCAACACTCGCTTTGTTTTAGGTCTTTTCAGGCTGATGTGGCTTTCCACAAAACTACCTTGTTTACTGAAAAAAGGTTGAAAGCACCGTAACATATGGGGACTTCGTGTCAGGATTTGAATACAGTCATGTGACTTCTTTAGGGAAACCCCTCCCTTCTATTCATACAGCCCATACAGCGGATACAAGCTTTGACACTCAGTCCTGGGAGCTACATAACCCCGCCCACCTTGTTGATTTGTCAGTCAGTTTTACACCTATGCTGGCAGCTTTTTCAAAACAGTCTTTTCTTTATTATTTTGGCTTTATTTAAACAGGATGAGTTAAACCTTGCTGATTCTGAAGTGGATAACCAAAAACGAGGGAAGCGGCATTATGAAGAAAAGCAGAAGGAGCACTTGGATACTTTAAATAAGAAGAAACGAGAACTGGATATAAAAGAAAAAGAATTGGAGGTTATCCATCATTTTTCTGTTATGTTTTGTTTACAACCTTAGTCATGGCTGTTCAGGCATTTTCCTTAATGTCACGTTTCCAAACATAGACCAGCAGTCTGATGACCGGCCACTTTGTGTAGCAGAACAGCTGTTTCAGTGATCAAGGAGAGGAATAGTCTTGGAAGCTTTCAGGGTGTGGACACTGAAACAGACCACCCACCACAAAGAGGGCTTTGGCTTGGTTTACAAGGCTGATCGCCTGTCTCCGAGTGATTTGGAAAATGACTTGCACTCAGCTAACATAGCTCCTTAAATGCCGAGCTTGGCAAGTGGTTAGCAGCTTTATGTCAGAAAGAGCTGCTCCTTCCTTTGAGTAGCATGAGTGTGGGCTGGACTGGAATTCAGCCCCTACTTACTACACACCCTTGTTAACAGCTGTCAGCAGTGGCCCTGTTCTGTTTTTAGAGAAGCTGAGGGCACCGGTCGGTCTAACTAGAAGAGATAAATTTCAGCTTTTCTTAGGAAAATACTTAAATTCTGAAATTTTATCTTACTTGTTTATAACTTACATGGAATGTTGTAAATATAAAATAAGCACTATGTGTAACAGTGCTTGGGAGTTTTTATTTATGAATACAAGGGTCTTCTTTGTGTTTTCAGTACTATTTGGTGTTCAGAGGCCATCCTAAAAGACACAGAAGGCTGTCTGACCTCGCTTATGAAAATTGCCAAACTTTTCATAACTATTGAAATTTGTTTCCCTAGGAACAAATGGAGAACTGACTTACAAATTATTAAAGTCATGCATAGTAATGTAAATAAATCTTTGTCTTGAAGATTTATGAGTCTAGACTCGATTCTCAATATAAGGCTTAAAGAAATAACATTGATATTTAATGTGATTAAAATATGTCTAAAATTTAATCCTAAATTCAGATCTTTACCTTGTGTTTGTGGGTACCAGTAATACTATGGAGTCTGTCAAAGACAAGTTTTAAAGATACTAAACATCTGTTACCTTAGGAGAAAATGTCACAAGCAAGACAAATCTGCCCAGAACGGATTGAAGTAAAAAAATCTGCATCAATTCTGGACAAAGAAATTAATAGATTAAGACAAAAGATACAAGCAGAACACGCTAGTCATGGAGATCGAGAGGAAATAATGAGGTACGTGGTTGGTAGCTTTTCTACTTTATTACTCATGTATATTATTAAGACATAAAGAATAAATGTTTATATATAAACATAGTTTTGCTATGGCATATAGTTACAGGTCAAGCTAGTTTTTCATATGTGTTATTAATAATAAACTTTTTTCTCTTCTAAATCAAAACAAAACTTACGGAGTGACATTTTAACATAAATGTGTTTTTATACCTTTAAGATTCACATAGACAAAAATGTTCAGCTTCACAAGCAATTAAAATAAATGTGAATCAAAACCATCAGAAGCCATTTTCATATATGTCAAGCTGAAAAAAATAGTCTCATGTCAGGGAGATTTCAGTGAAATAAATATGTTCATACTGCTGGTAAGAATGGAGCCTCTAGGGGGCGCCTGGGTGGCTCATTCAGTTAAGTGTCCGACTTCAGGTCAGGTCATGATCTCATGGTTCTTGGGTTCGAGCCCGACATCAGCCTCTGTGCTGACAACTCAGAGCCTGGAGCCTGCTTCAAACTCTGTCTCTCTCTCTCTCTCTCTCTCTCTCTCTCTCTCTCTCTCTCTCTCTCTGCTCCTCCATGCTCATGCAAAAATAAGAATAAACATTAAAAAAAAAAAAAAAAAGAATGGAGGCTCTAGTATAGTTAACCACAGTTTCTCAAGCAAGAGTATCTTGGTCTGAGCTATAATTCTACTGCCTACTTATATTACTTTTGCAAATTACCTAATCTCTCTGAATCTTCATTTTCTCATCTATAAGATATGTGTACTTACAGTTATAGGGTTGTTATAAAGGTTAACTGAACTAGTCCATAATAAAACAATATGTAAGGTACCCAGAATGTTAGATGTGATATTATTAAAGTTTTTCTGAAAAGCATTAAGGCAGTTTGTCAAACACCTTCAAAAATTTCAATTTAGCCAAGTAATTTTGTTGTTATAATCCAAAATCAGAAAATCATTTTGTGCTGAGGTATGTTTATTGTAGCATCAGTTATAAAGCTGAACAGTTAGAAACTATGTACATCTGTAGGACGCTTATTGAAACATAGCAGAAAATTACAGCTATTACACTTTATGAAGAACTTCTCATAATAAAAATCAGGACTAGGAGTGATCTCAATTCTGTTTTCAAAAACAGTGGGAAACAATGGTAAGAAACACAAAAGTAGAAGTTTTTCTTTAAAATAGATAGTACCTCACGTTTGGTTTTTAAAGTATAATCTCCAGTTTATTTTTTTTCCCAGTTTCTCTTCAGTCCTTAAGGAATTTGCTCCTCGCACAGGCCACGCTGGAGGTCAAGGGGCAGTACCTGGGGGCCCGCATCAGGGTGGGGGTGCTCCGCCCTGCGGGGCCTCAGGAGTGTGGCACCGGTTCCCACAGGATGTGGTTTCACACACCACTCAGGAAGCACACAGGTGGCCAAGACACTGGCTTGGGAAACGTCCCTGATGGCAGTGGCCTCTGCCATGTTCCCAATGGCCAGATCTTCCTGGCCTTGTCCCGGGGCACGGCGGGTAGGTAGCAGGCGGCCGTGGCCCCGTGTGACACAACAGTTATTCTTGTCCTTCTCTAGGTCATCTTGGAAGCGAGAACCTGAGAGAGTGTTACCTTGTATGTTTTTAGTGCAGTGTAAAGGGGAGGGTGTGATGGACGTTGACTTCCTCTCTGGTCTCATCATCTCCAGCACTTTCTCTCTTTTTATCTTGTTAAACTAATTTATTAAATGTGCTTTCATTGTTTACGTAAGTGCAGGGTAGTATGAGTGTATGTTATTTTCCATTCTTGCCAGATAGAGGAGGTGCCACATCTAAATAAACTATTGTACAGATTACTTTCTTTGATTTAATGATATATTTTGGAGATTTTGTATCAGTACATAGGCATTTTCTTATTGTTTTCTTATAGTTACATGGTATTTAGACATCTCCTGATGGATAGTCGAAGTCTAATCTTCTGCTGTTGTAAATGGCGGTACACATGTGTCTTAGTGTGTAGTCAGGGTGATTTAACAAGATTAACTCCTTTTGGAAGGTTCGGCCCCCCACGCCTACCCCTGGACTGTGCCCGTTTGCACTCCCATCAGCCATCGGCATCGGCGGTGCGTCTGAGGGCTTGTTTCCCCTCGGCCTAAGCAGTGTGACAACCTTAGGTTCTTTGTGCTGACACGTAGATTTCCTTAAGAACATAACTTAGTGTAATTTTATTTTCCATTTCACTCATTGAGTCTGAACATCTATTTATGTCTTAAGGACCATTTATTTTTATCTTTTTCTGTGAACTTTTTATGTACTTTTTCATTTTCCTGTGAGGTTTTTTTGGTGTGAAGAATGTATTTTACCTCTTTCCGAAGGGCTCTGTAGCCGTTTGAAATTCTGTTTCTCCCATTACTGCTTCCTTAAGAATGGCCATGTGAAGTAATGTTTGGTTTTTGCATGTTCAGAACTATTTGTCTGTAGCTGTTGAATTTGAAGGATAGTTCAGCCTGATAGAAAATTATTTTTCTCCTGAGTGTCTGTTTCTGATGAGTCAGAGTCTGTGATCCTTTCCTTGGTGTACACTGTGTGTTTTTAACCTGTAGGTTTATCTTGTTTCTTAAAATTTCTTTTTTTGTATTTTACTTTTAAATACTTTCTCTTCTCTTGTTTAGTTGTCTTTGTCTAGGCCTTTCTTGCACAGATGTCGTAGGTCCTTTGTCTCCTCTAGTTACTTTGTCTAACCATGTTCTCTTTTTTCCCAGTTTTTTGCTTTTCTCAGTCCTGATCTCTGTGCCTGTCAGCATTTTCTGCATTTGTCTCTTGTCTCTTTTCTCTGTACATCATCTTCTCACTTTGTCTTCGAGTCTGCTTTTTTGTCTGCAGCCCCTCCTGCCCCTTTGGCTGCTGCAGGGCCCTGCTCGCCGCCGCCACTCACCCGCTGTCGTTTACCTGTCTCCTCTCTGAGTGCTTTGTCTGTTCTTTCAGTTCTTTTATTTCTGCTTTGGGGTATCCCTTCACGGTGGCACTTCTCTCATATGCTGTTTTGTTTTAATTCGTGGTTTGCTATCCGCTTTCGTCTGCTTTGCAACCACCTTGTCCAGATGTGCTTTCGTTGTGGCCGGTGTCCTGCTGCTCCTGCCCAAGCCTTTGTTCTACACATATCCGCGTGTGGACACTGTGCTTTTGCCTTTTTTGTTACTTGTTTTCACTTGGATCTCTCTGACCTGGGCATCTGAATGAGCATGGGGTGGGTCGCTGTGGAGCCTTGGCCGGGGTCGCCTTTCAGACTTGGTCAAGAAGCAGCCCCACTCCTCCCGCCCCCTCGGTGCCAGGGAGCGGCCTCGCTCTGTGAGAGCTCTGCCCAGTGGCCATGCCTTCTCTGCCTCTTTGACCTTGTCTCATTCAGACTGGGACTGGCAGATTCCAACAGGCAGCCTGTGGCCTCTGTTCCTGCACTGCCAGCTGCCACTGAGGGAAACATTGCTTACCTTCCAGTGTGATCGCTTCACTTTTAGAAGGTGTACATTTGCTGGTATTTTCTAAGATCTGCCACTCGGGCCCCAGCTGGGTGGGTACTGTGCTCACGCCCTTCCTCTGCTGGCTCTAGGGCCTGCACTCAGCTCCTGCCCAGCCCCGCTGTCCGCTCCTCTGCTTCAGGGCAGCACGTGCTCTTCCGGGGAGACAGGACTCCTGCGATCGCCTACCCCCGGGCACCCCTGCACTCTCCCTTCCTCTCATTAAATATATTTGATATTTTATTTTTCTTTGTGATTCTTTGAATGGCAATTATTGACTTAATATTTTGTTCATAAAATAGGCTGTACCAAGAAGCAAGAGAAACCTATCTTGATCTGGATAATAAAGTAAGGACTTTAAAAAGATTTATTAAATTGCTGGAAGAAATAATGACTCATAGATACAAAACATATCAACAATTTAGAAGGTAGGTGCAATTAAAAATATTACCATATATTATACAGTTTTGTACTTCGTTTTCACATTATCCTTTATGAATAATAAAATTAAGTTGAAAGAACTTCATGCAATCCAGTTAAAGAAGAAACTGCCAGAGCTTCCTATATGGATACTTAGGTTCCTATCATTTAATCAGAGAATTCTGGCTCAGAAGGGATTTGTGTAGCGAGCTTATCCAATTTTTCCACTATTAGATACCCTCACCTAGATGACTCAGGATGGCTGTTCAGGCTCTGCTTACGTAGGTCCTTTGAATGGGAGTTCACTGGCGTTGACAGAAATGTCTTTTACTCTTGGACAGTGCATGTTCTTAAGGGATGCAAGTTCTGATGGGATCTGTTGAGCCAGTATCTCAGTTTATGATCTGAGAGAATAGTGTGGCCGCGTGGATATAGAATCTATTCTGTTTACTGCTGCGTCTCCAGGACCTACTACTGTGCCTATAAGAGAAAGTTGATATCTATTGTTTGAAAGGATGATCACAGGATCAGAGAAACTGGATATTATTAATTTGTGTAGATATATTCATACTTTCAGGGATAGATTGACTCCCCTCAAAATCAGAAATAAACCAGAGGATAGTTTATAGGTAGACATGGCTCTTGACCTACTGATCCAGGGCAGTCCATGTCTTTTTCCATTTAACCTGTTTTCCACAGTGGTATTCTCTCAATGACCAGCTTTTTACTGGTCTTTACACCCAAAACCTCATAATCCTAAGATTATAGAATTAACAGAGTGCTTTTTTTGTTTTTAAGTGTATTTCTTTATTTTGGGGGAGAGAGAGCACGTGCGAGGAGCAGAACGAAGAGAGAATTCCAAGCAGGGCCTGCGCTCTCATCATAGAGCCTGATGCAGGGCTCCATCTCTTGAACCACAAGATCATGACCAGAGCTGAAATCGAGTCAGACGCTCAACTCGCTGAGCCACCCAGCCAGCTCCGTGAGACTACAGAATTAAAGAAATATATCTAGTTCTAGGACATATGAGGAAATTCAGATAATTCCATAAAGAGAAACAGGCTTTGCATATTTGGCTGTGTTCCTTAACTAAATAACTTTAGGTTAGTTTTTGAAATGTATGCTTCAGGTTTGTATGCATGTTAGTAAGACTTCAATTATATAGGACTTATTTGTATCTTTTTGAGGCTGCTTGTAAGTTGCATTAAGTGGGACCAGAGCAGCCTTTAGTCGAGGGCCAGCTCTTTCCTGCCCGGGAAGCAGTGCTCTTCGGGCCCGCCACTGGCGCCTTGTGAGGTAGGAAGCTTCTGCCTATGGGGACATGAACTATTCTGGCTCCGGGTGGCCTGTGGGGATCACTTCTGCTGCTTTGGGAGGTTTCTTGCTCCAACCTCACATGCGCAGAGAGAGTTGTCAGCTTGAGACTGTCGTGCCCTGTGCCCACCCTGCGTCCATCCTCTGGCACCCTCCCCGTGCTGCACTCTCGAGGCTCTAAGAACCCGAGCACCTTGGCCTCCCCAGACTCCCAGCTCCATCTTCTCAAACAGGGAAACCTTTAGGCCTCGCCTGGGTTTCTGCCCCCTTTACTCTCTCTCTAAGTAGTGACTTGGGACATCTGTAAGATCCAGTTCATTTGTTTCCCATATTTTAGAGATCATTTTGACTAGAATTGCCTATACTCTCTGATGTTCAGTCTGAAAACTTACTTCATTTATTTTGTACAATGTTTTGGTTGTTTTTTAGGCCAAGAGAAAATCCAGTGCCTGCTTCTGCCTCTTTTCCAGAAGTGTTAGGATTTATTTTTATATTATTATTCAGAAAATTTGTATCTAAAATATTTTTAGGGGATGCCTAGGTGGCTCAGTCGGTTGAGTGTCTGACTTCAGCTCAGGTCATGATCTCCCAGTTTATGAGTTTGAGCTCTGTGCTGACAGCTCGGAGCCTGGAGCCTGCTTCAGATTCTAGGTCTCCCTCTCTCTCTGCCCCTCCCACACACATACTCTTGTCTGTCTGTCTCTCAAAAATAAAGAAACATTAAAAAATTAAAACGTTGGGTCGCCTGGGTGGCTTAGTCGGTTAAGCGTCCGACTTTCGCTCAGGTCATGATCTCGCGGTTCGTGGGTTCGAGCCCCGCGTCGGGCTCTGTGCTGACTGCCAGCTCAGAGCCAGGAGTCTGTTTCAGTCTGTGACTCCCTCTGTCTCTGACCCTCCCCTGCTCATGCTGTCTCTCTCTCTCCTAAAAATAAAATTAAATTAAAAAAAAAATAAAAAAATGTTTTCTGTAAAAGTATTCATCTTATAGTTTATTACCTTGATATGTTTCTTCACCACTGTTAGTTTTATCTTCTTTACCCAGTCTTAGGAGTAGAGTAGGAATGATGAAATTTTTAAAATTGTTTTTGTCTCTGCACTGGAGAACTTTGCCATTTTATGAGGACAGTCTCTTTTGGACTGTCCTCATAAAATGAGACATTTTAGCCATCCCATGTATGAAAGCAAATGAAGAGTGTCAGTAGTGAAAGAAAGAAATGTCAACACAAAATTCTGAAAACTAGCTAGCAAGTCGTTGTATCACAAAAGAAAACTCAAGCGATTAGTATTTTCTGGGGTGGAGATTTAATGTAGTTTAGAAAGGGAATTAGGAGGGATAATAATAAAATGATAGTCTGAAGAAGCAAGCCTTAGGTTCATTAAGGAGCAAAGACGTTAAGAAAAATAGCAAGTTGCCTCTCATTTAGATCGTATTTTCTAAATACCATTCCCTTCTTGGAGAAATGGCTGATTTCAGAACTGGCCTGGGAAGGTGCACATGAGCTTCTTGCTAATGCTAGAAAGAAAGGAAGTGCTTGGAAGAAGCATAGAGTCATGATAAAAGGACATAGGAAGCAGCCTGAAGAGGCTCCCACTGGCAAAACCTGGGCCTGTTTGAGGGCAAGAATGGATGGTAACCCAGAGAATAAAATAAGAATCTGTGACTTCATCCCAATGAATGGAAAAGTGAATAAGTAAATAAATAATTGAGAAAGAAGGGAAAAGTGTTCCTTACAGTGGAATGTCATGTGATTAATGACATCTGCATTGTGCCAGGCTGTGGGTAAAGTTTTATAGGTACAGAACGATTGAGACTTTTTTTTGTCACCATAGAGTTGAGAGGAGGGAGGAGATAAGCACATGGATAGGCCATTTATTTATTATCTTAACACTACTAGAGCTTAATCTCTCAAGGGCAAAGCTTATGTCTTCTGTATTACGGTGGTGCCTCATATAAATTGCTTGAATGATTGATATATTCATATGGACTGGCTGTTGTGTACTAATGTGGGATAGCATCTTTATTCAGTTTATGATGTTTGTTTATTATAAAAGGAAATGGAGTGGTAAAAATGTGGAGACACAAATAAAATATAAAGATGGGGGGGAATCTTAGAATCCTGTCTATTAAATGGGCAACCAGTGTTAACATTTTGGCATATTTCTGTCTGATCTTACATGCTAGTTTAAAGACCATGCTGAATACACAGTTTTTAATGTGCCCTATTTCTTTATTCCAAGATGTTTGACTTTACGATGCAAATTGTACTTTGACAACTTACTATCTCAGCGTGCCTATTGTGGGAAAATGAATTTTGACCACAAGAATGAAACTCTTAGCATATCAGTAAGTATCTTAGCTCTTTGTATGCTAATCATTAGGAGAATTAGCTGCTATATTTCTTTTGATAATACATTAATAAATTTTAATCTATTATCTTTGGAAAACAAAAGAACTTACTTTTAAGTTAAGTGTAGTGTTTGCCAGAGTGTTGAAAATTAAACTGATCTCACTAGCTAACTCTGCCATTGTATCTTCCTCCTCATCCCCCCCAAAAACCACTATGAAGTTAATTAGGAATTGTTTCCAGTGATAAATGTTTACCCTCTCTCCACTCCACAGGTTTCTTTTTAAAACTCATACAGCATTTTAAATTATGTGGGATATTATAGAATGTCCATATTCTCTGGAAGCCATTTTAGAAGACTAAGAAAGGATTTCTCAGAAGAATGTTCTACCCCATATAATTGTCTTTGCACTTATCTCTGAATATGTTTGTAGATCTAGCCTCATTTGGATAAACAAAGCCACTGTATTCAACTTTGTGGGGTTTGTGTTTGTGGATCCTTTCATAGTCTCATGCATTGAAGGAGGAAGTATGGGATATTGCATTAAAAACTGTGTGGTCGGGAGGTCAAGAGCGACCACCCACTCTAAATAATTGGGGCAAAAATTTTTAAGTAATTGCTTACTGCTCTTAGTTGTCATAAATTTGTACTTTATTTTATACTTAGGATAAATAATTTACATGTGCACAAAACTCATGTAAATTTTTAAAGAATAATTAAGAAAAAGAATGACAGTGCGTTTAAAAATGGTCAGAAGGCTTAAAGAGAAACCTCATAATGTATCCATGTGGTGAATTAAGTACATGAAAAAGTGCTCGGTATCGTTTTTCATCAGAAAAATACAAATTTATAGCATAAACAATGACATACTGCCAGCAGGGTGACTAAAACGCAACCCCGATCGCATCTTGTGTTGAGGAGGCTGTGGACTTGGAACCCTCTTGCCTGGCTAGCAGGAGTATAATCTGATAGAACTAATTTGGAAACCTGTCTCACAGTGTCTGTGAAAGCAATTCTACTCTGCATAATTCTTCAAAAACTGATAAAATTTACCTGATTAAATGGTGATGATTAAAATCAGAACAGTTATTATCTTTTGGATTTCATAGTGTCTGGGAGAGAGCACAGGGGATCTGCTGAGATGCTAGGAATGTTCTAGGTCTTGATCTGAGTAATTTACCCAGGTAATTGAGCAGAAAAGTTAAGCTTTGTGTTCCTTACTGTATATGAATTATACTTTAATAAAAATGAAGAAAGGAAGAAAATACTAGGAATGCTTGGACTACCTCCAGAGCAAACTGTACAGGGCAGCTGAAGCTAGACCTTCTAGGCTCATCGTCCTGGTTATTCAAAAGATTATTACTGATTTAAGAATCCTTAAATTCTCTAGTCTTTGTTTACAAATAAGGAAAGTGAAACCAAACTCCCATGATAAGTGAGTAATGGGTCAGGGGTAAAATTGAGATCTCCACAGTTAATCTATGGCTTCACTTATTAGATTGATGCAAAATGCAGTTTTGGAGCAAAAGACTGTATCTGGTTACTTAGTTCTTGCTTTTATGTGGGGTATTTTGTTTGTTTGGGTGGGTTTGGCTTTTTACTACTTAGTTGGTTTTTTATTTGGATTTTTACAGATTCAGACTTATGGATAATATAAAATCTCAGGGTATGTTTAAATTAAGAATATTTTATAACCCTTTTATATGAATACTACTTGAGAGGTTCATGATTTTTCAAAGAGTGGATGAAAAAGTATGTGAAGCTTACGTGCCTGCTAAAACACGTGATAAACCTTTATGATAGAAAACCTGATGGTGCTCTGTTTTTTCACCTTGTGTGTGTGTGTGTGTGTGTATATGTGTGTATGTGTATATAGGTATGTATGTATGTATGTCTGGAATTCTGTACAAATAGAATTCCTTCTAATTTTTTTGAATGTTTATTTTTGAGAGAGAGAGTGCAAGCAAGGGAGGGGCAGAGAGAGAGAGGAGATGCAGAATCTGAAACAGACGCCAGGCTCTGGGCCGCCAGCACAGAGCCCAAATGCAGGGCTCGAACCCACAAATCGTGAGATCATGACTTGAGCCAAAGTCAGACACAACCAACTGAGCCACCCAGGCGCCCCTCTAACGTTATTTTATACTGTTCTTCCAGGATATTATATAAAAGAGTTTGTTATTAATTTTATTAATTGCTTTTTTTATTGTCCCCATGAATCTCTTTTAGAAGTGATTTTATATGTTTCAGTCATTACTGCTCTTCTTTGGCCGCTGTGAGCCAGTTGGTCCTGTTGTCTTTTTCACATTCAGTAGTTACTTTTAAAGCAGCTTAACCACTAGATGTCACTGTAATTCAAGTAACAAAGGATTATTTCAGCACTTAGAAATGTTTTTTGTAAAAATAAATAAAGAAAATCTCATTCACAGTACCATTGAAAACAGTAAAATACTTAGGAATAAATTTAAGCAAGTGAAAGACCTGTACGCTGAGAAGTGTAAGACATTGATGATGGAAACTGAAGAAGACGCTAAGAAGTGGGATGATATCCCACGGTCCTGGATCAGGAGAATTAATATTGTTAAGTAGATGTCATTTCCACATCACTAAATGATGTTATTCTTTTTCTTTCTTTCTTTCTTTCTTTCTTTCTTTCTTTCTTTTTTTTTTTTTTTTTTTTACTATAAACTCATTCTTTCTAATTCTAGCCACCATTTTTTGTAAAGAATTTAGTCTGACTTTTGCTGTACTTTTTGTTTTTTTGTTAATTCATTCCAGGTTCAGCCTGGAGAGGGGAACAGGGCTGCTTTCAATGACATGAGAGCCTTATCCGGAGGAGAACGTTCTTTTTCCACGGTTTGCTTCATTCTTTCTCTGTGGTCCATTGCTGAGTCTCCTTTCAGATGCCTGGATGAGTTTGATGTCTACATGGTAGTGTGAAATTTTAAATTCTCTAATCTTTGTTGTTGTTGGAAATGTGTCATTCGAAAGGAAGCAATTTTTTGTTTAGTTTTACCCAGAGTAGAAGGCATCCTGCCTGACTCTGCAGTGCGTGACAGATGGAAGGGAGAAACTAAGAAGAGTCTTAGTGCTCTCCCTGCTGCCCTGGAGACCCACCCTGTCCACACCTTCAGTCCCTTCCCTGGTTTATCCCATTTTCCATTTTAACACAGACTTACGGGCAGTTCCTTGTTTTGACGAACAGCAGCCACTGCTGGTTTTCTCTTTCCTTCACAGTCGCACTTTTTAGAAGAGCAGTAGATAAAACACAAGGGGCAGGGACATTTCAGTTCGAAGTTAAAAACCTAGGATTGAGACTTAACCTACCTAAAGGACTTTGGGCAGAATATTTATCCTTTTTGGGCCTCCCATTTCTTCGTGTATAAAATAACATTATTAATCTTTCCTACCTCGTAGGGTTATGATGAGACTCCAGTGAGGTCTTCCATGTAAAATGTAAACACTCTTAGGAAGGTAGGGGCACAGAGGAAGCCCCACCAACCAGCTGTTCCCCGTCCTCTGTAGCGCTCACGGCTCGTTTGTCCTAAACTCCCTGTAATCTGGGTTTAGACTCCAGTACTCCAGCAACACTTGTTTAGCAAAGATCATACGTGAATTCTTAGTCTTATTTAGATTCTTTGAAGTATTTGACACCATAGATCTGTCCTCCCATCTCTCATAATGTGCGTCCTTGCCAGTTTCTGCTCTCCTCTTTCCAGGTTCTGGTGTGCTCCAAGCTGCTGTTCTCCTTGAATGTGTGAGGTCCTCTTTGTTTTTGATACTGTTGTTGATTTTCCTGGATACCACATCCTACCTACGTCTTCACACTACACACTGCACCACACACGCACACACACAGTCCCCAGCACTACACCTGTATTTGAGCACCGGACACTCTGAGTGTCTCCTCCTGACCCCTCTCTTGCACTGCATTCCCATATGCCCAACAGTTAGATGTCATCAGGCGTGACCACGCCTCAGACTCAGCAAGTCTTCCACTCAGAGCCTCTTCCTTTTCCTGAACCCCCTGCCTTGATTGGTGGCAGATTGCCATTACCTGCCCAGTTACCTTTGATAGATCTGTGAGCCTCCCTTCCTTTTTATTTGCCTGTCACATCTGACCTGCTGAGTCTCCGCTCCTTCCTGTTACCTGTCCCTGTCTCCTCACCCCCTGCCTGTCGTAACTGCCTCCTGGCCAGACGCCCTGACTTTAATCTTGCTTCTGCTTTGATTCCTCCCTCACTGTTTTCCAGGTTTATATTTCTGAAATGAATCTGGTCATGGCCACTTGCTTGGAACTCTGAGTGGTGGTTTGTCTAGGTAACGGTTTAGTTTTGGGGTATCTGTGAGGCCTTCCTGATGGAGCAGCTACCCACTTTGTGGCTTTTCTAGCTACTTGTGGCTTTTAAAACTGCCTCTGCGCCTTGTGCCCTCCTTTGTATGTCATAGTCCTACTCACCTTTCAAGGTGTGGCTTGGATGTCACCTTTCTATGGCCTCTGTGGCCACCAGGCAGGATTGGGACCCTCTCAGAGCTCCCTTGGCACCGCCCTACACTGACACACTATTATTTTATTTTTTATACTATGGAATATACTGTTATATAATTTGTGCTATATACATTTACTATTACATATATTTTTATAATTTTCATTCTGTTGCCATCTCTTATTCTCATGTCTGAATCTCCCAAATTAAACCTATTTTGGAAGTTACCAACTATGGCTTGATCATATTTCTACCTACCTGATGCCTAGCCCATAATAAGTATTTAGAAAATGCTCACTCATGGATTTTATACCTGTGAGTCCTGTTTAATCCTTCAGTGTCATTTTTCCCCCTGTGATACCATTGCTGCGATGGTTTAGAAATTCTCTGAGAATTGGCTTGAGAGCTAATTCACAAATTAGATGATTATTCTTTCCATTCAATAATTTTGTCCAAAAAGACATTTTACAGCCTTATCTCCTATCTTGTTTGTGAAATTTAATTCTGAATAATTTCTTTCTCTTTCAGAAACTTAGAGGTTCTTTTTCTTTTAATTTTCTTAAGGTTTATTTATTCTTAAGAGAGAGAGAGAGAGAATGCACAAACGGGGGAGGGGCAGAGAGAGAGGAAGACACAGAATCTGAAGCAGGCTCCAGGCTCTGAGCTGTCAGCACAGAGCCCCCAACACGGGACTCCAACCCACACCAGCAAGATCATGACCTGAGCCAAAGTCAGAAGTTTGATGCTTAACTAACTGAGCCACCCAGGTGTCCCTTGAAACTTAGAGATTATTAATCCAGATGGCATTTTGCCCCATTGGAATTATTCAGAAAAAATGTACCTAAGCCCTAAAAACCAAATGGAAGCAAAGACACACATTTTGGTGGTTTGGCAGCTTTGTTATTAAATGATAGGCCTCCCCAGGGCAGTGTTTGAAAGGAAAGCATTCTACTTGCACAAGCTCTCATTATTTTTGTTAACTTTAAGTTAGATTGTTTTACATATATGCCTGAGGGAAGAATTTATATAATACAAGCCATTGAGCAATACATCCAGGATGTTGGTAACCTGTCTGCCTCCAAAACAGTGTGTTCTTTTTGTTTGTTTGTTTAATTTTTTTAAATGTTTATTTATTTTGGAAAAGAGAGACACACAGACCACAAGCAGGGGAGGGACCAGAGAGAGAGAGGCACAGAATTCAAAGCAGGCTCCAGGCTCTGAGCTGTCAGCCTCAAGGCTGACACGGGGCTCAAACCCACAAACCGGGAAGACCATGACCTGAGTCAAAGTCAAACACTTAACCAACTGAGCCACCCAGGCGTCCCCAAAACAGTGTGTTCTTAACCACCATGCTGGACTGCCACATAAAGTTGCAGTTAGACCTTTAAAAATATGTGCCTATAAAAACATTGTTTATGTTTTCCACTTTTCAGGAATTTTCAAGGTAGGGAACAATCCTTTGATTTTTTTCTTTCTCCAGTATTTGAACTCAGAAAATGTAAGCACACAGTTTAACTTCGTTTCAAAACCTGGTATAATAAAGCATTATTTTTCTATACACTGATATGCTATTTAACTTAAAGATTGAATGGAGGAATTGGTTTGTAAATTTACATTGGTTCAGATTGTACACATTGTAGGAAGGTGATGGGGCAAGGTCAGAGGTTTTAAAACACTTTAATCATTGAGGGAAATTTTGACAGAATTAGTAACTTTATACCTAGTCATTTTTTGTATTGGTCTCCTGAGATATTAATTATTATTACTGTACAAGTTAGATTCATCCTGTAACATTTAGTTCTGTCTTTGGAGATTATTTTAATTGCTAAATATACTTGAGGGAGGGAACTGTACTTACGGAAACAACCTGACTATAGAAATTACTTGGAAGATACATATATTCAGTTATTTTCCACTCATAGTTTTGGAGATTATCTTTCTCTGTATGAATAGCTTGGCATCATGGATAAGGATAAAACTGCAGGAGTTGGCATCGGGCAGCAGAATGCTGCTTCTGCAGGGACGTGATTAAAGCAGCAGCGACCCTAACTTTGCTCCCCAGGACATGGTTAACCGGAGAATCGCAATGGATATGATACTCAAGATGGCAGACTCCCAGCGCTTCAGACAGTTTATCTTGCTCACCCCTCAAAGCATGAGGTAACTTTTAAAAATTCTTCTGTGACTGTATACATCAAGTTCTAAAAGGGGAAAATAAATCTCCTATAATCTTCATTTTTAAAATGCAGATACATAAGTCACCAATATTAAGAAAAATCAGTTTCTGTGTCAGGAGATTTAAGATAATCTTTCCTTTTTAGGTATTTAAAATTGTATTTTTGTTACCTCCCTTCCATAACAAAAGCAAGTTGATTTAAACATGAGAGTACTGACTTGTTAGTATTTCTGTTTTGACTCTGTTCCTTTGTGTGTGACCAACTAAGAAAGTAATTTAATTTTAATAATTCTCTTTAGGCTGAGGACAGTTCAGGACTTCCCTAGTCTTGGCTCTTTTCCTGGTGACTTACAGCTGCCCGTCTTTCTCAGTGAGGGCCTCTCCCTTGCCGTCAGTCAGCATGGTGTCACTTAAGAGTTGATATTCTGCCTCTAGAGCGGTCACTTGATCGTAGGGAGATTTAAGTGTGTGGTTGGGAATTTTCAGGTAACTCCTTCCTGGCTAGACAAGAAGAACAAGAGTTAGAAATAGCCAGTGTGTAAATCACATTGTATTTTCCTTCTAAAGTGAAAGCCCCTGGCGTTTGGCAGGAACTTCATTTTTAAAAATGAAAACAGATTATTTTTCGATCACAAATTCTGTTTCTCCTAGAACTCCTGACGTTCAGCACGTCCCGCATTAGTAGGTAGGGTAGATTCGTGTTCCCATGAGGTAGTATTAGAATTTTTTTAAACTGAAAAGCATTTCCTAGGCATTTGAGTCATTAATTTTGCTTCCTCTAGTTCACTTCCGTCCAGTAAACTGATTAGAATACTTCGGATGTCCGACCCTGAAAGAGGACAGACTACGTTGCCTTTCCGACCCGTGACTCACGAGGAGGAGAAGGACCGGAGCTGACGTGGGACGGCTCGCGCCGCGTCCTCACGCGGGAGATTCGTGAGGGAGGCCGTTCGGGAGTATATGCTCAAATAAAGTGAAACTGAAAATATTCTGAAATAAAAGGAACTCCTTTATACATCTGGCCCCAATAAAACATGTAAATAAGTCTAGAAAGCTGACTACAACAACCAGCAATTTAAAATTACTGTTACTTTACTTTGAGGAAATTAATTTCATAGTACTGGTTTTAAATCTTTTTTTTAAGTTTTTTTTTAACCATCTACTTTTATAGATTGTTTTTCAGAGGTAAAATTTTGTACATATGTACATGTACATATCTGTTTAGTTTGGGTTCATTTCTATGGTATTTTGTAAGAATTAAAATAAAAGTTTGAGCACCTAATTCTATTTAGTTCTGTTTTCCGGAATATCACATTCTCATTGCAGGGGCTCGGTGCACAGGCGCCCCGGGGCCGGGGACCAGGTCCCAGTGTTTTTATTGTCCGTCTGTGCGTATGAATGCCGAGGGGCCCGCGCGGGTGTGTGGCGCTCTGGTCAGGATGCCCGCACAGTCACTTTGTATCGGTAGAGATCCGCCTGTAGATGTGAGCTGTACTTGTAGTGACGGTAGCTCGTTCAGACTGAGGAAGCCCTCCGGCTGTGTGGCTGTGTGGCTGTGTGGCCGGGACGCCACCAGCTCCCACACAGGGCCTTTCGGAGTCCCGTCGTCCACGCAGCTGAGCGTCTGACCGGGGTCGCAACGGGATTGTGACACAGCACCGCACCCTGACCTGCACCTGGTTTATGATCCCTCAGCGGAGAGGACCCGGCTGGGGAGCAGGGCTGGGACAGCTGGGCCCCCTGTGGAGCGGGAAGCAGCCGGAGCGGAGGCCAGCGTGTCATGGGAGCTGATGTCAGTGCCGTCACAGACCTACCCAGATTTTAGAGCTGTTGAAGAGTGTGCTGCTTAGGATGATAAAGTCAGCATATTGTAGGAAATGGTATTTATCAACTTTTTTTTTTTTTTTTAAGAAGCCCTAAATAGGACTCCGGCTGTATTCTCTCTTTTGACACCAGGGTAAGTGCTAACCTTTTCAGACAGACCTGGATATTCAAGAAGCGATCCCTGTATTGCTAGCAATAAATATTTATGTAATTGAAAAGGGCGTAAAGAAAAAAGGCAGTATTATAAAAACAACAGCACTGCTATTGTTACTGAGGAAAAATGAAGTTTTTTATTTTAGGTGAGGGAGTCCGATTTAGCCTTCAAGTGAGATCAGTTGGCAAATTGTGCTTTTCTAATCTAAGAATTTATAGAAAGAGGAAATGTATGCTATAAGTTTTAAACATCCCCCCATAACCATGCAAAGTCTGACCTTCTAAAGTTATGTTTATAAGTAATTTGTATCAAAACTATTTTTTAACATACATGTGCTTTTTCAAATAAAAAAAATGGAGAATATACCAAATGCATAAACTTAGATTAGCTACATAATTTTAGTGTCTGGATCTTTGTGATAGTTCCTGAATGTTACGGTTCTGAGTACAGAATGGGAAATAAAATCCTCAGGTATGTGAACACCTTTTGCTAAGAGTTGAAGATTTTTCATTGCTTTAGCCTCACCAAAGTTTTGGTTTCAACTATCATAAGTGAAAATATCTTCAATTAATGTTCTAATAGTAACAATTAATTAGAATAAAAGAAGAAGAAAAAAATTTAAGTATATGTAACTTCTAAAAACAGAACTTTAAATGCATATGCACTACATCAGAGGGTTCCCCTCAGGGGTGAACTGAGTAATGAGATCCCCTGAACAAGGGGCACACAGTCCCTTGGACTCTTCAGTCCTGCCTTCTCAGCTCCATGGCGTGGACATGACTAATACCAGTCTCAAGGTGACAAATGGGATGGGTTTTAGTAAACCAAGATGTAAATAATGTAGTTACTCAAGCTAGTAATAACGCTAAAGATTCAGGCACTCCCTTCTTTTTTCTTAAGTATTTTCACTTCCCCCTCCCATCCTCTAGTGCTGCTTTTTTTTTTCTTTCCTTCACACGTCTTCAGAATATCTCTCAATGAGTAAGAAACTACTGTCTAGGATTCGAGCTGAATCAGAAGTGTTTTCGACTGAGGGAGACGCAGAGATCCTGGTTTCCTTGTAAAGGCAGGTGCGGCTCAACTTAGTACAAAGTATTATGTTCTGAGTCAGTACTGTTCCATTTAGATTTAGGACTTGGTTATACATCAACACAGACTTCCTTCAGCCAGCTCAGATTTTTAGAACTGGTTTGAAATTTTGAGTTCTAAGGGTTCATACAGTAACGGATACCTCGTGACAGGAGCCAAATGGCTTTGGACTTGAAGATCTGTCAAAACACTGTTTAATAGGAATAGCTTTTATTGTTTAAAGAGTGATAAACTAACACAGTAGATATAAATGAGCTATTTCTTTGAGTCAGTGAATGAACTGTTCTGTCTTAATTGTATATAGTTATGTATAATATTGATACCTAACCTATTATATCCAGATGCCTAGGGCATCTGGATGGAGTCCATAGAAACTCCAGTGGCCTGAGGATACTGACTGACCAAGCTTAAGGGGGCTGTTGCTCCCCGATTTTCTGCAGTATAAGAATGTAGAGAGAATTCATTCGGAAACGAGGACGTTCCTGCCGTGTTTTTGCGGCACTTTAAAGCGCGGGGAATACTCCTGTGAGTAATGCCCAGTCTGCCCTCCTGGAGCTAAACGTCTGTACACAATTCCACTTAGCGGTAATTGCTTGCATAATAAAGCAGAGTAAGGAGTTAAGAGTGGAGGGGGTGCTATCTCAGAAGCCCTGTTAGGAAAAGACTTTGCCCAAGGTGTTCAAGCAGAGCCTGAAACGACCGAGTACATGAGCTATGCGAAGGCCTAGGGTCGCAGTTCCAGGCAGCGGAAATGAGTGCCAAGGCCCTTTTGTGAGAATGAACCTCGTGTCCGGGAATCGTAAGGCCCATGTTGCTAGAGCTTCGTGAGCAAAGGGGGTGAGGGTCAGAGGTAGGCAGAAGGAAGCGAGATCATTTGATGCCTAAGGAAGTTTTCAGACCTGGTCTAGGAAACCTGCTTGAAGACTCCTGGCTGCTGTGGAAATAGATTCGGGTTTGGGTGTGGAGACCAGAGAGAGCAAGCTCTGACTGGTCCGGGTAAGAGGTCCTGGTGATTTGGGCCAACGTAATGGGAGGAGACACATTCAGGTTTGAAATCTAGAGGCAGTGGGACTTGCTGGTAATACTGTGGAGTTGTGAGAGAAGAATCAAGGATCATCGGCCCGGGGCCCGTAAACTAAGGTGATGGTGCCCTTCACACAGACGGGCAGGGAGCGGAGGTGGCGGCAAGCGCACTGGCGCCTGATGCGGAGCGCCACGCTGCTGGGCGAGCACGCAGATGGACGAGGTAATGTCACTTAAGAGTCTGGAGGCCTGTGTTTCACCTGCAAGATGCTGGGAAAAATGCAAATTATGTGCCCAAAATATTGGAGAAACTTAATTGCTTGCAAGAAAGGACCTAAGAGAACCCTACGCTACTGTATTTAGGGGCTCTAATTGACTCAGTTTCCCGCCATAGCCCTGCACAGCCTCTGCCGGAGGGCTGTCTGAAGACATCTGTTGAAGCATGTGTTTTACTTCTTGGCATGATTTCCAACCGTGTGGAGGAAATAAGCGTCTGGCCTCTTTAAGAATGAAGTTGAGGGGCGCCTGGGTGGCTCACTCAGTTAAGCATCTGACTTCAGCTCAGGTCATGATCTCACAGTTTGTGGGTTCGAGTCCCGAGTCGGGCTCTGTGCTGACAGCTCAGAGCCTGGAGCCTGCTTCGGATTCTGTGTCTCCCTCTCTCTGCCCCTCCCCTACTCACTCCCTCCCTCTCTCTCTCTCTCTCTCTCTCTCTCAAAAATAAATAAAAACGTTAAAGTTTTTTAAAGAAAAGCAAGCAGTTCTTATTATTCATCCAGAGACCTATCCCTAATGAGTGAATTACAGGAAATATGATTTCTTCAAACAGTAGGATTACCTTGTAAAAAGCAAGACCTGGAATCTAATTCCCTTGACTCTGGATGAGTCGTTGACTTCTTGTCATCAGTAGAATGCTATCTGTGGAAGTGATATTTTGTGACTTCTGAGGTCAGGTCAGAAAAAACTATAAAACCTCCAGCCTCTTCTCGGGGCTCCGTGAGCTGGAGCCTGAGCCGCTGCGCTGCGAGGAAGCACAAAGTGGCCCCGGATGTGGGGGAGCCCTGAGATCCTGGGAAGGGAGGTGCCAGCCAACCCCCAGCTGCCACAGGCCTGTGACTACGGGAGAGACCTCGAGCCAGGGTCCTCCACACGAACCTCTCACAACCCCTGCCCCACAGACCATGGGAATAATAAAATGTTTGCTTCTCTCCTAAGCCACTAGGTTTTGGGGATGAGTTGTCGTGGAGCACCAGTAACTGAACCGCTCCCATTACCGCCCACCCCTAGTAACTGCTCTGATGTGATACTTCCTTTTGTTCCAACGACTTCGGTGTTCTTACGTGAGAAGCACTGTTGAGTTTTATATATTCTACCCTGCAAGAGAGTTTGTTTCTCTTTTCCCCGCTGGGCGCGTTGCTGTGCGTGCATTCTTGCTTCCAGCCACTGTGTAGCGTGCCCAGGACACATCGACCGCATTTTACTTACGTATTCCCCCAGCGCTGAGCCACCAGATGGCCTGCAGTTCCCCCCGCGGCTGTCACAGTCATCCGGGGCCACGTCCCCGTATGGCCCCCTGGGGGTCTGTGAGCGCATCTCCGGGCAGTATTTCCAGAAGTGAGCACACGGCCTCCCAGGGCACATGCGCCCTTGCGCTGGCCAAACCCTGCTGCACCGGTCTACACCACCAGGGCCGTGTTCATCTGCTGGCCCAATCCCTGCATCGTGTTTATGAAAAGAACTAGTCAGTCTGCTGGAGGGTTTTTCCCCCTCCATAATTTCCCTGAATATCTCTGTGGCTCATTTCCTTCCTTCAGGTCTTCCTTCACATGTCACCCAACCACTCTGTCACTAATAGCTGCTGCTACGTGCCATCACTGCCCGACCTCAGCTCACAGTTCTTTTCTTCACCGTTCTTACAGGTGGACGTGTGTGTGTGTGCGTGTGTGTGTGTGTGTGTGTGTGTGTGTGTGGTGGTTGGTTGTCCTCTGTTTCCCCCGGAAGAATGGCGCTGGGTGCCCAGGGGCGCACAATGAAGACTTGCTCTGAATGCAAAGCCAGAGGCTGACTTAACCGAGTACCATTCTAAGGCACCTCCCCAGCTCCTCACCCCACCTCCCTGCTGGGAGCCGCACTGGCCTTGCTGGATGACAGTCACAGCAAGAAATGGCAGTGTTTGCACAGCTCCTGCCATG